TTCAAAATGAAACAATGCTGCATTGCTGTATAAAGCCCATCTCTATTATTGGAACACAGCGGCTGTCGCCTTTTTAAGACAGGATATATAAAATTCAACAAAATAAACACACAAAAAAACATTTTTTTTTAAATAAAGTTTATCTGCTCGTCAGATAAAAAAAAAATACAATTAAATATGTCACACTGAGTTCTGATGGTTCAGGATATTTAGTTTTATCAGCCTGCACTTCTTTTAAGGTATCTGCAGCAGCATCTAACGACCCTCACTGTTGTGGAATGTTTTAGTTCAGATTAGAGTTGTCTTTCGGGCAGCAGCTTCAAATATTGCGGTATCTGATATTCGCTTCAAAAATTCTGATTCATTTTCGATGTGCTGGCGAAGTCACGATCGGATTACGGCAAGTTAACCCGTTGAGTGCGCTCCTTGGCATGCACCGACGCGCTGCAGAGAAGGGACACCCGCGGAGCAGACACCGCAGTCGCGCGAGTCGCGCAGTGCTTTGTGCTGCGAAAAGGACGGTGAGGCTTTACCAGCACCACATCCAGAGTTTGGTGCAACTCAACTATACTTCGTTTCAGCTTCGGTGCGAGCGCAGCCGAAGCTACAAGCGCGCGCATTGGAGCCCGTAACAGTGCCAACACAGCACGAGCACACGCGCGAGTCAGGAATGCACAGAGCATTGGGCTCCCACTAGCTTTGACTTCGCTGGTAGCTAGCGCACGGGAACAGGGCGGGCAAACATTGAAAACATCCACAAGCTCGGCCTTTTTTTTTTCTTTTTTTTTTTTAAAATAGGCTGCTCAGTGGGATGGTTCTTCGCTTAGCCTCTGCGGCTTTGGTATCAGATGTTACTAACGTTGTTCCTTTCAATGATGATGATGATAATGCGCCCTCGCAGTTTCGGTTTGCGTAACAGTTGCGGGGCGGAAAATACCGCGGTACCGCCACGCGCTCTTATAAGATTTCAATTTTTTATTTTTTTATTGCTGCATCTCGTCTCGGCGCAGGCATGGCGCAATTCTTCGGTAAAATGACAATTTGGCGCTACATGTAGCAGGATTGCGTCCTTGGCGCAATTTGGAGCAATTGGCACAGCACTTCCATCACTGAGACAATTTCTTCTTTGATGATTTTTTTACCAATGCCGAAACTTGAGATTGAAAAGCACCAAATCCGAGAGAAAAAAATCATCCCCCAAAAATCATTCCCAAAGTGAAAGAAATATAAACCTCACGAGAAAAGGCCAGCATTTTTTCTTTTGTAACCACTACAAGTCAGCCTGGGTAACCCTCCAGATCACCAACTAGCTAGAGCTTGCATAGCTCCTCCGATCGAGCGCATCTCCAGACGTTGCTGGTGCCTAGCTCGTACGTCTTAATTAGAATTTTGTGTTTTCAGGGCTTTTTTTTTTTTAAATTCAAGGACGTGTTTTTTTTTTTAACTTTTTTCCCGCAGATTAGTGTTCTTCAGTAACAAATTTTGGTGTTGGACGAAAAATCTGGGTTTATTGGAAATGATGTCGAAGAAGACACAGGTGTGGGATTTCCTTTGAACCAGCCTCGCGGACAGTTCATGGGGGGTGGCATTTTGTGTCAAAACAAAATAAAACTAGATCAAGATTTTCTTCCTGCAAAGCTTGGTTTTTGTATTCAAGAATACCTCCAATTCTGAGCTTTTTGAGTTTTCCGACTCTGGGGTTAATTTTCATGGTTTATCGGTATTTACCGAGAACACTAAATTTTAGTCTTGGGTAATGCGAAGTGAGCACAGAGTTAAACCAAGATTCCGTTACCTCCCGCTTGGAAGCGAGAGATATTGGAAGGGCTTAAATTGACACTTCTCTCTCTCTCCTATATATCCTCTCTACTATTTATACAGGGTGTTTTTTTTTTAGCTGCACCAAATTTTCAAAAATAGGGAACGTGAGATAGAGTAATTTGAGCCCTGGGGAAGTATTAGTGGCCATGATGGCCTCTAGAAAAAAAGGTGAAATTAGGTCATTAGTTAGCTAATTAACTAAAATGTTTTAAATAACTTTTTTAATTTTTCACTTGAGGGCACATAATGTATTTAGAGGATTGAAGATCGGCCACAGTACGGTCTAGCCGTGTCGTCAAATATGGATAAAAAAATTCTTAGTAGGTACTACGGGGTCGAGAAATGTCACTTTGGTAAATGGCGTCAAACCGAAACTAAACAGGAAAGAGTACCGGTAAAGTTATTGCTCCGCCCTTTCGGGCACGTGATTCGTCATTATCGCAGCCAGCTCGCCTAAACAAGTGGAACCGGCCGTAATAATGATGAATGATGATGATAATGGGTGGTTTCATCTCAAATCGGGCAGGCTAAAAGGGTATAATTTTTCATTTTCACGAAAAAAATATGTTTTGGGGGCAATTCTTAAATGAAGGAGGGCGCAAACCGCATGTTCTCCAGATTTTTTGTTCTCGAGTTACGAGCCGTAGAAGGCGCAGTGGTGTTTTTGCCTGCCGTCGCAGAACGAGTGTTTGACACCCTCTGCTGGCGCTAGTGTTTTTCCTCCACCCTTTTAACTTTTTTTCGTATGTTCACTTTTGTTTTGTATTGCTCCGATATGAAAAAATGAAATATGTACCAAAAAGTTGTGTCACTTCTGTTTTACAAATAGTAACTTGTACCAAAAAGTTGTTTCACTTCTGTTTTACAAATAGTAACTCTTTGCCGGTAATACAAAAATACACATCACACAAAGCTCTTAAAAAAAAAAAAAAACACTTATGCGAGTATTACTGCCCTGGCAAAATGTATTCCTGTATTTGTATTTCCAAATACTTTTCTATCTTTCAAATGTATTTCTGATACGTAAAGAGATACTTTTGTACGGATGTATTTCAATATCAGTATTTTAGCCGTCTTCATCATGTATCCCAGTATTTGTATTTCTAAATACATTTTAGAGTATCTCTGCCCAACCCTGGTTCGCTTGAGGATGTGCTTTGATTTCGGTAGGTCGCAGCATAAGCAAGATGGGAGAGACAATCAAGAGTGAAGAACCAAAGGCACCTGTACCAACTTTTTCAACAACTGAGACCAGTGAGAGAGTTTAATCACTGCTATCATTTGTCCTCTTTTGATGACATGCAAGTGGAGCATCTTGAGCATGTTTCATCAATTTTAATAACCAAAATGTCTAAAAAATATAAAAATAAAAAAAAAATGAATGGACTTTTGTTTATCTTTTAGTTGCTGAAATTTCTCTGTTAATACTGCGATCACACACTGCATAAGCAAAATTCTGGCATTTGTGATATATAGCACGGCTGGGCAGAGATACTCCAAAAATTATTTGGGAATACAAATACTGAGATACATGCCTTTTAAGGCCCAAATACAGATACTGAGATACATTTGTCTTTTATGCAACGGGATATCCCTGAAATACTTCTGCAGAAACGGCAAAAAAGTATTCTGGAATACAGACACAGATACTTATAGAAATACATTTGTTCCCGAACGGTACCACGTGGTGAGGTTGTAGCTTTTGGCGAATGCGAATGGTAATTTATGCTTGTGCTCCTCTTTTTCGCCATTTTATGCACTACCCCTTACATCTAACTTTTTATTTATCATTAACGCCGCTAAAAAAACATGTCACCTATGTTGAACCACATCGTTACAGAACGTTAAAGACTGCGTGCCATGCTTGACATGGTACGCAGTCTATAATGCAGTCTTCCCGAAATTATCCCTGTTTTGGCGTGAGGGCGCATCTAAAATGGTCGTCTTACATGATTCTGAGTCACCCATAGTGTGAGGAGATTGGACAACAGGGCCATACTTTTCTCCACTCAACTTGTTTACAGCGTTCTTTCTGCTAAATCGAAAAGAGAGGAAGGCTTTGTGAGAGGAGCTAATATTGTTATTCTTTCCTGTAACTTTCTTTAAACCAGTTTTTCTTTTATGTTGGTGAATGAGTTGGATGATGTTATAGAGCGTGTTCATTATATAAACTGTGAAGCAACTCGCACCAAACAAATGTTTTTATCTTTTAAATTTATCGCAAAAACTGTGACAAATGTAACGAGATACCTAAGTCAGGCAAAGTATTGCGATACAAGCGATACATTGTAAATGTATTTTACTACTGAGATACAAATATTGTATCTCGATACAGAGATACAGATACTCGAAAGTATCTGTAAGATACTATCGCGATACATTTGTATCGCGATACTGCCCAGCCCCCGATATATGGCACGTTAGAACCCCGTTACATATAGCAGTGGACTGGAAAAAAAGGAGGTATATTCATGAAAAAGTAACATGATCATGCTCTGTGTGGGTTGCACACTTTTGCACACTTCATTTCACGTGTGGGTTTCAACCACCTAGACTCGTGCAAAAATTAAACTTTGTTTCTTGGTGGGCAGCCTCAAAACCGTTTCGCTGCTGTCTGACAAGCCCGCCGATTTTTGCCACCATCTAACCAAACTTCTTTCAGTCTCAGTGAGCCGGCCCCAAGTCCCTACCTATATCCAGCCTCTTCCGTCTGAGCCTAGAATATGTGGTTTGTAGTATGACGAGCGTGTTCCGATTGAGCTGCAACTTCCCTCTCGTGGCAGCCCCTACGCCACGCAGGTGCAGCACTATGCAATGGCTCGCATTCAATTCGAAGCTTTCAATTTTTCGTGCTCAACTTTTAAAACGAAGGGACTCTCACAACAAAATTTTTTGCTGGTCGTGCGAAATTCGTTAAAAAGTTGCTCGACTGTATTTGTAACATTTTAATATCAGAAAAACTTTAATACTTTGCAAAATAAAAATGAGCTGTGCATCAAATCAAGCAGCAAACACTATTCAGAAATTATTTAGTTTTAAATATTTTAACTCTTTTTACAAATCGAATTTCCAAGTTCTGGCCGAAACGTCAACCCCCATAATTTGTTTCTTGCAGAATGCATTTTTTTGTTTTGTTAAATCAATGGCTGAGGACAAAAGAGGGGTGAATGAACACTTGCCTCGGGGCACCACACCTCAATGACATACGAGGCAATGTCGAAAGTGTCATCCAGGTCGGAGTTTGCCTTCAGAAGCTCAAAACAAAACTCGTAGATCTCCTCTTGCTGGAAACAACAAAAACAAAAATTCAGATTGCTGCACACAACGTACAGTTTTGATTGCTCTCTCGGGAGAAGCTTTTATAAAGACAAGCGTCACTGACACATTGGCACACAAAAGAAGCAAGCACCACTGTACCTGTGAGGCATTGTCGATTGGCCCAAACCAGGACCACTGCTTCAGCTGGATGCGGTCGGACTGGACATTGCTGTGGAACCTCTTGTGGCGTTCGCTAGGCACTGTCCCGTTGAGGATGCCCAGCAGGTGGCTCTGTCGGAAAGGTTATTAGACAATATTGTAACTCTTTCCCGACTAAACGAAGTGGCACAAAAACGGGCCACTCACATTCACTTTTCCGCCCTTGATGCAGTCGACCAATTTCTCATTGCGTAGTTTGCGTCTTTCCTTGCTGTGAGATTCAAAATGTGTTAGAGTGTGGTACAACACAAAAAATGTGTTGTACCACACAGGCGTGGTACAACCAAAGGATGGGTCCACTAAGGGGGCCCACCATTAGCTTAATTATGAGTTGTGCCCACCTGGCCTGAGCCGCTTCCGACAATGTGTCGCTGCCTTGGCTTCCCAGCTCTTCGGGAGAGGCCTCGGAGCACTCCACGTATGAGTCGTCGCTCGCTTCCGACGGAGGGTCTTCTGTGAACCTCACTGCAACAAAAGTCAGAGGCAACTCCCAGTTCTGCCCAACAGCCAATGCAATGCAGCAAAGAACTTTAGAAACCGCCTCGCTTAGACATTCCATCAAATGCAGTGAAGGTGCGATACCACTCAATTGACCTTTTTTAAACAGCAGCACTTGCTATTGGAATGACATACAATGTGACACGTGGCAAAGGAAGTTATAAATGCATAAAGGACTGCTCTTCTTCATCCATGCACCTCTTGGGGGGCATTGCGTCATTCATATTCTCTGAAATGCCGCCGCGCATGCAATCTGACCATGAAGTACCGCCTCGCCAACTAGATTATTCTAATACGCAGTTCCTACCCTAGTATGCAACCCCTGTTCCTATGCAGCAAGGTGGAGGGAGGGAGTGTTTGTGCACCACTATCCCTTTCCCACCACCACTCCACATGGTGCTACGAACCAACAGCTGCGCTCTGCTGCTGACACTCTCTCCAATGGCCTTGCTATGGTGCGACCAACATAAGCCAGCAAGGTCTGTGGAGGTTTCCCATATATCTTTCGCTTTTAAAACAGGAGCACTCAGAATATCATTAATAATCCAAAGCCTCTGCTGTGCCTGGTTTCTTTACATAATTACCTTCACTCTTATCACAACCTAAATTTTTTTCATTCAAGGCGAACTCCTCCCAACTCGTCTCAAAGAGAACTTCTATAGTCATTGATGCTTGTCTCCAACCACCTTTCAATTCTAGCCTGAATAAAAGCATCTAATGCAAGGGGCTGGACTGCCAGCATTGCCATGGGAGACAATTGAACTAGAAAGGGGAACGACATAATTGACAGGAAGCATTACTATACCCACTCCCCTCACAATAGCAACAAGGTGTGCACCAACGAGGATGTGTGAAACGGCCTTGTAAACCATTCCTTTCACCTGTACTCGTCTGTGCGTATCATGCCCTCACTAGCCTAGTAGTTGATAATCGTGTTACATACCCTCTTCATCGCAGAAGAACTGCCGGGCATTGATGTTGATGCCGAGGCAACGCTTACGAAGGAACTCTTCAGCTTTTTGCACTGCTTTGACGAGGGCACCACTGTTGCGTCCCACACGGCCCTCGTTCTGAAATTAATAAAAGAGTTAGTGCCACTGGGACAGCAAAGTGTAAACTGATTCCTATCCAATGCTGACAGGCTAAAATCACTACCAGCTCACAGCAACTTAAAAAAAGGGGCTTACCAAAAATCGTTTGGTTCTTTCAGCACTGTTGAAGTCGAAGATCTTCTTCACACTGATCATAACTCTGTTTAGGAACAAGTTTACGGCCAAGCGTATAGTGACGAGTTTGGTCGGAGCCAGTGAAAACGCAGGGTCATACTTACGTCTCTTTGGATGTAATGGAATCTATCAGGAACACCTTGGCCTTCCGGGTACTTGGATACAACTTCAGCACCTGAGAACAACAGCAAGCAATGTCTCACAAATGACACTTCCACTTAGGTTGCAGCGCAGATAGTAGTCTGAAAACTCACCAGGGCAGGCCAGTGTAGACGTTTCCACTCTACCCAGACAACATCGTCCTCTGAAAACTCAAACTCTGCAAAGGGATGGAAATGAGTGCAACTGTAGAGGCAGGCAGCATTTTAAAGCCATGAGAAAATTACCTTCATGTGGCGTGGCATTCGATAGGCTCAGTTCATCTTCCAGATCTGATCCATCTTCAATAGACCTGGTGTAGAGAAATCTACCGTAAGGCACCAACAAGTGAAAAGTATTGCTGCCACTTTTCCTCAATTTCGCGGTCAATTTGCAGACACCTAACCTATGTGTCAAAATCAGCTGTATGCAATTCTGCAAAAAAATAACAACCAGAATATGGAATTAGGGATGTTTCAGATGCTCACAGGAGGAGCTATAATTCATTTCACCTTAGAGCGGAGCCGGCGGTATGGGCCGAGAGCACCAATCAAGCAGTGCCAAAAGTGAAATGTCACACCTTTTTGTCGTCCTTCTGTGTGCATGTTACTGCTGGCTCATCAGATACAGAGTCCAAGGACACCTTGTGCATTTGGTTTGTATATATGTATTTGTTTCTTATAGACTTTGACTGACTTAAAGGTTAGACACTACCCAAAAAAAATTTTTTTCTGCAAGAAAAGGTGATTTGAAAAATGCCACATTTACATTTGCCACATCTCGAGAGTATTCCCAGGACGTTCATCTGTTTACACTGCATAGCTGTTTTCTTTTTTTTTATCAAGTATTTTTAGTTCATTGATGCGAAAGAAAAGGTAAGGTTTGAGCACTTTGAATGCATTTTTCTCCGATGCACTTTCTGCCATTAATTTCACTTAATAAAGCTATACTTTCATTATGAAACTATCAAGACTTAATTTTTGCAGCTTATATACCAAAATTTTATGAAGCCGGTTACTATAAACTTAGATTTTGCATTTACATGTTCCTTTATTACGAAAAATTGTCATTTGCAAAGCTTGGTAAATGTGAAGAAGATACCTTTTTTTCATTATTTTGTTTTTAGTTGAAAAATACATATTTCGTGAAATTTCTTTTCACAAAAAAGGGCAAAAGGTATTCCAGTATGCATTCCACCAGAAAAATATGTAGTTATTAACACCATTTCTCAACAACAGTCATTTAGCAGATTCTATGCCAAGCTCTGCTTTACTTCGTTCTGAAGGCCCGTTCACACTCTTGCAACCGAGCACGACCGAGAGATGAGTCTTGTTGAAACCTCTTAAAATTTCTTAGGATGAGAGAACACACTGGCACGCTGGTACCATCTATGCAGTGACCCCGGAACTGCATTTTACAAGAGCTAAGGTCAAATGTGCGTAATACCTATAAGAAAGGCTCGTTTTATAACGTTTACAAAAGTTTTTCGAGCCAAGAAAGAAAAGACAATCCGCGAGACAAACAGAAAATATGCCGGATCGCCAAGTTTACACTGCTACCCAATAGATGGCACCAGTGTGTCCTCTCGTTGTAAGAGGTTACAAGAACCCAGTTTTAAGAGGTCGCAAGAGTGTGAACAGGCCTTGAGGGATAGTAGCTCATAAAATTGGTTCACAGAGCTGAAACTTTGCATACCTTCTATATGGCTACAAACACCACTTGCAAATTTTATGCAGATTGAATGAGTGGTTCAAAAGTTGACATTCCCAGGTAGTGTCAGTTCAGTAGATACAGCTATAACAATTTTTGTTGGCTACTCCAACCATGCAGATCTTTTCCTTCTTTTCTGTATCATGAAATATGGGAACCAAGGTCTTCAGAGTGCCAAACAAGCATTAAATAATCTAATACAGACTACCTACAATGTTCTGTTTGTGAATGTTGAGGGGCCATTTATGATGCATTCAAGAGTTGAAAACGGAAACAAAATAAAATTTAGAGCACCTGAGGATCTTTAAAGAGCAACTGAAATACAACATAAAACCCAAATATGCCGCTCTCAGACTGCTGGCTCCTTGCTCGGGATTCAAGTCCTTTCGCTCGTGCAGCTTTAGGTTGAAATGAAGCGTATGAAGTTACAACTGCTTGCAGCGTTTTCTTAATAGTTAGCAAAATGTACATTGGCAAACAAGCCAAGCTCATTTAGGAAAGTTGAAGTGGTGAAAGGTTGAGCCTACCGATGCCTCTTGGGGTTGTTTTTTAGCCACCATATTCGAGAGCTTCGAGATTATTAATCAACAATTTCAAATGACCAGACTCACTGGGGTACTTTGATACAACACTGCAACACCAAACCTTCCTATGTCAGGCACTCACTCAGACTGCAATTTGCTCTGGGAGCTGGGGGTTGACTTCCTCCTGTCAGAAGACTTGGAGCTCAGTTCAAGGTATCTGCGTGGGACCCCCTTGCGCTTGGGCACACTCGTTTCAGCCATACTGGCCACGACCCCGCCGTTGGTGTCTGGTGAGAGGGATCGCTTTTTGGGAAGCTGCGTCGCCTCGGTAAAGGTGTTGGCATCCCAGCTGAAGAAGTCCTTGACAAAGGCGCAGTCGGCTTTGTTGTGACGCACTAGGTTGTCCATGCGGCTGGTGCGGAAGCTGCATTTTTGGCACGCGTAGGCCGACGGACCAGTTTGTGAACTTGCACTCTGCTGACGGAAGTAGGTCTTGTAAGCCTTGGCCTTCTCAGGCACCTTACGAGCAGGCGTGCTGTTCCGAAAAGTCAAGCGCTCCATCTTTGAAGGAAGTGACTTGGTAGGAGTGGGTGGTTCCTGGCTGGCTAACATGGCCATCAGTTTCAGCATGGCTGGCTTATACCTCGACGGGGTTTCTTCAGCAGGCTTGGGGGGCTGCTCAGCAGGCTCAAGGCCCTCTTCTCCATTCTGCAATGTGGGTGCCACCTCTCTGTGCTTGTGGCTTTGGAACTCCTTAACTGGTGAGCCACTCAATGGCTCAGCCATGACAGCTTTGTCTAGAGGGGTCTGTGACACTGCTGTTGGCTGCTGCTCCAATAAGTGCTGTTTCGACGGCTGCCCTTCTACTGGCTGCCCCTCTACTGGCTGCTCCTCTACTGGCTGCTCCTCTACTGGCTGCTCCTCTACTGGCTGCTCCTCTACTGGCTGCTCCTCTACTGGCTGCTTCTCTACTGACTGCTCCTCTACTGGTTGTTGCTCTGGCAGCTGCTGCTCTAGCAGCTGCTGCTCAAAATGATGCTGCTCAGACTTCTGGTCTTCTTGAAGCTGCAAACTGCTCCCACTGTCGGTGGAGTTCAGGGGCAGGGAAGCTTCCATTTCAAGTGGAGCCAACTCGGCTTCACCTGTCTGGTCAACCGGGTCAAGATTGCTTTCAATGCCAGGCACTAAGATGGTGTCGGGGTCGAGACAAGCGCCAGACTGGGCAACAGCATCTGCTAGCAAGTCTGTCTCCCTTTCCTCCGAGTGGTGTGCCTCAACGACCGTCACCAGGAGGGCAGCCTGACTTGGAAGCTCCTGTTCCATTTTGCCTGTTTCACACAGACGTTCCTCCAATGCTGCAAGGTCAAACCTGTTTCAGCACTCTAGGCAGCAAACAAGAGGTGGACTATAGACCATTGCAACTCAAGAACGTAGGGCGAGGGAAATGAAGGCCAAAGAGGAGGCAGCAGACAAAACACTAATGAGAGGAGATGGTTCCCCCCTCTCTGCTCCAGCATTCCGTCTTCTTCCTCCTTCCTGGCCTTCCATTCCCTTGCCCTACCTTCTTGAGTTTCAACAGACTATAGTGGCGCTGTTTTGGCACTTTGCCACGCAAAAACAAAATCTGGCGGAACCATTTAGTTTCATGATTCTTTATGGCTAGATGACTGAGTGTAAATTGCAACTGGAAACATGGCTAATACCTCTGGATATCAGTGGAAATAGTACACTAATTTTTCTTAAGCTAATGGGTTGTTCTATACTTTTTTGACACAATGTTCTAAACATGAAACAAAAAAAAAAAATGTGCCCTGAGCAGGAAGCTAATACTTTCCAGGTTCAATGATTGTACTTCTGACTGAAACATAACAGTAGAGCTTAATGTGATATCTACACTGAATTGAAGAGCTTAGCAACTATACATGGCTCGCACATGACATCGCACCAGGCTGGTGGTCATTCCTACTTGTTCTTGCCAAAGAACAAATATGGTGTTGCAAAATGTAAACTGCAGAAGGTAAGCACTTAGCTATGAGAACACCGCAATGGCAGCCGACAAAATATCAATACAAGCCATTTATAATACTGTTCTGAACATTTGTAATGATAAGATGGTCCTTCCGAGTAGCAACAGCAGCATTCTTGAAGGAGTTTTCTCCAATATTTTGTATGTTGAAGCTATATATGGTGCGTTTAGCACACTAAAATACATGTTGGTGGTTAAAAAGCACATTGTGGGTGGACACGATCAGTCTATATTCGCTTCTGTGGTACTTTGCAATTTTCTGCTCTGCTGTATAGACAGTAGTAGCCTTGAACCAATTAAGAGAAGCTTTAAAAGTTTATATGGTTCCAGAAAAAAAGAGAAAACTTGTGAGCGCTTTTTAAATTGAACTGGAACGCTGAGGATCGGCACAAATTTTCGAATTTGAGTCTCGTATTTTCTTGAGTTGTTCACGTTAAAGTATGACAGAACATGGAGTTTTTACAATAAACGATAGAGGCTCAGGTGGCACTAGTGTCTACGGGACTTTCTGTTGCAAATTGAAGCCGACAACAACCAGTCTACTTTTACAGACTTCCTGTGTATTCCTATGGGAAAACGTATGTGATATTTTTCTCTTCGCCAGAAAATAATAGAAATCAGTGTAGTTTAGTTACTCGTAACGGGTACTATGTAGCTTTATTCACATTATAAAAGTGTAATTTATTTAGTTCGTGTTTTTTAAATATTACTGCACGACGTTTAAAGGCAACTCCGTTCAATTTCGAAGATTTCGGGTTAATGAGTGATTTCGAATTAAAAAGCCTTAGTAAAAGACACTACTTTGTTTGCTTCGCAAAAAATGGGATATATATTTTTAAATCTAGTTTTGAACATGAGCGGAAATCAAAATCGAAACTTCGGCTCCATCCAGCAACACTGGCCTCGGGGTACCAAGAGCATGGCTGCACGTGGCACGAGATCACGTGATCCTCGGCCAAACGACGGGTGGGATTGGGGTGGGCGTGTGTCAGGCGCAAGCGTCGTCTCCACCGCACTCTTCGCCACGTTTTGGTGACTACGACATTCGACGACATCGGCACAGCTGCGGAATAAGTCTGCGCACGTGGTGTCCGTAATGTGGACGAAACTCCGAGAAGCAATAATCACAAACGGTGAGACGACGACGGCGGTTGTGATGCGGAAGACGGCGTTTACAGCAGGACCACAGCGGGCGGCCAGACGGCTCCCAAGAAGCGCGCTGCGCCAGGCGCGTTACGTTAACCACTTGGACACCGCTGAGCGCCAAGAGGTAACATTGCTGACGTCACGCACTATGCTCGCCCGGAGAAGTAAAAACAAGCAAAAGGGGGCAATGGTGATGACGTTTAGCTCAATGTTGGCTAGGCCCATGCCATAGCCTTGACTGGGGTGTTGGTTGCACCTGAATTCGCCCGCTCGAGTCAGCCGATTTCTGCAACTTGGCGAGTTGCAAAGTTTGCCAGACCGTTTAAGAAACATTTAGACAGAACTGTATCATAATATTTGACGCGTGGTCTTCCTAGGCTATATTGAAGAGGACTGCATTGTTTCTTCAAGACCAAAAATGAAGCAGAGTTGCCATTTAGTTAGCAAAAATTGAGGCCCAGGTCTATGTTGTACAGCATATATCAATACAAGCTATCAATCAACAACAATCATTTATTTCAGAGCAACAACACTCGGTTACTGCTTTATTTTGATTATTCATGCACAGTTTGTTACTAATCCCGTACGTGTTCTTCGTTCCACAACTCCATGCTTTGTCCTTGTCGTCTGTTTTAATTGTTTGATTTGGCATATATTAACATCCTTTTGGCGTTCTGTCAAGCTGATTCACACTGCGTGCTTCATACCATTGAAGATAAACGCTACGACACATATTTTTGTACATCCCATTGTAAAACGATCCAAACTTTTTATTTTGTCATACCACTAAGCAATATTTGCTCTTATAATGGAGCGCGAAGAGAAAACGTATCTGCGTTTTCCCATAGGAATGCATTACCACCGGAAGTCAAATTTAAACTGTTTGCAGTCTGCTTCAAAATGCAACAGCAGATTAGCGCCACCTGAACCTCTAGCGTTTATTGCAATAACTTTATCTGAGAGAATCCAGGACGGCGACGTCGGAGGGCACGTGCTCCTCTTCGATGCTAAGGGGGGCAATTTTCGGAGGGGAAAAAAACACATACATTAGGAGGAGTTCACAGTGCTGGAACTCACAGTGCTGGGGTTCCCAGCGCGTTGCGCTGGGAACCTCAGCACTGTGAACTCGACCCGAAAAAAAGAAAAGAAAATATTTAACACGTTGGGTACCCCTTGTTTACAGCCATGGCTAGGAAACGAGAGAACGCGTAGACGCTAAGGACATAGCCAAGTCGTACTTGGCAATTAGGGGTATTTGGGTCGTTTTTCAGCTAATTATACTCCTGTTACCAGCTACGAACTACACGCCCATATCCTTAAAGAAGCTATGTTCCTCCAGAAGACTACGAAGTACGCGAAAACTGATGGAGTTGGACAGTTTGTCGTCCAAGAGTTATCAGCGCGCTCGATAGCGGATGTATCCGATAGCCAGTGGGCCATGACGCTCGCGGGTTAGTGCTGCCAAGATAACTTACCAGATTTCTGTCAGCTGGGATCACACACGTTTGGCGAGATGAGTACGCCGGACTGCAAGCAACGATTTCCTACCTAAAAAGTAGAAAATTGTAAGCCTGCGTTCAACCGAGACTCGTACACAACGAACCACCGGACGCTGCTGACGCTAAAACCCCCTCCTGGCAAAACCACGCAGAACCGCTGAACACACGCACTCTGGCGTTTTCAAAACAAAGACTGGAACCGTGACATTTAAAACCATTTAAATCTGTTTTAAAATGCTTATGCAGTTAAAAAAAAATGTATGTGTGACTTTTATTTTCTGATTGTAAACTGATCCGCTGGGTCACTGCGCTGGGTTGGCTGGGTTGCTGGGGTCGCTGGCGTTGGTCGATAGAAAGCATAGATTGTAGAGAGAATTCATCTCAAACCATGGGGAGCGTTTGCAATTAATGACGAACGCCACCGGTGGAGATTGGTCGCAAGTACGCATTCGCTGCGTTTTCGCATAGCAAAGAGAAAAACAGGCGTAAAGGCGGAGACGCTCACAAACGACAACGCGTTCGTCGCCTCCTCGCAGCTGTACACCACGTAAAACCATTCGAGCAGTTGGAAACTCTCTGTAATGTAGGCTCTCTCGGCAGTGAGGTGGAGTTTGGCGACATCTAGCGATGTCACGACGAGTCTCTATGACCTGCACTGCCTGCACTTCGTAACGTGTCCCTCCAGATTGCGCCTTGAATTTCCTCTTCCACACTCGCTGCGCATGCGCTCATGTTCATCCCTCGGACGCTGACGGTAGGGTGAATTAGGCCTATTGGGCCGGAGATCAAGGATAGTGGAGTATTTCACGGTCATTTCTCTGTCCAGGTTGTAAGGAACCACCGCTCGTGACCACAAAGAGGAGGATGAGCAAGCAAGTGCTAGTCTTGGAGCCGGACTCCGAGCTCCACTTCAAAGGTACAGGGCACGTCTGCAGTTTTCGAACAACATTTCTCGACGCAGGGGGGCCATATTGAGGATACGGGCTTCATGTAGCGCTCCAGTTTTCCTATGGCACCTTTTTTCAGCTCCTCCGGCGTCCAGGATTGAGCTCCTAAATAGCTACCTTACGGTGCAAGCATACGCTCAAGTGATTTACGGCGTTGTAGCTTCTGCTATGCTCTTTTGCCGGGTCCGGGTCGCGGCAATGGTTTCCGAGTATTCGCTTATTTATTTGTTTTTGCTTCCCCGAATTAAATTGCAAAAGGGCTCGGCTCGTTTCCAAACTGCCTCTCGCTGTTCGTCGTGAAAGCTGTCATTTCCTGGTCGTACGCGAGCGCAGGGACGGACGCACTCGCCCAAAGTCTGTGGGAGGCAGCCACAAACCTCCCTTTCTCCATATTGTTTTGTGGATGTTGGAAAAGAAAAAAAAAAAATCCGCTTTACCTCTGAAACATGTATCGGGTGATCCATGTGGTGAACCTGTCGCGATCTAAAGTTTGGATATATTCTCAACGTTGAAGACCATCGGCCTCCCCACCGCGCCCCTCCCCGTCTCAGATTTTCCGTATCGGCCAAGTTGACGGGGCGAGTGTGGATTTGAAGCGCCTACTAGTGCAGCTGAGACTGAAATCAAGGCAGCCGGCAGCGCTTTGATATGGCGCTCATAGGCGTATATCTCGTTCTCTTAAAGTGCTGCCGTAACGGTTATAACCGGTGTGTGTCACCTTATCCAGTGATTTTTCATATGCCATATAACACGTAGGCTATGGTCCACACTCGTCCTTGTGGGTGTACCAAGCCGTGTGTATTGTCTGGATCAAGGCTATGCACCTGAATACCTGCTCACAGTGACCCACTTGTAAAATGCTTGATACACTTAAACTGCCTTCATGTCGTCGGTAATCCTCACTTGCGTGTGTCAACTTGGGTGGGTTTTGCTAAATGTCAAATTTGTGTTTCTCTTGATTGCAACACCACTGCTTGGGATAACAGAACCTGACATTTGTCACATGTTAAGCCACTTCCTTGTAACCCCTTTATGACCTTCATGTGCAGGAATTGCTCATAACAACCTTGACTTTGTTCCAAGAGGTTTGGATAACTACTTCTTTCCATTGTCTTGCAGTAGGTCACAAGAAATCATTTTGCATTTCATAGTATATTACTACATAATATGGAGTGTTAACTATGGGGCAAGTTACCAAGCTCCACTGAATTGCATACCAACCGACAAGGCCCATGTTTAGCGAGTATGGCATGGGATAGTGTGAACAGCTTCTCCTGTTGCCCTTCTCACCTCCCTCTTAGTGTTCGACAATACTAGGAGGATTATCCTAAGAGTTTAACTCCATGGAGTGAATATGCTGCAAAAAAGCAATGAATTTTACTTCATGTAGTCCCACTTCTAACATATTTATTTCTTCATTGAAGAAGACAGGAAGAACATGTTTGTGGAAGTACTGGCATAGATACGAACAGTGAAATGTAGAAATTGGGTCATGTGTAGAGGGTCTGAGCACGAAAGTATTGTAAATTGGAATGTTATTGTCTGCTGCTACCTCATTGTGTAAGGTTCTCAGAACTTTTTTTCCATAAAATGTTTCTAGTACGGGAGGTTTCCTTCACTATCAGAAGTGGATTTGGCATATTGCAGCAGACAGCCCTTTGGTTAAAAAATTTAATGCTTTAATGTAGTAGCACTAGCACATACCTGATTTGGAAGGAAGCAGGTTAATTTGTTTAAAGAAAGAGCAAATATTGTTATAAACCTTGGATTTTTTTTCTCACTTATTTAGCTTTATTTGTATGCATGTTTTAGTGTAATTGGCATCCACTCAAACCTTAGTCATATCAAACAGCTGGGAGCTGTCAATGGATGCTGGTCTTAAAGTACACACAGCAAGAATGTATGGTGCTACTCTATCCCATTGGGACATGGAAGGCTAGCACAGCTGGTTGTAATCTACTAAAACAGTCATGTACAGTTTAAAGTAGTTCAAGATTGTTAAAAATAGTAAAAAAGTAGCATGTTTTTAAACATGTGGTGTGATACAAATGCAGAAACATGGCAATGGCTTCTTTTGTGGAAAACAAGTACATTGACACAGGGAAGTTCCTTGACAGAAATCTGGGATGGGATGTTGTTTGTCTCAATACATTTGCCCCATTTTTACCTATTAAAAACTGTGCTCTATTTTTTCCTCTTTTTTTTTTTCCTTTTTTGTGAGCCATAAAGTAGTTTTATTATGCATGTATAAGAGGGAAGTCTGTTTTAGGTATATTATTCCAAATCTGACAGAAGTGTTACCTTTGCATACACTTGTCAATTGTGTAAAAGAAACTCCACTGTTTGCATGAGAAACTCTGAGCTTCTCATGCAGACAGTGTGGCTTCGTCTCCTACGAGGAAGTTGGTACGAATATCTGTTTGCTTTCTTTGTAGACACAGTTGAGCGTGGGGGACTGCTGTCACTTTCCTCCTTGTGTCCACTACCAAGCCTGTCCTGCGTAAAATGCCTGTTGGGTGCTAGAGTGGAAAAGGGGCAAGGAAGGCATGGTAGAGCCGTGCTGACTGCCTCCCCTTTGTTTCTCTCTCCTTTATTTCTCCGTCCACTCTTGTTAACTCTCCCTTACCTGATTCATTGACCAGGGTGTATCTATTGCTTGTTTTTTTTGTTGTTGTTTTTTTGTTTTTTTTATTAAGGGTTATATAAAATTATACTCGTGGGCATGATTTTCGCTGATCTGTGACAAATTTGCTTGAATGTAATTACGAATGGAGGTATTGGGTGACATTGCATAAGCATTACTTGTTGAAGTAGGTGTACTGAATGCACAGAGATGTATGGGAGAGTACCAGCTCTGTGTATATTGTGCCATAAAGGTTTAGAAATATGCCAATCTCTTAAGTAAGCTAGTGGGTTAGCATCTTTGATCAGCTATTCTACATTTAAGCACTATATCTACTTTAATAAAATCTTCTTTGTGATCATTTTTAGGTAGACACATATCTTCAGAGGGACATATCTGAAAATTTGTTGCTGTTGGCTGGTTTCATGCAGGCTTCTCTTATTTATTTTATTTTTTTGACTAAGGCTGGCTTGGGGAAGGCACGGAAATGGGAAATAGTGACGTGCCAAGCTTGTTTGATTTAGCTGCACTGCCCTGCCCTGCACCTGGGCAGTCATGCAAGCTAATCAAATGAAATTACTAGGTCAGTAGACCATTCCATTTAGCGCTGTCTGGGCGTCATTATTTTGTTCAACAGCAGCGTCCATTCCATGCATCCGGGAAATTCAGCAGGTTCGGCGGAATAAAAAGAGAGAGGGCACGCGCCCGACTCCGCTAGCAGACGACAAACCGGGAAGTCGCCATTCTCCATCTTTGGGCTGTACCGGCGGGCTGTACGGAACATCGAACTCTCGCTTGTGGCCGCCGTTGTGAAGTGGTTCGCGTTTTTAGAATAGTTATGGCTACTCCAAAATCAGCCTATAGCTCTCTGTTGTTCTTTTTCGGTAAATGATCAACTAGCATATCTTTTTTCCTTTACTTAAATAGCAGTTGAGTCAGCCGGCAGTACTACCCTCAACTACTGCGTGTATTGCGGCAGGAGAGCATGTTTTTATTTATTATTTCAGACTTCCACTCGTGGTCGCGAAAGGCCTACACCGGTACAAACTTTGTATAGTAAAAAAGGTACATAGTTCGACGTGAGCGCGTTGGTGAAGTTTAATAAAAACAAAGAATAAACATAGGGACGGAAAGAACAACACTTCTTTCGCTGTGTTCTGTTGTTCTGTTGTTCTGTCCGTCCGTATGTTTATTCTTTCTGTTTTTATTTAAAAAAGGTACAGCAACCGGATTTTCTTTTCGCCGGAGAGACCGGCCAATCTGACACAGTTTTCCCTATTTCTTTTTTTATTTGCACGCAGGTAACAGCGCACTTGGACCCTGTTAGTCTTTTTATCTAGCATAGTATTACACAATAACTGGCATACTAAAATCTGCACTTGAAATTTCCAGAATAACGCGGTTTTAAACAGAATTTGTACGCCAGCCAGATGCTAGGTACAGCCCACTCGGCGGAGCAGACGACATGCGGGGTGAGAGGGGGAGGGCACTTTTTCTCTCTATTACTCTCTCTGCTATGACCCTAATGGAACGGTCTATAAAAGGCGAGGCTAAATGTGAAAGCGGTCGCTAGTTTCTGCGATCATATACCTCATTGAGAGCCCTGGGAAAATGGGAGAAAGTACATAGCAAAATGGAGACTGATGCCACCCCTGGAGAACAGTTGTCTTCTGCTGTCACATGATACCAGTCATCAGTTATGAAAATTGTGACAGCATTGGTCTGTGTTGGAAATCATGCAGATTTCTTCAAAGCATTAAAAGCTTTGGCTGTTTTTTTGTTGTTTTTTTTTTTTGTTTCTTTAGCTATCCAATATTACATTTTCTGAATACCTGGGCTTTATTGTTCCCAGCATGTTATTTACTATTGCTAAATTCGGGATGGTAATTGAGAAAACAGCAAATGGGAGTGATGCCAAAACCGTCATTCAAATTTCCCCATGCTTTCTGATGGCATGAGTTCTCTTAGAAAACTTGCAGGTCTAGTAGGCAGTCTAGAAAACAAAGTATGCTGCATATTTGTTCCGTGCTGCTGAGTGAGTGCCAGACAGCTTCCACAGTGTTCATTTGACACCATCAAACTTCTTACAATTTGTTCGGAACAAGTTCTGCCCGAACATTGCACCTGGGCTTGCTGTTGGCTTAACTTTATCAGTTTCACTACTGTAAAATACCGGGGGAGCACCCAGCCCACTTTTACTGAAAACTGGGTTAATCTATAGACGTGGACGCTTGTCCGGTCAAATCGGGTGCTTAAAATTTGCAGAATTCCCTAGTTTGGGAAATGTTAATGGGTGCTTGAACGAAGTGGGTGCTTCTGTGGTAGTTTATGGCAGTAGTGTGTTTAAACAAGTAAATAAAGGTGAAGGCCAAAATTAGAAATTCATTAACTTTGCAAATATATATATATATACATACATATAGATATATATTGTTTGACCTATTTGAGTTACTAGGGCAAATCAGCAATCATGGAAAATTTGCCACTGTTCCCCTTTAATGGATGGCACAATCTTTCTTATAATGTCACTTGGTCTTTGGCACTGATGCAGGTCTTACACCAGCTTTGCCATCATCATTCAAATTTATGCTTACTATGCTCTTTTGAATCTGCTAGTTTCAATGCCATTTTTGATGCCTATTATTAGTTTTCGAGTTTCAGCAACTGTTTGGTTCCTCTCTAAGCATTCGTTGTGGCTTGCACCGAAATGTTCAGATGCTTGCTGTAATCAAGTCTTTAAGCATATACCCCTGTGCAGCATTGTGGATGCCTTGAGCACCAAATTCGGGGAGATGTGGGGTTTGTGCCCATACCCTTGCATATTGTAGAAGATAAGAGGTGTCAGCTCCAGAGTGCCTTGGATGTTCTGAACTCTTCTCTACTAGTGTACCCTTTCCAATGCATAACAGAATTGATTGTCAAGCTTTTCTTTCGATTTTGAAAGGTAGCTGGCCACAAGAGATGCTCGAGAGCTCTGTGGTAAAAGTGCCCACTTCATCAGATGCTCCTCGGGGAGGCTGGGTACTCCCCAGCCCTGCCTTTTAAGATGTCTCCTTGGCTGCCTGCCGGGTTTCCTTGATGTGTCGCACATTGTGTTCTGGCCTGCAGCGAGACTGGGATGCGACCCTGTAGTGATGGTGCGTGCCATTTGCTTGCCCAGGCCCCTTCAACGATGTGGTGACCTCATACCTGAAGTTGTCCAACCCAACGGACCGGCGCATCTGCTTCAAGGTGAAGACCACGGCACCCAAGCGCTACTGTGTACGCCCCAACAGTGGCATTCTTGAGCCCAAGCAGGCCGTCCATGTGGCAGGTGACGTGCCACACCTTATCCTTTTTTTTTTACTCCTTTTAGAATTTTTGTTTGCTGCTCACAAACTTATGGTGCTGTGTTGCTGTCTCTTATTTCTAGTAATGCTCCAGCCATTTGAGTATGATCCCAGTGAAAAGAACAAGCACAAGTTTATGGTGCAGACCATGGTTGCTCCGGATGGCGACGTCAACCAGGACACAGTGGTGAGGAGTGTTTTACTTGGTGAAGCCTTGCCAAAGCCTTTCTTTTCCTCCTTATCATTGTTCGATGAGCACTTGGACTGTTGCATATCAAATTCTGAAGTTTTTGAACTGTTTAACTTTCATATCATTGGTGCAGCTTTAACCAGTTCCTACACTCCATGTTAGCTAAAGAAAAGGAATGTGTTTGACGGATTGGCAGTTGAGCTTTAAAATTCATACTTCTAGTTCCTCTGCACATAATCGTCTTCTTTTTGTCTTTTAAAATAAATGTGTGGGAAATCGGTCATTAAACCTGACTTTGACCTTGCTGATTGCCTACAAAAAGAGTTTTTCTCGTGTTCATCTTCTGTGCCACTGTATTAAGCTATTGTCTATGTTTATTAAAGGGAATGTCTCAGTACGACTTTGAAGTCTGTTATACTTGGAAAGGGGATGAGCAACTTGTTTGTGCAATGTATCGCAGTAACAAGGAAAGGGCTGCAATTTGATCAGTTGTTCCTTTTTTTTCTTTTTTTTGTTGCTTACAGTGGAGAGATGCAAATCCTGAAGCCCTCATGGACTCTAAGTTAAAGTGTGTCTTTGAAATGCCTGCTGAGGCTGCCCCCCAGGTAGGTGTTATCCTTTCTTGGTAGTTTGCACAGTGATGAATGCAGCCTTCCCTTGTGGCGTGGTTTAAATTTGGTGCTTGACTTGCTGCCTGGCTAGGACAAATGCTTGCCCTCCTAGGAGTGAGGCACTCCTCCAGCGTAACGGCCCTGACTCGTGGCCAGACGTCTAATTTGGCTTGTGATGCAGCGTGCTAACATGCTGCTAGCGAAAGCAAAGATGCTGCGAGTCACATAACCCTAGGAGATGGCTTTTCGTTTTCTCAAGTGCTTTCCTCAAAGATGGGCAACGTTAGTGTTGTGGCTCTGTTAACAGGCTCGCCGCAGAAGTGGTGCTTGAGCTTCTCCCCAAGACGTGACTTGCTCCATGGTTGCTCTCGTGTTGACCATTCTCTGTTGCCATCCTCAGATCCAGAATTGTAATGATCACAAAGGCATCTCGATACTGGTGTGCTTTTTCGCTGTGTTCATGCTGCATAAAGAATGTGTGAGAGAGTCCTCGAAGGCACACTCATGGTGCAGGTCATGTTTTTGCGCCTGGACCTCCCTTAGGGGTGTTATCTGGTGAACTTCTCTTGCACAGAAGAGCCAAAGGTTTGACGTGCGCTTCTAGCTCCTAAATGAGCTGGAGCGTACAGGCACACGCTGGGATAAGTCAACCCGAGTCAGTGGTTGCACAGGGAGAGTTTGCAACGTGCACTCCCCACCTCGCCCTATTTTTTTTCCTCGTATTATGGTTCCGAATCCCAACAGAATACAGTTTCATTGCGAGGCTTCCTTGGTCGTCGAGTCAGTGTGTTGCCTCTGCGGGACTCTCTCCTCGCTGTCTTGTCTGGCATCCATGGCTGTCGCACGGCATGCCGTCCTGTTACTAACTCGTGACCTCTGTCTCTCTTTTCCTCCTCCCTGCCCCGACCGACATCCCGCTCACCCTGGGACGCCCCTCTTGCATAGAATAACCTAGACCTGAGCACGTCTCACGGTGACGAAAAGGGAGCTGCCCCTAAGACACTTACCGAGTCCGCCCCCAAATCCCCCAAGGTGAGTGGATGGTGACAAGGTGCCACCTGTCTCTGCTCTGGCTGTGAATCCCCTTTCCCTGGTTGCTCGAGCATCGGGACACCCTTCTGGTTGGGTCTCCTGGCGGCCAGGCGGTAGTCACTAGACTTGCTGCATACCTTGTCCAGTTGATCAGTTCATTGCATCAGGGAGGCTACCACATTCTGCCAGTCCCTAAGGGTTGCTGTCGACGCTTTTATGGGCAATGTTCGGGTGGGTTTTCCCTTTGGAAGTCTGGACTACTTAGTGTAAATTCAGTATCCACAAGTGTTGGAAGGTAGTGCTGGGGTATGGATACTCAAACCACAAGACTTGTATAGTGAGATATATTGGAACACTCCCCAAAGTTCTTCATGCAACCCTTGATGCATTCCATCTAGTGTTATTTGCACTTGTTTATGTGGTCCCACTGTCCTAACTTTGTTGTATTGGCCAGCAATTGGTGTAAAAATAATGCACTACTGACCGTGACGTGAAAAGTGTCGCATCATCATTGGGTAGCTCTAGAGTTGTCGCTTTTTCCGCGGCTTTTTTTAATATCAGTCTGAGATGGGCACATTGCGAGGACTTGGAAATACATTCCTATCTTGTGTTTTGATTTTTGGGTGACCTGGTTTTCTCTCTCCTTTGTACTATAACGAGTTCCCACATGGTCAGAGTATACTAGAAGCCATACCTCCATAATATGAAATGGAAGGGCATTCCCAGTTATCACACCTTGACGTGTGACGGGGCCTTAGATGCACCAGATAATTTGAGTTATTGTGTTTAGGTGGTCAGTTTCACAATGAAAGTGACCATCATGAAATTATTTTTTCACCTTGACTATCTAGTTAGTGCTGAGAATAAACACCTCAATTTATAAAGCATGAGATGTAGATCAAATTTAAATTACAGGTGCTGTTCATTTTTTAATTTTCATTGACTATTTATAGGTCTTTTATTTCTTTTCCTTAACTACCATATTTTCCGGTGTATAAGACACACACCCCAGTTTTCGCAAGTTTCTTAGTAAAAATGAGTATATAAGACGCAGCTGTGTATAAGACGCACCGCCGAAAATTTTGGAAATAAAGTGTGTCTTATACACTTGAAAATACGGTACTCCCTCTTCCCCTGGGACAAAGGGCGACATTCCTTATGTAGACGCGCAAAGAAAGAAGTTTATGAGTAACATAGCTTCTCTATAAAATTTTAGAATGTGAATGAACCTCTGAAATTGTAACAATGTTTACCTGGTGCAGCTTGAACAATTTTGGGTGTGTATTTTGTTTTAGGAAATACTTTGAAGCAAATTGGAAACATACTAAGACCTTCATACTCTTCCATGTCCAAACCATTTACATGGATAGGCACCTAGTATTTTAAATTACCTACTTTGTAGTTGCACTTTTATTCCCACCAGTTCGTTGTCTACATTAGCAGTCAGTTTACTTTGTGAACCTCTTCATCATTCCATCAGAAGAAACAAAATGGAAGGAAACTGCCAAGAAGTTGTGAGAGATGTGAAGCCCATTTGACAGCATTGTGATTACCAATTCTTTAGATCGGTACTTTTCCGAAACAAGACCATTGGCTACCAACATTAGTACTGTTGTTTTATGCTAGCAGTGGGACCTGTGCTTCACTGAATCCTGCCTCTTTTGTGGGTTGTCCAGTGCTCCGGCCAACGTTGATAACTTGCTAAGGTGCCAGTGTTCCTTCCTTCTTCCTATGGGTGCAGATAAAAACACGAGCCTTGTTGTAGGCTCATAATTGTGGTACAACAATTCATGAAATGTTTTCATTGAAAATGGAAATTGGCTCCTGGACTCTTAGCGAGACTCAGTCTGGTCTGGCAGGTCATATGGAATGTAGCACTATGAGAAAAACGTAGCAGCAGGTTTTCCTCATTTCTCATACATTTATTGGCTCGCAAAGAAAGTGCCATAGCTTCTATAAATATTTTTGCAAAAGCTGAACTTTTGCAAAGATAAGGCTCGCTATGGGGTAGAGAAGACCATCCAAAATGGGAAAATATGGCAATATTCACAATTGTTCTACGAACTCCCAAATGTTCCACCTTTGAGTTTTCTGGGACCTCGCTGCTGGCATATATAAAGCATGCTTGGTGCAAGTGTTGTCTCCTATGTAACCATGTCCCAAAAACACCAGTGAACCAAGAATGTGTGGAACCTACAGTGGTGCAGGCAACCAATGTTGCTCTACGACAAGCAATTTATTTTATTTGGGTGTTGCTGGGAATACTGTAAACTACTTAAATTTCACAACTTGAAACATATTGCGCAAAAATTGATCTTGCGGGTATATAGCCCCATGCTAATAGATGCATAGCATATCACTCCAAATCGCGAAATTTTGGGCTCGCGACGTTTTTAAAGCCAGCGCTCCACAAAACTTGCAAAATATTGAACCCGCGAAAAAAAGCTGTTTACAGTATCCCATGGAATTATTCGTACTAACAAATGTCTGCTGTATGATTTAAGAATTCAGCCCATGGAAGATACCATATTTATATAGCCTGTACAGTACTAATAATTGTGTGTAACTCAATGTCGTAGCCAGAAACATACAAATGTTGACCAAGATCCAAATGCGGTCCAAAGAGATTAAGTTGAGTGCTGCCATGTCTGTTTTAAGTGGAGTGACATTAGGGGCTGCTTGGAAACTGCTGTAGGTGTTTGTGGTCATTGGTTGTTTCTACGAAGGAAACATTGTTTCACATTGTTGCATCTGAGTTGCGGATGTCTGATACTAGTTTATACAAATACAAACCTGTGTCCTACAAACAGCCAAGGCACTGATTTATCAACTTTGCTCCGTACAATTGCCTTATGTGAATTTCAATGGAACTCTGTGTGGAAAATGGCTTTTACTGGTTGTATGTGCAGGAATCTTTGCTGTCAGTTTAGGAATTGCCTATCAAAAAATTGTGCAAATCTTTCTTCGCTGTCAGCTTTTGTTTTGACCTGCTGCTTAAGAGGCATAGTGCCTTTTGAGGCAGCTCCTGGCACGATGCTTTGAGCTCTTTGTTCGTGGATGGGTTTCAGGCAAGCTTCTTTGAAGCTGACCTGAAGAGAGTCACCGAGGAATGCCGGCGACTGAGGGACGAAGTGGCCAACTTGCGCCAGGAAAATGCTGCCCTCAAGGTGGGTCTCTTGATCTGCTTTCTTAGTTGCCCACTGAATCCCAAAGTTGCAGCCACTGAGATTGTCTGTCCCTGCAAACATCCATAACCACCAGTGGGAAATCAATGCACTAAAACCAGGATCTAGAATAAAAAAAAAAAAAAAAATGTGGGTTGTGGCAACTGCAATGTTCGCAGTTTCTGTTCTATTGGGTGGTCTTGGTGCATCGGGCAAGGGCAAGGAACTATAAAACGGATTCAACTCGTGCCTCGCGAAATCGGGGGCTCTTTTGCTATGGCTTGCTTCCTACCGAAAACAAGGCGCTTGAGCACAGGGGGTGTGGAGCAAAGAAAATGCTGCTCTTTTGGCCACTGCGAGTGCTGAGAGGGCTCTGGGTGGTGCAGGAGGATGGCCTGCGGCGGCGCATGCAGAACATCACCTCGGCCCCCACAGCCTCGGAGGCAGTGACCGCTCACTCGGCCCCCGAGACTGGCTCGCAGCCAGCCCATCGTGCCAAGGAGCACTCGCTGGCTCAGCCGGCCGGCATCTCGCCCTTGATGCTCACCCTGTTTGCTCTGGCCATGGTGGTGACGGGGGTGCTGGTGGGCAAATGGCTCTTCTGAGGCTGGCCGGGCAGCACCCAGAGAGCAGTCCCTCCTCCCCCACTGTGACCCGCTTTACCCTTTGCCAGTGAGACGACACTGACAGGCAGGGGCCAGAGGAACAGCAGTTGCCCCTCTCCTCTTCGTTTTTGCTCTCCTCCTCGTGCCTGCTTCTCTTTTTTTTATGTTGTTCCTCGCTACATTACAAGTCTTCGAAGCCTCCCCAACCACTGTCCTGTCCCCCCTTTTTTTTTGTTACCCTGTACACTCCAGCTCATTTACGAGCAGCATTCCCTCCGACTTGTATAAATCCGACTCACCTATTCAACAAAGGTCAGCTATCAGCTGGCACCCTTTTTGGCAATTTAATTTAGATGCCTTTTTTTTTTTTCTCGTGTGTCCTTTTTTGTTTTGGGAGGAGGGGGTAGGGGGAAAGCAGAGTTGATTGCGGTACATTGTCACACCGAGTTTTTTTTTTTTTTTTTTTTAAGATTCGGTAAAGTGGTTGGACACTGGCTTTTGAAGTGTAATCGAGGGAGGTGAAATTATCAGTTGTAGGTATTTTCTGGTTAGTATGTTGCCTACATCGCGAGAAGCAGCAAGAATCTAGCCAACAGGTGCTTTGGAAGGCTGGTTGGGAAAACCAGCAAGCTGCTGCCGTGAATTGTGCTTATGGAAATCTTGCGATTGGAGGCTGTAGTCGAAATCCTAATGCCCGTCAACATGCGACGGTGGCCTGGACAACGGTTTGTGCCTTCTGTTGTCCCGCCCCCGGGTGTTGACTTGTTCCGATTTTGCCTTCCGTCTGACAGCTTGAGCACGCACAGAGGTGCTTGGTTCTGGGTGGCTGCGAGCTGTGTGCAAGGAGGATGCGTGCAGGGGAAGGAAGGTCAGCTTGGGAGGCAGTGACAGAACACACTGAAGGGGAGGGAGCCTGTGTCAACATGTCGTCGCATCCTTTATTTAAGCGCCAGGAAAGAGCTGTCGCTAACTACTGCAAGTGTTGAGACCAGTTTCCTTTCACAATAGCAACTGCAGACCGCATTTGACAAATAAAATTTTCCATAAACTAACGCACCTCTTGGGGAGAGGGGGGGGGGGGGGGTCCATTTAATTGCCTTGTTATGCTGTCAGACCTGGTTCTGTCTTTTTTTTTTTTTATTATTTTTGTTTGTTCAAAGTTGTCTTAATGTGACGAGGCCCTTGGAGCAATCTGCATCTGCTGACAAAAGTGATTGTAACCAAGGCAGTAGTCTTTAACAGCTGCGCTCCATTGCCCGGTAGCTCTTGACCTGGGTTTTGTTTGGTATGGAACATTTCAGTGGGTTGCACCACACTGCACTGTCCAGTTTTTCCAAGCAAGTTAGAGGACTTCCGAGGGTTCCTTATGAACCACATTAGGCACGATCGTTGCTGCTGCATCTTAGGTCTCTACAAAGTAAATGACAGAACTGTCCAAGTGGTGCAAAGACTGCATTGGTAGGAGATTTGGCATCCCTTTGTTGAGACTGTGAAACAGCAGTGGAAACAAAGCGTGGCTGTGAGAAATGCGTGGTTTTGCGTATTTCAAGCCACTGTATTTTGATTTCTCTTTCTTTGGCGGTGTGTATCTTTCTAGGTTTGACTTTGTGCCCAGCTTTATTATGTGAGCCATCTTGGCTAACCTTAGGGAATGATGTATGAATATAAAAATGCTAAATAAAAGTGGTTGAATTAAAATTCATGGTTTTGCTACCTTTTCCAGCATACAAGTTCAGGTATGCAGTAATGTGCATTGTGTAGGAGTGGCTTTTCCAACATATGTCTTAAAACTGATGATCGTCACACAGGTGGTTAAACATCTTTTATGATATGCCCATTAGTTTCCTTAAAGTAACTTCCTTTTGCAATTGTATGCACGCCGTAAGTGAAGACCGAGCAATCTATACTGTATCAGTGTCATAGGCAGATGTTGGAAGGGGGTCAACCCCCGCCCCCAACTCGTCCTGGAAAATTTCCTGGCTATGCCATTTAGTTACACACTAGACAAAATAGCCTAGAAGCATAAGGTACAAGCTTACTAGGCAAGAGAAAATGGCTTCGCTAAACAAGATTCTACACAAGTTCCTTCCAAGGATCTGACTACATGCCCAAAGCCTTCAATGTATTGGGCTAAAGTAGAATGGAGCATATTTCAACACAGCTGTGATGTAAACTAGTGGAAATGCAAAAGCAAGTAACATAATGATATGCACATATTATAGGACAAAAATGACAGCCAAGGCCAGGTTGCACGGAACTTTCTATCGGTAGTCGAGTACACATGGTCCCCAACTAGAGCTGGCAGGCTGTCAGAAATGTCTATGTATTGATGCAGACAGCTGCAGGACATCATAGAATACTCTGAACAGGAGTTGTCCTAGATCACAAGATGCTGCACCAGCGTTCTTCCTGACAGTTGTTCGTTTTGCCTTGGCAAGGTGTTTCCTGTGAAATTGGCACATGTGCATGTTTGCAAGGGCAGGGGGAGGTCTGCAACATGTGTGTGGTGTTTCCATGAGCCATACAGGGCTGGGTCCTCTGTTTGGGCTTGGATGGCTCCCTGACAGCAAACACCTTGGAGGCCCAAATCTTGGATTCGTCAATGAACGTCTGTAATGACAAAGATTATGGCTGCTGGCAGACTGACTCCTCTCATTTCTGTGCTCGTTGTGTTAGCACTGGGAAAGTAAGAAAATGAAATATTTCAAGCAATGCTGCATCAAAAGGACAGTTGTTCAACACAATTTTCAACTGCACGGCTAAATGTACGACATTCAACGGGCTAAGCTACTCAGAATTTGTGATTCCTAGGTTGTATTTCATTGCTAGAAAAATGCCCACACTTTGTTTCCCCACACTCTAAAGGAACTATTTTTTGAAAAGGTACATTTAGGTCTAGAAACCTCACTATATATTTGGAAAGTTTAACGCTAAAACAGTATTTACCTTAAAAAAGAATTTTTTTTGGAGTGCTGGTGGTGGCCTGGCAATAACGAGTGGTTGAACAAGGAGGCAGACATTTGTGCAGTTTTCAAACAATGCCTCATGGTTGTGCCCAGTGTTCCTTGTATGTAGCATGCATCTTGCAAATGTTGTAAAGTATTGCAAGAGTCTAGAAGCTTGCTGCTTTTTTTGTTTTTTTTTTCTATGCATTTACAAGTTGTTTTTTAGATGAAATCAGATTTTGCGGTACAATGCGCATAAAATAATTTATTCCTACCATTTTTTTGTGATAGCATCAAGTGGTGACAGTTTTGTCCAAATCGTCAAATGTGCATTTTGGAACACCCCATTAAAGGGAAGATGGGGCACTTCTGCATTTGATAAAAAAACACTTGAATTGTGTTCATTTGGCCTTTAGAATAACATATATCACAATTAAGTTACAATGCGACGCGCCGGAGAGCCGTAAGAGCAATTTCAAATTGGGGCTGAAGCCCTGCCTCCCTAGCCTTGGGCAGCCAAAAGATCCATCGATGACGTCACGTACAGCGACTGTCTTTCGCGCCTTCTCGTGTTTAACAATACTTGCGCAGCAAATGGTTCGGGTTCATGGGGTAAAAATACTCTAGAATTCACTTCTAACTAATTTTTTTCAAGAAGCTCCGTAGCTTCCCTTTAAGGCTGAAAAGTGTACTGCTAACCCAGCTAACTGCATATTTCACACTCCTGATTTCACTCAATTTGTGCAAATGGTCAAGCTTAGAGACTCTCCTTAAGGTTAGTTGCCTCTACTCTGGAAAAATTGGAACATATCGAGCAAATGGCTGCTATGGACAGCTGTGACGGGAAGATGCATGAGGCATTTTGCCTGTTCTAATCCTTGTCTTTGCTCAATTTCTGCCCTTGCATGTTGGCAGTACCTATTGTTACGTGAATATAGGCTTGTTTGCTCGTCCCCATTCGTTTTCCAGTATTCTGCTAAAAACATAATTTTCATTGTTGCCTACGTCGAATGGGTTTTAATATATGACACTCCTTCCCGGAGCATGATGTCATAAGAGCAGTTTTTGGAATCTCTACTCGTGCATCTTCAGCACCTTCATAGGTGCTGAAGATGCGCGAGAGTGCACGAGCACTCTTGCTATTTTCGAAATGGTCAGAAAAAAACATCTCGACTGGTGTCAGCGCAGGGGAATATACCTGACAAGCTTGCAGTTGCACGCGCTGCCCACACAAGCGACACGCGCTTGGCGGCCAAAAGATGCTTTTGTGACTCAACGACTGGTCGGAGGTTTTTCATGTTTTCTCGCATTTAGTTACATCTTCAAGGAAAACGAACGTAATAATCAGATTCACAGGATAAAATGCTATAAAATTCACCTCTAACTCGTTTCTATTAAGAACCTCTTCAGCTTCCCTTTAAAGGGGCCCTGCAGGGACTTTTTTTATTTGTTTTTAATTTGCACCAAACCTGAGCTCACTGAACGTAGTAACTTAATGAAACTTTTCTTTTCTCGAATTTCGCTTTATTTTAAAAGTTGTAGGAAAATTAAAATTACAAAAACAAGCAAAAAATAACCTCCTTCGTGACATCCTTGGTCGTGGCTTGAGTGGCCGTGAACTAGAGGAGGGGTAGTGAGCTCAGCGAGCGCTCACGGCTGCCACACTCCGTGTCGACAACGCGAGAGGGCACCACTAAAGTCATGTGCTGGATAGGCTAGATGAAGAGGGCGGCTCGCACTGCATTTGCTGCACGATTAAACACTAATTCGGCATGACACTTCATTGGCCACAAACGACAGCAAACACAGGGTAAAGATCAGAACGGGAGCCACTTCGTGCTGCCATACCACCAAATGGTCAAACCGCAAGTCAAACCTTCTTGCCGAAGACCTTCGGAACCGGTCGGATCCTCAAGGCCGTATACGACCGAAGTGCCGCCGCGTACATCCGGGACCATTCTACGCTTGCCGCTCGTCGGTGCCTGATCCCACTACACCTTTCTAGAATGCGCCGCCTTTTCCACCGCTTGGTGGGGGGTATCATGTCGATGGGTCATTTCTTGTTTCCATACTTTATAAACTGCATTTGTTTCTTCTCTGATCTAAAATACTGGACAAAAACTACTTTTATAAATAATTGAAACTGCTCGCGGCCACTTATATTTTGTATTTCGACTAAAAAGAAGCTTTTAGCAGCTGTGACCAGTAGCAAGCCCAGGACCAAAGAATTCACATTTTGCGCACTTTTGGCACCGCGGGTTGCCCCCATAGGTGAAGGAGTTTTCTGGGTCGTCTGGTTAAAATATGACGTACTGATATTTAGTTAATCTCTCCGTGCCCGCTGGCTTGCCCAAACCCCAAGGGACGTGGAAACCGCAAAAGAGGAGGACGCTTAAATATGATTGCAGGGCCCCTTTAAGTGAGTGATGCATACTTGAAGGTGATTTCCTTTGAAAGGATGGGTGTTTTCACCCATTAAGGTGGATGCTTTCAGATTTACCCAGTGTGCAAGTTTTAGTGGCATTCAAGTTCTAAAGTCTCCTAATTATAAAAACAAAAGTGGATACAACAGAAAACAAAAACTCTGTCACTTCTCTGCATGGTTCTATGCATTGCTCGCAACGTCGACGCAATGACTGCATGGCCGCTGCGAAGACTTCTTGAGGGTCTGTTGAGGCCACTGGCATATTGCTGATCCAAAGGCGGGAGGACTAAGATTTTTTTTATAATCCTAACATAAATCCCATTTGGGCATCAGCTTGCACAAACTCAAAACTCAATGAAATACTGCCTCGGGAGGCTAATGATATATGTTCGGTTTTATGTGCACTTGTTTTGGGCCCTCATTTTTCAACTCTGCTTTATCGGTCATGCACTCTACCATTTTATTAGGCTGCCGTATATCATCACAACACTGGCATATATACTGCTAGTGGTGCAGCCAGGATTTTACTGGGGGGGGTGGAGGTGCCGAGTGCACGAGGAGGGGGGGGGGGGGGGGGGGGGGGGGGGCAGTAGTTTTGGCATTTTCAGGGTGCGTTTCGACCCTCCAAATCCCACCCCTGCCTACGCCACTGTATACTGCAGAACTTTACAATTTGGACATCTACTTTTGCTAGTGTTGCGAACATTGCATTTTGCCAGAAAACAGACCTGTTTAACATAGTTTGCATGTGACGTCATCACACTATGTGCTGGTGGCCGTTGCGATTTGTTCTTGCTGAGAAAATCAAATCTGGTGGTGCAAAATGCACGTTGCAGAAGGTTTGTGCTCGGTGCAAGCCATGTATTTCAGACAAATTATTCTTGTTTGGTGCAGCGTTGTGAGGAACGGCGTAAGCGTCTGCCCATATGAAAACGCGCTTTCTGGCAAGAGTGCTTCTTGCAAACAAAGTAGTTTCCGGGGTCACGTTTTCTGGTTCGTGCCGAAGGTGCGGGGCAAAGGAAACTTTAGAATACAGTATGTTTTTAAAACTGCTCCCCCTCCCTTCCCCCCCTTTTTTTCGTTGCTTTTTTTTAGAATACTTCTTATTCCCAAAGGACTCCGCCTCAGTGATGTGTACATATAAAATGGGTCATGCAACAGTTTTTGTACTTTCAATAAATACTGCTAAGCACTAATCCCTGACGTTGATAACTTGCAAATATACGCATTAGGTTTCCTCTGCACTATGGCAGACGCAGAAAAAATAAAGGAAAGAAACAGCTTTCCCCTCCTTAAGTGGCAATTAGCACAAGCAGCCACGAGATCTGACGCTAATTAGCATCAGTGTTTATCATAGTCATGCACTAGGGCAAAGCATAGAGCGTGAACTGAGCTTCAGACATTGTTACAGTTCAGCTATTCTCATCTTTGAATATCGGCCATTAACCGAATGTTTGGCGATGCTAATTGTCATTCACCCGAGCACGCGACTCTGGCTTACGATAATCGAGTATGTCACGGTGTCACGTGACGTCTCAGTGCGAAATCGTGATGTGACGTCTCGGTATCAGCAACGCTAATGAATATAATGACATTCTCAATTTAAATCGACTTGCGCAGTGAGTCACATGATATTGCGGGGCCACGTAACGTGACATTACTCGACAGCATGACGTTACGTGACCATGTGACACATGATTAATCATAGTGCCAATACAAAAGCGCCACAAAAACCCACAATTTCTCATACCAATTATGTATATGACGATATGATCAATACATAGAAATACAAAGCATTGTCAATTGTTTATTTTAAATATTCATTTTGTAATTTAAAAAAAAAAAATTACCATGAACCATACTGAACCGGTTACCGTTATGTTTTTTCCGGTTCAGGTCCAAGGTGGTGGTGAAGATTTCGGTTCAGTTCCGGTGCGGCTAAAAGTAACGGTTCGGTTTCGGTTTTCGGTTCGACACTGGGTGTGATGAAGTTTATTCTTCTCCTAAAGAAAAGTTTGAAAGATATGTCGCCCAATGGGGCTGTGCATTGTTGCGATAAATTGTTTTTTTCTCCAATGCAGGAATTTCTTTTTTTTCTCAATGATTTGGAAGTTGGTGTTTTCATTGCTGCGACTGGCACTTAACTTCAGTACTGAAAAAAAATGGCATTCATTCTTGTCTATAGTCATAATGAATAAAATGAAACCACTATTCATGCCGTTTTTATGCGACACAGTAGTCTGATCTCGCGCAGGTGCAGAAAACAGTAATAACACATTGCTCTCTGAAGATGAACGTCACCATTTTTAGTGTCGGAAACATTGGTGAGACCAGGTATGACACGGGTTTTTTTTTGTGCGCCTTTGACAATGTTGCTCCATCTCGCATTCACTCCCAGTAAAATCCCACATAGATGCCCTTCACGTGTTTCCCACTCACATTTAAAAGAAAAGACACTTACGAGACCTTACAACTTGAATGCCCCTCGTCAACTTGGTTAAATTTTCACAGTGTTAAGAAATAATATAACTGCCATGAACTTGCCTTGTTGCGTATAGATTTGAGCAGTGTATCCATAGCAGGCGAGCCACACCGCAACTTGAAGTCCAGTGGCTCCTTCCCAATCTGGAAAGTGATGGAGTGTGTGAGGCCAAACCCCGACTTTTCTGGAGACTCGGACATGAGTTCCAGAGATGCTGTACTCACTCTGTCGAGGGTGTGTTCTGAGCAGCCAGCATTCATGAGCAGTTTGACTATTTCCTTTGCATTTGGCATTCCATAGGCATAATGCAAGGCAGTGCGGTGATGCTACCCAAAATTGAACCGTGTTTGTCACGACAAAAAAAAATGGTGGGTCTCTCAAACATAATTAGACATGCATTGGTATGTGAGCCCAAACACAATCCAACTGACCTGGTCCAATAAGGTATCAACAGATTGGCCCTGTGGAATGTTTTCCAGGATGACTTGGACGATCCGTGGATGGTTGAATAACACTGCTCGGTGAAGGAGAGGCTGACCCTCGCCCTATGTTGCATAAAAGACTAATCAATCATTTCTTTTGCCCTTGAAAGATTCTTTCTGCTGTTCATGCCCACTGCATTCCCTCCAAAAAAAGTTTCAAGTCGTGGAACTCCCGAATATATGGTGAAGTTATTTTACGCCGTAGTTTATTCAAAGGCAATAACTGTAATTCGTTTTTCCCTGGGAAGAGGTATCAGATTTTCTCACACTTGTGTTCCTGGAGCGAATGTAAAACATGTGCAAAATATGAAGAATAATTAAGAATCTTTTTTTGAGCGAAAACAGTTTCTGATTCTTGTTTAGGTTACACAGAATTGGAGAGAATCAGATGGTTCACTCAACAGCTGTGCGATTTTGAAAAAAAAAAAAATGTAGCTGACACACTGTAAACAACTATTTTTGCAGGCTCAATAGTATTTTGCAAAATGTGAGTTTCAGGAATATTTTGTGGCTACAAAATTTTGTTATTTAGAGTGGTGTGCTATGTATTTGTTATCATGGGCTGATATAGTTGCACAATCATTTTTTTTTTTTTTTTCACAATATTTTCAGTCTCAAACTCTGCAAAAGTTGGGTCCTCAGAAAATTAATGTTGTTTAAAATATGTCAGTAAGCTGACTAGACTAGGGTCGCATTTTTGCCTGAAGCATTCAGCATGTCGAGTTTATAACTACTTCGTAGCTATTTTTTGGTTTTTGGTGTAATAAATTGGAAGTGAAATAAAACAGGTGTCTCAATCATTAATAATAATAATCTTGATTTTAGAGCATTCAGAAACCAGGTGTTAAAAATGATAAAGAACATATTGGTCTTCACCAACACAAGCAGAAAACAAAATGCTAAAAATATTTAAAAGTAATACTTCTAACCAAACAATATAAATACATAATGTTGTAAGGTAAACACAAGATCATCCAACTGGTGGTTTACTGCAATTTACCTTGTAATGGCTTGACTTGCACTATAGGCAAAAAAAATTGTAAAGAAGCAAATAGTGGTATACAAAAGTATGCAAAACTTCAACACTATTTTTTGTCTGATTGCTTAGAGAGGTGCTAAAGTGGATGTTGAGTTCATCTTTTTATGGCGATTACTCAATCTAAGGATCCTTTAAATCTAAAGTTATATTTTCTCCATTAAGAACAACCAAAAATTGAGACAAGCCCCTTTACTGAGATATTTCGGAGAAAGGGGCATGTCCCAGCATTGCCATATTTTAATAGGGAAAAGGGTTGCACACAATTATAATTGTGGGTTTTCCGGATGCTTAGGGTGTGCAGAGTGAGTTTGCACTATAAGAAAACAACCTATGTACAAACAACTTTGTAGGACACATTTTCAAGACCCCAGGATTAAAATTAAATACCAAACAGCTGACGGGATTTTCGGTTATTTTCGTCTACGAATATTTTGAAATAATGTTTGGCACACCTCAACTGGCATCATTATAAAAGAAAAGAAAAAAAGCCTGCTTTCAGCTTACCTTTGAACATGATTCCCAGCAAAGGTTCATTTTGAATGCTGGCAAATTGCATGTCCTCAGGGCTTCGAATTCTTCTAGGTCACCGCCCTCTACCGCTTTGAAAAGCTTTAAAATTTGGCTCTAGAATGGTGGGAAACCCCAATTGTTATAATGCAAAAAGGCTATAAACAAAATTCAGATCCTTGAGCTCACCTGATGTGCTTCAATACCCTCCAAATATTCAATAGTAGTGTTTGCTGTTATCTCAGTCCTAAGTTCCTGGAATGGCAATGACTTCTGTTGAGTTTGATGGGAGTGGGATGATCAAAAGGATGGGGGGGGGGGGGGGGGGGGGGGGCAGAAAATTTTCTTACCTTCATGAAAAGTTGCTTTATGTGGTTGTACCCACAAATGGCCAGGAGTTGTCGCTGGTCAGGATACTTGGTGTTGTCTTCTACCCAGCTCTTGACGACCTCGAATATTACAAATGTTTCATTATTACGATAGGAAATCTGTTTCTAAACTTTCATTATAAACAGATTTTAAACATTGCAGCATATGATCCTGCTTCTATGATAGATACCTTGTCAATTGTAGTGACATAATTGATCTGTCCAGCCTCTTCTGCCAGATCTCGCACAGACCTGTTTTGCTGAACATAGGACAAGATTGTTAGAAAAGAATGTTGAACCTCACCATGAGCACCAGAAATACTTGCTCAGGCACAAGGAGACCTTGCACTTGCACCTTGCTTTCAGACTACCTGACGTGCATTTATTTCTGACTCTCGGTATGAAACTTTACAGGAAGGAGTACACCTTACCGCTTAACAAAAGACTACACAAGTCACATTTTCTCGCATAATGTATATCCGTGTGCCAAAAAGCATTTAGTATGAGTACCGTAGAATACCGCGGATCCGCCCATACCACACTAAGCGCCCATACCCAAATTAGTAAGATCTGAGAAAATATGCACAGTACATTGATATGTAAAATTGATGACCAGACAACCGCCGATCCCCCATTTTTTCGCGATTATCTCTAAATTTTGAGTGGGCGCTTGCCCAGTATTTTACGGTAGACAGAAATACCGGATAGTCCTGGAAACAAAGGGCAAGGAATTAAAACTACTATAGTTTGATTTCATGTCACCAAGAAAACCTATTTTAACATTAGGACTCTAGACTTGACAAAAGGAGCAGCAAGAATCTTCTTGAGCCTTCCAAGCTTTCTAACATTAAGCAGAGCAATTGACTTTGAGGCAAATGAATGAGTGCATCTCATGTGCACCTTGTCTAATGCCACTGAGACATCCATATTGACAAATTATCATGGGAGCCATGTGCAAACATGCAAAAGTTTAGTATCATTCTGAACAATGTGGTATTTAATTTTATCTCCGACTCGTATATGTGAAAACTTTGTAATTGATTTCATATGCAATATACAGCTATATTTACAGTTGAACCTCGATTTTACGAAACCCAATAATACGAATTTCCCGATTTAACGAACAAATTCAGATTCCCCGTGCAGTTTATGTGTTAGGTCTCCCTTCCTCAATTTTACGAGGTTCCCGATTTAACGAAATAATCATCGGGTCCCGGTGACTTTGTTAAATCAAGGTTCAACTGTAGCACCAGTGAATGCACTTTCCTCAGTACACTGTGCCTATAATCCGGAGCGAAGGCCCGGCCGCATCCAGTATCTGCCATTCACTCTGCCACTTCCCCGCAGAGCATCATTGTGCGTGGGGAAACACATTCCTTCAGAGCAGTGCCCGGTTGCGTGCAACAAATTGTAAGGGGAAAAAATATATATATTTTCCTTATTTTAAAGTTGAAATTATAGAATTTGTCTGTGGCTGTCATATTGTATAAATATATGCTGCAATGTTTTGATGCACCTTGTGGTCAAATGTCAACAGCTTTGATTTTATTTCTGAAGTGCAGATATATACCTAGCTTGAGATGTAGCGAAATAATTTACAATTTCCTCGAATCACATATCGTGCTTTGTAATTTGGGAGAACCTTTAATTCTGCCACAGAGGTGTGCTTAAGAACAGCTTTTTTCCACGGGCAGTCGTCGAGTGGAACAGACTCCCTTCAGAGGCCATTGAACTAGACTTCCTTGAAAAGTTCTCTGTCAGGCTGCAATCATTTCTATCCGATGACATGTGCAACATATAGATAACAGCAATTTATCCCCTGTCGCCTGCATCCACAAACTGAACTACCATTACAACTCAAACCCGTCCATCTCCCACTGCCACAAAACGCTCGTGTATCCCACTGCTTTTTTTTTTCTTTTTTTTTTTACTTTCATGTTCATGTTACATGTGTGTTATCTCATGCTACTGATGACTTATCAAGCTGTTCAATTTATGATGTTTCATTGTTTGGCTTTACTACCTTATGTTACTGTGTACTTGTGAAGCTGTTCAACCTAATTATGTTTTTTTGTTGTTTTTTTTTGCTGTACTACCAGTACTCGAGTGTTGCCTTAGCCTTTGCACAAGCAACATAAAATCTTTAAAAAAAAAAAAAAAAAAAAAAAAAGTATAGTTGCTTTTTAGTTGATGAGGGCTCACTAACTAAATCACTGTCTTTTACAATTTAAGGGTCGTTTCAATCAGATTCAGGCAGTTAGGAGAAGTCACATTAAGACGAAAGCTTTAAATGTCTCATTGTTCAGTCGACCTTCAAAGCCTTTGAGTGAAAACACGTCGGCGACACGAAAGATACCAAAACGTTTATGTGACCAGTCGGGTAAATTAGAGGCAATGCAATTAAGAAATGACAAAGCAGATTAAGAGGAATTAAAGTGAATTAAGAGGAATTAAAGAGAAGTAAGACCAATCAATGGGAATTGAGGTCTATAAAGCAAATAAAATGTGAAAAAAGAGATTGTGAAACAAAGTAAATCATGTGTCTGTCTTTAATGGATCGGCGCTTGGGCTTTCGCCTTCAAGTCGTCTTAGGGATAGCATAAGAGACCCTGTGATGTTTCTCGGTTTATACTCTTGCCGCCATACCGGGCTGCCTATCCCTGTCGACAGTGACCACGCTAGTGATCACCTGTCAATCTTTTTATATTGAAATATTTCAAGTTGAGACATTCCTATAGGTTTGAAAAAATAAGCCTAAGAAATCGGACTACACCTAGTTCTCAATGTTGTGCCATGGTTGTTTTTTTTTTTGTTTTTTTGGGGGGGACACGCTTTTATGCAGTTTGAGAAACTTTCAAATTGGTAATCTGAAAAATGGTTTGATAGCTTTTTTTGTCATATATGTAATAATGTCCAATACTGGATTTTGTTTTCTTTATTGTAGAACGGTGGTTCTCAACCATGGATGTTTCGCGGACCCCTTGTGGATCGGCGGAGACGATGGAGGACCCCGTTCGTAGTGAGGGGAAGGGAAACGTATTGCTTAATAATAATAATGATGTAATAAATTAACATAACTAAGGGCTGTGTGAAGTATTGTTTTTTGAGAGAGACACGAAATAACTTGCCCGAAAAACTGGATTGTTTCTTCTCAATCTGAGAAAAGACACCTTTTATCCCTGGGTTTGACTGATGAGGCTGGGCTGCGCGGAACCCTAGAATGCCTTCGCGGACCCCATTTGAGAACCGCAGTTGTAGATCATAAAATCAAGCTCGGCAGTGAACCTACAAAATTCACTATGTTTTATTCAAACTTGCCTTGTTTAGAGCAGGCTTATTTTCAGCTGCTTCTTTCATTTTAGAAAGCATTTATAAAACCCAAGAGTTCATTTGGTACTGTCATCGTAAAACAGGAGTGGGCAAGCTCGCTGAACTCCCATTTGTTGTTCCAATGTGCTTGTCTGGCAAAATGGGAGGCTTTTTTCGTGCTCACTTCCTCAGCAAGATTTGAAAAGATTATCTGGTGTTGCATGTTTGACACTTACCCAGTCTCTGGATGCGAGCAGTGGTGCACCTCCTCGTTGCAAAATAATTTCAAAAGCACTTGGTGGAATCCGCTTCTTGAGGGCAACTTCTAGAATTGTGCTGCCCTGCAATGCGTCCTTTGAGATTAGATAAAAGTTCATGTACTTTACTTACCCTTGCATCCCACCTTGTAAATGAGCCTTCGGAGTAACTCCCTCTGGCCACTCAGATTATCAGGCATTAGGGCATCTGCTATATCTGGACTCATATCAGATGCAAGGGCCGAAAAGATTACTGGGATTTCTCGCTGAGGAATGATGAAGGAATTGTAAGGTTAGTTAGAGTGCCACTTCCAAAAAGGTCCACTCACATTCTCACAATCTCGCATAAGAGTGAAGATATGGCACCCTGCCATGATGAGCAGTCGGGCTATTTCAGCATCTCGATTTGCGATGGCATAGTAGAGTATCGGTGCACCGTGATCACTCTGAAAATAAAATTATTGTGCATTCTTTAACATGCATATCCGATATGTGCTGTGACTGGCACTACAAATTTAGCTAATATACAGTCATTCTAGAGTGTCCTTTCAACCATGGTGTGCCTTAGTGAGAAGATACCCTAGACCCTCAAAAACAATCGTGGTATGTGCCATATTACTAGGAGAGCTGGCCTCATAGTATTTTTTTTGTATGGAAGCAGGGCAAACACAGAAGCTTGTCTGTTTCAAAGTGGATTCAGATCTAGCCACTGTGGTCAAAATCTTGCTTAGTGCATGTGTAGCATTTGTAACCTCCATATTCAAGGTATAGTGGTGGCAATATGAGCTGGCTCAACAGAGTTCAGACCGGAGCAGTAAAAATGCTATGGAGGGAGTGCTGAATTAAGCTGTTCGGTGGAAGGCTGGATAGACTGACACTATTCTGGCGAACTGTGGCAGTCCTTTCCATGACTTAGCGTGCCGGAGACATTCCATGCTGAAGTTTTCAACCTTCGGCTGGCACTCTCCATATACTGGTGTCTCCTTGTATGAGGATGTGATGGGCACTTACCATGTTCCTGAAATCCAAATTCAGATTATTTCGCTCTGCATCCAGTATCTCTTTCACCTTCTCAACTTTACGGGCAAGAACATGATGAACCAGGCGCTGCACAGAGAAATTAAGTCTCACTTTCACTGCACATAAATTATCACCTTCAAACGTACCAGTGCAGTAACTTCTATAAAACAGATGGAAAGTAGTAGACTGTGCAGGATTATCTAATGCCTGTGTGCACACAGTCCGTCTAAAATTATTATCTGAGATTTGAAAATTCCTTCGAACAGGCAAGCTCTACTGCCAGGTAACTTAAGGAGCCTATCTTTTATAACACGCTGTTTCTTAAAGGGATACTACAACGCAATTTCGGAGCTTATTTTTTGGTCTATATGTGTTCGAAGGAGCAGTATCACATCGGACACACCAATATCTTGTTAAAAAAGACAGGAAAAGAAATTTTAAAACATATTAAACAATTAGCAAAGAGCACATGGTGGATGTCGCTAACGCCTCGTTTGTAATGCCCGTCTAGGAACCTTGACAGGTAGTGACGATAACTGTCTCTTCCCTGGCCTCTCCCCGAGAATCTCTTTTGTGTGTCCCAGAAGTCGCTATTGTCCCTCTACAAGATTATAGAAGATTAACCCCGTCACTCAACATTCGTACAAAAGCAGCCGCTTCGGTGGCTGGAACGACTGGGACATCCTCTCGACATCAGCCTTGCCGCAGCTTTGCTCGTCCGTGACGACCCACGTCACGATTGCGTCTGATGTCGCGTACTCCGCTGGCTGCTCTCTGAGCGCTTGCCAGAGTGGGCTGTTTATAACAACAAATACAGCCACCAGGCTCAAAATATGAATGTGCGATTGACATCTACGGATATTGCGAGATCATATTGAACCTATTTTTGAACACGACGAATATATTTCAAATTTCGCTGAAGTATCCGTTTAAAGGGACACTGACACCCCCCAGAATGTTTTAACAGTTTTTGCCAGGCGATTTAATATGGTATCAGGAGGCCACACAATCAATATTTTGCTACAGAGTTACATATATTTGTAATAAAGCCAAAAAACGCAACTGTTCGAAACCGAAACCAAAACATGAGCGCGGAAGCTGATGGCCAGAAGTCACGTGGTTACACCTAACCATATTTTTTTTTTCCCACTTCTCCGGCGTGTGGAGCAGACGACAAAGTTCCGTGCACTGTTTGTTGTGCGATAATTTCACAGTTATATCTTTTGCGCTCAATGTTCTGCGCTTAAAGATCGATTGGCCGGTACAATGAATGGCAGTTCCGAAGTAGTGGCCCCAGATCCATCGCAACGTTAGTCTGTCGTGCGCCACCATCACGTCGTCCAGCCCGAGAGATGCTTGTGGTACGTCGCCATATTGAGAATGACATGTTCATGTACTTCCTGTGATCTGTGCATTTTTTTTTTCTTTTTTATCAATGTATTTGCAGCTTTTGGAGGCCACAAAAATGGGGTTTGTATTCTTTTCTATTTTTAATACTGAATGTGAATGACCGACGACTTTAAATATATTTCGTACACATAGTTTGAACGCCACGTGACCATGGAAAAGAGAGTGAGTGCGACTGTAACCAGCTAATTCTCGACCGGCTGTTTTTGGGCGGAAAGAAAACCGCAAATTGTGTTCTGGATAGTTGGGCTCTTATGGGTCATTTTCAAATAAAAACCTCAGCGAACATAAATACCCTGTCAGTGTCCCTTTAAGGTACAGCCAACGTATCCCTTTTTGAGATGAGTCCGATGCATTTTATAAGCCTTGTCCATATAAAAATCTGGACAAGTTATATTTTTGAGAATGATGCTTTTAAAAATCAATGCAACTACAACTTTGCTTTTCTTCATCAAAACATGAGAGAATGATGACAAGTCAATGTTGAACTATTGTGGCAGAAGGTTCTTCTGCAGCAAAGCACAAGAAGTAGTCTGTATATTGTTCACAACTCATTGAAGGTGCATGCTTGTGCCCATGTGTCTGGCTCAAGCATTGTACATAATTCCTTCTTCTCTTCACTGTTCAACACTGATATTGCATGTGCAGTTTTTGAATCCAGGACGGCACTGGAATTCTGAACCTGTACAGATTTGTAAAATCCTGTTGAAAATCTTTCTTCCAACATGTTTCAGACCCTTGCAATGAACAAACAACACTAAGATTTACTTCATGGACTACTTGCTGGAATAATGGTTTATAGGCAACAAAGTAAAGCATAAAAAGTAAGAGAATGGTCACTATTAATTATCTAAGCAAATGGCATTATATGACATTGAATACCACAAAATTTGGAAACCAATCCTTCCTGTTATCAGCTAGAAAACAAGACACTCAATCTGCTATCAGTGAACCTGGACTATTTCCTGAACAACTAAAGCGGCAGATGTGGTGGACACTCTATAGTCATATAGGGGACGTCATATTGATCTTCGTAAGGTGCTGCATTATGTCGTGGAGGTATTGACTGCCCAGCAGTCAGCGAGCAAGGTGTCTGCAGATTTTTGGGTAGGAGCTGAAGACCACAGGGGGTGATTGGGACATAGCTTCGACAAATGCACAAGTTTCATCATATGAGCATGTGGGAAAGACTAGTCAAACAAACTCTCTTGACTGGCAGTTCCTCTACTGACATAATTGTACATGTGATTGCATAAAAAAATCAAAAATGGTTCAATAACTATAAGGAGTGATAGAGTGCAGGCAAGCCGGTAATGAACTGACTTTTTGTAGACCCTGAGATGGGGAACAATAATCTCACGGTCTACAAGATGTCGATTCAATAACTTATGCTTAAAAGGACATGTTGACATGCTCTGTACAGTATAGAACACACAAAATTTGTGCTAGCCAAATACTAGAGGTGAGGATGGAGTTGTAGTTTAACCACTAGGATGAAGGGTTGATCCTAATGTATATAAAACATTGCATAGTCCTTTTGAATTTAATTGGACCAATTACTGTCATAAACTTTAGAAGACTAGCAGGCAATCCACTTTCTTCACAGGAGTACAATATGTATCCTCACTGTATTTACTAGGTGATGGAAAAAACCCTGTGTGTGCTGCCTGTGTGTGTGTGCTGCTTCTGCTGTGTGTCAGCAGAAGTTTCTTGTTTGGAAAATTATGCTAGTAATATACAGCACATACACTAACACTTCAAACCCACTTTAGACGGTCCGTAAAAATAGATTTTTCAATGTATCATGCTACGATTTACTATATCACAATATCAGTGTGTGATATTACAATATCAACAGATGAACTTATTTCGTCCGAAAAAGAAAAAAGAAACTGTTTCGGCCAATCTACGGCAGCATTCACGGATAAAGCTGTAATAGCGCTAGTCGACTTGACTTGTAAGTGCAGCTGGTGTAACGTGAAGTATGAGAGGATGCAGCGCCTCGGTCAATCATTTCCGTACAAGAAATGGGGGGTTCTGGAGGATTTAAGTATCTCTTTTCCAAGTGCAAAAAATAATTGCACTTTGAAAATCATACATTGTAGAGACGCGCTGCACTGAGAAGCATAGCCAAAACTTCCAGAAAGTCGTCTGCTAAGCTCAACGCCGACCCGTCTTCGACGGTTCCAAAATCAGTCTGCAGCATTGCACATACTGTGTGCACCATCTACGAATACAGCCGTAGGTTCCTTGAAACAGGTTCTTTTTTCTCTTTTGAGCAGGGTAAGTTCATCCGTTGATATTTCCACTCCAAGCTTCCACCACCTGGCTGCACTTCTGTAGTAAATCGCAGCGCAACACAGTGAGAAACTGATTTTCGCAGACCGTCTAAAGTGGGTTCTAAGTGTTAGTGAACATGCAGTGGTATCGACTTTTGAAAAAAAATTCAGAAAACGTCTGTGAAGTCATTTTCCAAAATCCAACTAGATTTACTGTACCATCGATGGCTCGACTCCAAGGATCAAAGTGATGATATCTTCATGCCCAGAGTCTAGTGCAAGTTCTTTTAAACTGGGGCCATCCTTCTGTAAAATAGAGTGGTTTCATAAATTTTTATCACCTGTCTTTTTTTACAAGCTAACATACCGTAAAATCTCGAGGGATAGCCCACTTAACATTAAGAGTAAATCTGGTGAAAATACAGAGTTGGCTAACTTTCGATGTACATTCAAGAAAAAGTTAAAGAATACCTATTTTTAGGTTGTGTCCCTTCCAAGCTTGTTATGGTGCGAGAAGCAATGAAGCAAAGATGACTGTACTTCCCAGTCAGTAATGTTTTCTTATATCCCGCCATAGCTAACGAGCTGCATTTACGCCGAGGCCATCATTGATCCCAACACCTTTATTACTAGGAGTGGGCAATCTCTCGGGATTTTATAGTATGTTGATTGAAAATTACAGATTACAATTCCTTTAGGAAAAACAAAACTTTGAAATTTATGGAGGAATTATAATAATTTAGTAAACACATTGCCATGATCTACCACTGTGCAGGTTTATTTGCAAATTTATTATGCTCATTTTTAGAGCATGACTTGGTTCTGTCTAGTTTACAGTAGCAAATGCTTAATGTGACCATGTTTTTGTGTGGTCTGACAATTAATGTGCATACAATGCAGAAGTGATTACATGAAAACACATCAGCGCTATTCTAAAAAAGTTTTCCAAATGGAATTGTTAAAGCTCTAGAACTGGGAAATTTATATGATGTATAGAGCAACCAGTGGTGTAGCCAGGGGGGAGGCTTATGGGGCTTTAGCCCCCCCTCCTCCTCCCAAAATCCAGCCAACCCTATAATATACATATATAATATGCATTTTTACTCCCCCCTTCCCCCCTCTGCACAGCCACCTCAGCTCCCCCCCCCCCCCTCCCCCACCCCCAAAAAAAAAAAACGAAAAAAAACAAACTTGGCTACACCACTGAAAGTAACACAAGATTTTTTGGCACGTCGTCCGGATATTTGAAGACTTCTCCGTAGCACTCATTGTGAGAATTTTCAGAAGAAACTGAAAATCAGTAAAAATAGTTTCTCCTAGTACTGTAGAGATAGCTTGCATAGGATTCAATTTATCGGGCACAATGTTTACCTGGAAGACTTCAGTGCGACACCACATGTTGATTATGCGACGCACATCAGCTATGGAGCATTGGCGGATTGCATTGCACAGTCCCGGCTGTCAAAGTGTAAAAGGGCCAACCAGAGCATCATTCACTGTCTAACATTATTCTTTGTTAGGTTTCTTACCTTGAACTTATTGAGAACCTCTTGCAGTGCATCTGATCTTGTGACATCCTAAAAAACAGCATTAGAAAAGCCCAAGAATTTGATTTGGCAAGGGAAGAGGCCGTTCAAATGAAGGGGTGAATCTGAACATACATATATGTCACTGGGAGGATCTGGGGTGCATTGAAGGAAAGTACCGAGAAGATCAGGGTCTAAATTTTCGATAGTGTAATGGATGGCTGTCATGCCTTCCTGCATAAAACAATGCTGGTTAGTTTCATTAACGTGGCCACTTCCTTTGGCAAAATAAAAGCTTCTACAAACATCTGCACACATCAACTCACAGTGTTCTGTTGACTGGGGCAAAGACCTTCATTGCTCAGCATATAGATAATATCCTTTTGATGTTGTTTGTATGCATTTAATTCAGCCGTGGAGCAGTTCTTTAGTGGCTTCTGTTTCGCTATGACGTGCAAATAAGTTTCGTTTTTCTGAGAGGGAGAGAAGTCGGCATTAGAAACCCAGCTATACTTCCTCTTACTTGGTTTTACCAAATATTATTTCTCTTACGTTGTTTGTGGCAGTGCAAGGAACGCCGTCGTCCAGAAGCTTGCGCACTGCAAGTGCATCGCCTCTTGAGATGGCCTCAAGAAGCCTACAATCCTAAAGAAACAAAACAGTACACGGTTAGCGTAGAAATCTGGGCGAGTTGGTGATGCATCGGAATCAGAAAACAGCGCAAACACGGTCCGTCGTTTTGTTTGCGCTGTTTTCTCATTCCGAAGAACACGGTCCACACGCTCGGTTATTTGGCTTCACCCCATGCTCTCTTCTAATGCAGGGAAGCGAACGTGCGTGGTGAATTTTGGGTACAGGATACCTGAAACTGTTTCCTTAATTCCGGGTATTCTGTAACGAGAAGAAACCAATCTGTTACCTGCATAACTTAGTAGTTTGTTTCATTTGGAGGCTTTTTGGGTTTTGAGCTGAAGCGTTCGGCACAAGGAATGTTGGCTGTAGCGAGAGTGCGGAGCTACGGTCCTACATTGAGGAAGCATGCCAAGGATAACGTTTTCCGCAAACAGGCTCTGAATGCAAGCCATACGGGGTACCGGTGTACCCCACACAGTAGGAAAACCCACGCTAGAGACTGAACCAATACCCGCGCGCGCTAAACACTAAAAACTCCACGGATTCCACGACCAAGCATGTCAGTCATCTCGCCATGGTGTGGAGCACAGTGGTTGACTGTGGCAACTGTGGCGACTGGGGTGGGGTGGGGCTCGAATGTGGAGGCGTGAATGTAATCCATTATATATATATATATATATATATATATATATATATATATATATATATATATATATATATATATATATATATATATATATATATATATATATATATATATATAGTTTTGTTTTTTAATAACTGATTGTTGGTTGAATTAGGCTGGTTGTGAAGACTTTTCACGATGCTGCGCCCTGGAGCAACCCTGGAGGCGTCTGCGTCCATGGCGCCACAACGTGGCGCGAACTGCCGCCCGATTTAAAACATCGGCCATACGACCACACGCGACCACGAAAGAACGAAAGCGACGAAAGAGAGAAAGAGAGATGGCGTTGAAGAAAGTGGAAAACATCGGTAGTCAAGCGAAGGAACACCACGTACATGACATATGCGTGGTTGATTTTACCAGATTTTAGTAAACCATGGATTTAACAAATTTAATTCCCGATATGACCCTCCGGGGCTGGATCAGTGGACGCAAGTGAAGCCACCGGAAGTTTGATGCTTATCCCTGAAGTCGGGCGGCTGCTGTACCCCCTGTAGCTGCTGGGCTTCTCTGGGGCTTCCTAGTGGACTCAGTCGATGTGTTTTCTTTTTTTCTTTCCTTTTTTTTTTTTTTTTTTGTCCATACTTTACGGTGTCTTCGAGTGGGTTTTAATAATCGTGCTCCAAATTAAATCCCGAAATTGAGGCATTTGAACTTGGGACATATGCACACTTGATCAACTAGAATCTCAAAATGTTTACACTGTATGGCTTCCCGTATTACTTCTCGGGTCCAAGCAGGCTCTCTTGAGGTGAGAAGCGAAAATCTAGCGGCCCTCGACGCTTTTCGAACCAGCACTCGAAAGGGTTACGATTACGAAGCCTGCGGTGGTTTAGGCAGTTTAGGCGTGTCAAGGAGGTTAGAAGGGTAGGAGAGGGTATGACCACAGTTGGTATGACGTAAGCCGCGTAGCCTCCACAAGCCATGCTCCCTTGACGCCTCGCCTCTTTCTCATTTTCCTCCTTACTCTCCTCACTTATCAGCCCATGGAGAATAGTACGTATCAGCCACATCACGTGACTGACCGTCGCTAGCCAGCCTTCGTCTAACCTTCGATCTGATAAAGCCTACCGGACGGAGCGCGCGCAAGCCTGCAAGGAATCCTTGACGAAAATAAACCCTGGAGAAGGGGAACAAGACGGACAAAGGACAAACACAAATCTCCAAACACAGCTAGGTGACTGGTGAGCGACCGAAAAAATACGCCTGGTGTGGGCGGATTTTTTTTTTTTTTTTTAGCTGTGTTTAAAAATTTACAGCAGAAAAAAAAAAAATCCGCCCGCACCAGGCGGATTTTTTCGGTCGCTCACCAGTCACCTAGTCCTTTGTCCCTCTAGTTCCCCTTGTCCAGGGTTTATTTTCGTCATTCTTGTCCAGCTCGCTTGCACCTTTGCATTTAATTCATACCTCCTTGATTTAATTGCATTATAATTATAAGGAATCCTTCTACAATCAACCATCCATCTCGCACGTGACATGTCACGCGTACCAATCGCCAGAGAGATCTGCGGTCACGTTGGTCACGTTGGGCACAATATCGTTTAAACTTTTTATGAGTAGGCTTCACCAATATTGCAACGTGCACCCTCCTCGTACTTACAACGCTTACAACCTCCTTGAGGCGTGTAGCGTGTAGACTTTTGCACTGGCATGCCGTGAGGCCCGTACCGCCCGTACTACGTCTACTGCCTTTGCCCCTTCTTTCCTCCGGCGTGGCTCCGGTTAGAGCACTATATAGCTCCTACGGAGCAGAGTAGCGCAATCCTTTGAACCCCGTGTTTTCCGACAACATGGCCGACAGAGCGGCTCGGCGCGAGTCACGTGGTACTCAGGGTTCCAGGAGGCGGCCCGCCCTATGGGAGAATACATGGAGATCGACATAACACGGCTGATTAAAAAACTAACGGCGAGTTTACATTTTTCAAAACTAGCCTGTCGTGAAGTTAGTAAAGCGCTGAACACTTTATCAAAGTTTTAATAATATCGGATGCGTGTGCAAATTTTGAGAAGGCAATTTCCAAGGCAATGGCGTTTGAAGCAGACGATTTTTGCTCGCAGCGGAGATGGGCTTTTCGGGTTGGCCGGAGCGGGTCACGTGAATGGTGTGACGTCGCCGTGTCGTCTGCTGCATGTTGCCGCTCAGGCAATTTTTTAAAAAAAGTTACGTCCTTCTATGGCACAAAACTTATCGCATATTATTCTAAAATGTTTCATTGTTATGTCAAAAATGATTTCCATTCCGCACATCCCCACAAAACTGAAGAAACAACGATTTTCTCACGTTCTCCATGCATTTCTGACCGCAGTTGGAACCTCCGGGCGTTCGCCGCTAGTCGCCGAGAGACGGCGTTCTAGATTTTGCTCCGGCAAGCCGAGAGGAGGGCGAGGAGGGTCCGGTGTCCGGTGTACGTGCGTCATATCGTGCGGAGACAGACGTAGATGCGAAGGTTGTGCAATTATATGGAGGATCAGTCGGTATTGTAGGTGGTGTTGAGAATGGAGACCCCAAAGTTCAAAGGTTCTTTCGAGGGCCCGCTGGCGTGCTTCAGCCGACTCCAGAAGGCGCAAACTGAGCCACTCTCCAAGGAAGAGTTTGCTGTCTTCCTTGGATCCTTATTTACAGATTTCGAGGATGCAGACCCCGCGGTTGACAAAGAGGATGTGATTGAGAAGCTCTTCAAGATATTTGATCGAAACCAAGATGGGAAGCTCGACTTTTCCGAATTCGAGGCCATGTGGGAACAGTGGGTAGTTTCCATGCTCCGTCCCAAATGCGCATTTGTTGCTGTCGACATTCAGAACGACTTCATCTCGGGGTCGCTGTCCCTCAAAAACATTCCTGCCGGATGGGACCCCGAACGCGTTGTTCCGGTGATCAACAACTTGACCGAACACCTGCCCTTTGACGTCGTCGCCTATAGCATCGACTGGCACCCCAAGGACCACATCTCTTTCTTCGAAAACAAGCACTGCCGCACCTTCCACCCGAGCAGCAAGGTGAGCGCGCAAGATGCTAAGGTCCTGGATACTGTAGTCTTCTGTGACCCTTGTTCTGAGTCTGGATGTGTGGAGCAGACACTCTGGCCGAGCCACTGCGTGCAGGGCAGCTGGGGTGCACAGCTGCACGAGGACCTCAGACTCGCAGACAAGGCCCTGAAGATCTATAAAGGTGACAACACAGACGTAGACAGCTATTCTGCCTTCTGGGATAATGCAAGGCGCTCCGAGACCTCGCTGCACAGTGAGCTACGTAACCATGGTATCACTACCGTCTTTGTCTGTGGCCTCGCTTACGACGTCTGCGTAGCCTTCACAGCTCTGCATGCGTTGGAACTTGGCTATGGCACCATCTTGGTTGAAAACGCTTCCTGTGGGACGTCAAAGGAGGCGGTGGAAAAGACTAAGCGCAGGCTGCAGGACCAGCTGTGCCTCATCGTCGACAGTTCGGAAGTGGCCGACCTAGTGTCTGGGAAGAAGAGACCTTGGCGGCTCGGTCTCCAGCTGGCAAAAGCCAGTGCTCTGCAAATGTGCTGAATCTGGGCATGTCTTTTGCCATTGGGCACCCTGCTTTGGTTATAATTGCATACTTCTATCAATGATGCCAGGAGCACACCTAGAAATCTTTCTTGAAGAGCGAGTGCTCAAGGCCAGGGAAATTTGTACTTACTGTTTTTATTGAGGAGTAGCATTGTGTAACATGTGTTGTAAAGGTTTTGTTGAGGTTAGGAAGGGTTGATTTCCAAACCCTTACTCTTGGATACGGCTCTGATTGATTCCTGTTGAACGATAAGGGAATGTTGCAATATCGGATGCAGCGGCAGTGTAATTGCTCTGATATCATTTTATGGCGAATCATAGCAATCTGTACTACAAGAGAACAAGAGTGATGATTTTACCCCATATAGTTGTACCCTTCTGTTAACTTTCAGCTACCTGTACCCACAGCCATGTGCTGGGGTTCCTCACAAAATAATGGAAAGGTCCAATACTGGGGGGGAGCCTTTTGTGATTCATAAGAACGTGACCATCCCCCAGTGTCCCAAAGCTGATTTTAAAGGGATTGCCAACCTGTAGGGGCATTGGTCTTCTTTTTTTTTTCTCTACAATTGAGTACTTTCATTGTTCCAATATTCCAACTTCCAGACCTTCATATGGTTTGTGCATATCCATAAGTGATTAGGGGAATTTGTGGGACTGAACTGGCTGAATACCCCAACTGTCCTGAGTTCCGTCTATATATTTACAGTTCTAAAGCAAAACACAAGATGACTATTATTTGACAGTATTTTTTTTATTATCAGTCACGATGGCTGTACTGGTTATTGTTACTGTCGATCTATAATAACTGGTTGGATAAAAGTTGTAGGGTTCATGGCCAAGCATGCTTGAAAGTTCTCAGCCTGTTGGGACCTTAGGTAAATTTTTGATTGCTTGTCTCACTTTTCTTGTTTTTCAGAATACACCTTGGGTTATTGAGATTATTGAGTGCAGTCAGTACTTATGAATCTGAACAATGTGATCAAAATGATTGTACACTGTGAATGTTTATATCATATTTTTAGTGTTATGAAAGAATAAAAGTTTAATTATTCATATCCAAAAGAATATGGCTATCACTAAAAACAAATCCTATTTTCCCAAATAAAGCAAACTATCTGTGTTTTTATATATAGGAACATAGCAGGCAGAGTGGAAAGGAGTGGATGATCAGGTAAATGCTAGGTTCTGATCTGGGAGTAGGTCAAAATGCTCCCACACAAAATGGCTCCACAAAAAATGGCCTTGCACAAAATGGTTCTGGGTAAAATGACCCCAGGTTTATTTTTCGACATTCTATGCTCTTTAATGTTTTCATACATTTGCTACTCAGAAGTTTAACTAAATGTTCAGCGTATCTCTTAATGTGTTCAAGCATTTGTTATGGAGCTGCAAGTGGAAGTCTGGAATGAAAGACATTCATCAGGCACATATATAATACAGGTTTCTAATATGATTATGAATGACCTTATCATACTAGTGTGTTGCATTTTCCAAGTGAACAGGATCGCTTTGGATAAACGATGCTGCTGCGATGCATCAAGTCAGTATTCAATATGAAAACATGAAAAAATATACTTTGCGAACTTAGCCATAATAATCTACCACTTTCTAAAGAACTGCAGCCCCTTGTCAAAGACTTGGTTTGAGAATTTTTTTGGTAGGAAATAAAGGGCACAATTAGGAAAAGGGGAGGAGAGGCTTCTTTGTGAAAACTGGGGAGGGTTTGGGGGGGGTAGGGGAAGGTAAGCCAAAATGGGTATAAAAACAATACTTTGGGAGGTCAATCTAGGTCACCGTCGCTTAATGAAGCCAACAGGAACTTCCTCGCTCGAGAAAATGTTTGTGCTTGCACATGCCACGACCACGCAACTTCATACCGAAAAGTGTGTACCAGGAATTTGGAGAATGCTGGATTATACGTAGACAAAAAAATTGACGTTCCTGAAGTGGAGATTTAACGGGAATATGATTAATAAAATTTAGAATGACTATGAGGTTTTGAATGTGGATTTTCAAAGCATTTCCTTTTCCATGAAACAATGCCTCAAAATTTAATCCACCTCTTTCGTAAGAACTGATACCCCCTCTAGGAGACTTGGTTCGAAGATTTTTTGGTAGGAAGCGCTAGGAAACAAAGGGCGCCCAGGAAAGTGTGGGGAGAAGTTTCTTTTTGTATGAATTTGGGTGTGAAAGATAAACCACAAAGTGCATAAAAGCGATGTTTCAGGAGCTCAGTCTAGGACACCATAGCTCAGTGGAGCCAACAAAGCGTAGCCTCGTCACTTAAAGGAATGTTTGCATATGGACCATATCCAGCAAGTGCTCTCAGGGCGGCACCATTTTGTTTGACTGCAGCGCCCTCTCCACACATCAGGGAACTTCAGCAGGTTCGGCGGGGTAAAACGAGGGAGAATGCATGTGTCCGATTCCGCTAGCAGATGACGAACCGGGAGGTAGCCATTCTCCATCTTTGGGCCGTACCGGCGGGCTGTACTGAACATTGAACTCTCGCTTGCAGCTGCCGTTGTCAAGTGGTTTGCATTTCTAGAATATTCATGGCTACTCCAGGATGAGCCTATAGCGCTCTGTTGTTTTATTTCAGTAAATGATCAGGTAGCGTATCTTTGTTCCGTTATTTGAATAGCAGTGGCGTCAGCCGGCTGTACTAACCTCAACCACTGCGTCTATTGCATCAGGAGAGCACGTTTTTATTTATTTATTCCAGACTCTTCACTCATTGTTGCCAACGACCAGTACGACTTTTATATAGTAAAAATGATATGGCAACCGGATTTACTTTTTGCCGGAGAAAACAGACAGACCACTCTGACATAGTTTTCACATTTCTTTTTTTATTTGCATGGCAGGTAACGGCACAATTGGACCCGGTTAGTCCTTTTATCGGGCACAACATTACACGATAACTTGCATATCGAAGTCCGCGCATTTGCGCTTGAAATTTCCTAAATGTGATTTTAAACCAAATTTGCACGCCAGCCGGATGTTAGGTACAGCTAGCCCACTCGGCGGAGCAGACGACGCGAGAGGGGCGAGGGCATTTTTCTCTCTGCTCTTTCGAACTCAAACCGGGAATTCATAAAATGGGATTTGTCCAGGGTTTGCATCTGGGGTACCACAATTTGTACCATTTTGGCCAGATTTCGCCGAGTTTGGTGCCTTGAAAGACCACTGCCAAAATTAGAACACCAAGCAGCTTTTAAAACATTTCTAATAAAAATTTATGAAGAGATAGAAGTGGTGGACAGCATAAAAGAACATTCATCACAACCATAGAATACAATTTTATTATTGTGTTAGCATACATGACAGCGAACAGCTGACGGCGTCCGTCTGTGGACAAAACAGTGGAAAGGGAAGCGCGTCGTGTAGAGAGGAGGAGTAGTGAAGGACAAAGGCTAGGGGAGGCGACGTCATGGGGCGGAAGCCAATGCGCGCGTGGAAGCTGGGGCGAGTCTGAACTTGCAGATGTGCGGAACGCGCATGCCTTGGTTTGTGCTACAAAATGGAGTGTGAACCAAGTACTAGTGCTGGTCCAAGTAGACGGCAAAAGATGGGTTGTGGACGAAGGAGACGAGCTGCCAAAGCCAATAAACAGCAAAAGCAGCAGTGGATGCCGCTGCTAAGTGTGCGAGGCGGGCGAACAAGACAAAGGAGCGGAAGCAACGCCTAGCAAAAGAAATCCCCAAAGCCGGAAAAAATTAAAGGAAGATCCATTGGTGGATCCCAAGTCAAAAGGAGGTGGCAAAAAATAGAGGAAGCAAAAGAGAAAGCCAAAACAGAAAAGTGAAGGGGTCACCGTCACCCAAAGGGGAACGTGTGTGGCGTTTCCCAAAGGTCATGCTAACACATTAATGGATTTTTCTTTTGTTTATTTTCTTTACTTCAGCTATTTTTGTGTGTAATTTATTACAGACTCAGATGTAAAGGTTCCTGATGGTTAGCAACTTTTCATTGAAGCTCGTTGTGGGGAAACCGTGTTGGAAAACCAACTTCCACGGTTTATTTGAAGTGGATTCGATCGTTTCGATTTTTCGAGGGCTACAGGCATGATATCGGGGTTTTGAGCGCTTTGAAACATTCTTTTGGGGAGTGGGTGCTTGAGCTAGAAAGGCGTGTTTCAAAGCAAGCTTGCACATTGAAGCTCATAGAAGCTATCCTTTAGGTTCAGCCTTTGGTTCTGCACACGTGACCTGCCGCATGAAAAAAGTTTCTCAGCTTTTCTGTTATCTTTCACATGACCTTTGATGTCATTTTGTATATTTTTATTTTATGTGCTGCTTTTCTTTTTTTTCACCTGTTTACACTGTGCATGCCGTGCAACTGTAACGTTGCAGATAATAGGAGACAACATTGGTCGCAGCGCCATGCCTCCTGCTTTGCCTAGAGGCGCTGCGGAAAACCGGCTTGTAGCGGCCCCTACGATTTGTTTATCGGTATTGGGTGGTACAAACTTGCGCATTTGAATTTGTCCCGAGTGAAAACGTTAGTCGGCGGTATGAATTCCCCTCTTGCGATTGTTTTACGGCACGGAATCGAGCTAATTTCTAACGTGGAAAGCTTATTTCGTTCCTCAACACTTCGCAGAGGGAAGAAACTCCGCGATGCATGCTACTGCAAGTTGCGTCTATGTCGTACAAGAAGCCGCAAATTTGGTGTGGGCATGCTGTTACTCGCAAAAATAGTGAGTTTCCTATGATGTTGAGCTTGAGGGGAGCATTACGAGATACGTTAACGCACCTTGTAAGCAAAAACTCCCAAACTGCAGTTCAGCCAACGCAATCAGCTGATGACCAACCTCAAAAATGCCCAAAAGCAGACGCAAGCGATCGAGCGGCGACGGTCCGTCCGTCGGCCAAGGAGATCGTCCCTACTGCACGGTGCTTGTCAAGCTCTTACAGGTTCTCTTACGCATTTGCACTGCAAGCTTGACTCAACATAAGATCTGCCTTCAGCACATGCTTCTTGCCCTCTAGTACGGTTATGCACGGGCCCGCTCATCTTTTCAAAAGAAAGTTCTCGCTGGAGACGGTACTTACTGCTAATCTCACATTGCAAAAGATTGCCGACTTCCCAGCACATACAAAATCTCGACAATCAACAAAATCTTGACATAAGCAAAGCGGACTGCCATCCTCAGCAACAAAAGCTTGAGGTACACCTAAGCATTTCTTGTGAGCTGTGAATGGGAAAGCATGCAAGCTGCTCCCTTTGCCGTCTGCTCGTCCGCTCCCTTTGTCGTCTGCTACGTACTAGCGCACGCGTGCGCTTCGGGATCTCGGAGGCCATGGCGCAGCGGCCAATGGGAGCCCCGTCGACACGCACCAGCCAATGGAACCGAAGGCGAATCGCTCCTATTGGGAGCGTTCAGTAGTGCCTCCCTTGCCTCCGAACAGAGTGACTCAAGTCAGAGCTCCTTGGATTTTCTCGCCGGAAATCGTCACCAGTTAGGAAATGACGTCATCTTTAGCTCCTTCGACTCTACTTGCACAGTCTCCGGACTCGGTGCTTCGGAGCTTGACTCCGAAGCACCGGAGTTACGTGCACCGGAAGTGACTTTTGGCCGTCCAGTGGAAGGAGTCGGTGACTCCTTGACTCCGGGGCCGCTACTGAACGTGCCCATTGGGTTCGCGGAAACTAGAAGCCGTTTTCGCACTTCAAGCTGATGACGTCAGCTCGCTCCATGAGACAGTTAATGCTTTCGCATTAATAACAGAAATCTATCCATCATGCTCATTAGACGCAGCACTGCGGGCCTCCATGGTATGGGCTGTTACCTTTCCGAGGTGCCTCGGCTGCCACGGCTCCAGTGCACCTTGACCGGAAATCGCTATACGCACAAAGCCACTGCACGAAACGTTCATTGGCGGATGTTGGCGTCGCGACCGCTTGTGCCATCCCTTGTGTCTCGTGCCAAACAACGCCCTATTGCTTGAAGACCGGTGGCTTCGCTGCGTCTCCTTACGAGTTAAGCCTTTTTCTTTTTTTTACTTTTTACTAAGACATGGCGCCGGCCAGGTACCCTGCTTGCAATTGTCTATAGGAGGTATTCACTGGACGCATATTTGAGGGCGATGTTTAGAGCGCATGCTCAGAACGAGCTCACATTAATAGCCTGCTAAGACCGGCAGCCTTGATGGTGCAGCTAAATGCACGCTCGAAAAGGACTGCGGAAGCTCGCCGTCAGCACGCGATCAGCAGCAGAGCACACGGATGTGGCCGCCAGTGAATACTCCCTATATATGCGTGTTTGAATTTCTAGTGTGTGTGTGATATTTGTGCTCTGGGAAGTCAGCAATATGTTCAACACACCCGCCCAAGCTGCAGTTTTGCAAAAGCTGTAGTCCAAACGGATCGCTCCACGCTCATAAAATCCGCATGACACACGTTTCGATGCATGCCAAGGCCGCTTGACCGAGTGGCTATGCTTAGAGCGAATGACATTTTAGCGAACGGCGACATTTGAGCGAATGGTCGTTTTAGCGAATAACGGGGGCGCGTGTTAACCCATCGACAGTCTGCGGCAACTCATTACAAAAATATTAACTCACTTAGCCCAACCGAAAACGCCGCTTCGCGGCGTCCGACTATTCGCTAAAGTGTCGTTCGATGAAACGTGGGCGTTCGCTAAAACGTCATTCGATCAAGTGAGTGCCTCCCCTAACTCATTTGGCCCACCCGAAAACGCCGCTTCGCGGCGTCCAACTATTCGCTAAAGTGTCGTTCGATGAAACGTGGGCGTTCGCTAAAACGTCATTCGATCAAGTGAGTGCCTCCCGCGCCGGGTGGCTAGTATCGTTCCCTCCGCTCGACTTCGTACGGTTTCGATGGGAATCTGCAGAAGTTTACTCCGGGATTCTTCCTGTTCTTGACAGTCGACGACGCAACAGTACCGTCGACGGCGACGTTTCGAACGCATCGAGGCCGCGCTGCTTTCTCCCGGTTTCTACATGCTTGGACGAAGGAAAAATTACTAGCTTGGGGTGAGCTAGGGTCTCCGGGGTAACGTTGTGCGGTGACTTCTATGGGTGACACATATTGAATCGTGACCACGCGCAACAGCTGTGTCCCGAACACGCTGTCTAAATATCCACACAACCGCCCGAACAGGTTTGAATTTCAATAAGGTGAGCTGGCGGGCTAGTTGGTCGTTCATCATTAGTAAAATAGCGCAAAACAACAAGGAAGAAAGGGCGAGATAGACAGGAAGAGCGCTATTAGCGCTCTTCCTGTCTATCTCGCCCTTTCTTCCTTGTTGTTTTGCGCTATTTTACTAATGTTGAATTTCAAATTTGTGCGGGGTAGGAGGCAGGCGCCACGCAGGCGCGTTTTAAAATTACTATACGAAGGCTAGGTGGCGCAAGCTATCACCCGTTACAAACGATGATGTCACTATTCATCTATTCATTCATTCCCTAATCTGCTTTCATCATCCCAGAGCATCCGCTTGGACTCTTGCACGGCTGATGAGGATGAGGGCAGATGAGGGCATGAGGGTATGAGGAAAACGAGCTTCGCGGAGCGGACGCACTTCAGCGACTCCCAGACATCCGTCTCTGGGCGGCAGCTGTGGAGTGTGGAAGCACAGATACACTCACCTCGCAGACACTTCGTGTGGTGAAAATGGAGCACAGAACAAAAATTAGTGACAATCTGTACATGGCAACAGCCAGGGCGCCGGTCAACATAGCCGTCGTCAAATACTGTGAGTAATTTTTCCTTCTCCCGGGGACTCCTGCTTGTTGCGTAACTGACCAATGTGTGTGTGTGTGTGTGGTTGCCTGATTTCAGGGGGAAAAACAAATGAGGAGCTAATTATTCCTGCGAATGATTCTCTGAGCCTGACCCTCCACATCGATCACGTAAGTATTGTGGTGTAAAAAAGCTAACGAAAGCTACGCGGCCAGTGTTTGCTTCATTTGTATGCGATTAAACTCGGAATCCCTTGATCTGGGTTTGTCCCATATACCTATACTCTGCTCTAGCAAACACACCAAGCAAAGCAAGCACGTTTTTTTCCCCGATTTTTTTGTGCGTGTTTGGTGACATGTCTGTACTTTTTAACGGCCCTCGACGAGTGGGCTTTTTCCTGCTCAGTGAAAATGTTCCTGGTTCTGTCAACGAAAACAAATGACGCAAAAAAAAAAAAGCCATAAAAAAAAAAAAAAACGTTTCAGTTATGCGCCAAGACGACGGTCGCCGTTGGAAGGGACTTCAAAGAGGACAGGATATGGTTGAATGGAAAGTAAGTGAGGAAGACTGAATATTTCCTAGAGCGTGTGTTTTGCACTGCAATATTCTTATTCTTTGCAGGGAAGAACGTGTCACGACAAGAATACAAAACTGCTTGCTCGAAAGTAAGCTTGCCACCTGTTATTATTTACACTGATCAGCGAAAACATTATGACCACGCCTACACCGTGTGAATGAGTGCCCCTAGCTGACGCGTCATTTGCCTTATCTAACACCTGCTTATGCGGACGGTAGTTAATGGTTGCCGAGTGTACTTGGGGGTCATTTCGTCGACTACGTGTGTGCTGCTATAGCACCACCGTCTCTTGCGCCATCAGTGCCTCCCGGGATCGGTTTAAAGGGATACTGCAACGAAATTCCAGCGCCTATTTTATTGTCTGAATGTCAACCACGTTCTGGCCACACCACGGAGACACCAATCTTTTTTCTCAAAAATGCATTAAAACATTATTTAAAAGGAATAAGCCGAACGTCTTAACGTCCCTCGGAACATCAAAGCAGCACTGCTCCGCGGAAGTATCGTGGCAAGCTGCATGCACGCGAGCCCTGTCAAACCAGATTTCCCTTCTCTCCTGGCCTATTCAACCCCTGTGGGGAGCAGGGAGGAGCAACTAAAATGACTAGGTTGTAACTTGTTGATGACGCCAAGTGCGAAGCTCATAACCACGCCATCCCCCAATAGCTTTGCCCGTGCTGGGCGAGTTGATGTCGCGTCTCCCGGGATGCATTGCGCTCTCTGATAGCTGATCTTCGAGCGAAAATACAGGCGTGCGGTTGTCATTAGCAGATATATAGTTGATCATCATCTTATTTCTGAACGTGAGAGGTCAATTTTAAGTTTCGATTCAGTAATTCTTTTAAGAACCTATGGTATGTTCTGATGTGAAAGCGGCGGCTTACGGGAGTGTGGGAGTGGCCGTGCTCCAAGCTTTTGCAACTCGACAAAATAAATGACACTGTAATAAATTTGAAGGAAAAGTGTTTCAGGCTAGGAAAGCAGCTTTATGCTGGCGACCACCTCTTTTCTGTGAAAGAGGGTATGATTCATGCCGCGGCATCCAGCAGGTAGGCAAAGTCATAGCGAATTGTTTCGTGCAGATGATTCTACAAGGAGTGGCTTCTGGTGCTCATGCTAGCCGTGGCACCGTTTGCATTGTTCTTCTCCTTTTAAGTGTTACGTTTTACTCTAGCAATTGTTTGTGCCGCCTCGGCCTAATGGGGAGCTCCGTTTTTGTAAACCCTTTTTCCCCCCTTCGCTACGCCTTCTGCATCAAAGATGCTATCTGCTGAGTTCCCAATCTCGTTGCTGAGAGCAATGCAGGACGGCTGAAATGATCTACGGGAACTCCCTAATCTGGGCAAGAATCGCATTCGCAGAGCCAACGTGGACGACTGGCATAACGTGGGATTTCGCTGGCGATTTTACACCTGTGCTTTGAGCCTGGGTAAGACAGGAATCGCGGCCGTTATCGACGAGCCAAATACAATCAACGAGCTATTTTCGTCTAAAGAATGAAGCATGAGCAATAGTGATGCAAAACTATCGATAGTGTCCCCGAACTATCAATAGTCGACTATCGATAGTTTTTCGATAGCTTTTCAATAGTCGACTACAATAGTACTATCGATAGTAAAAAAAAAAAACTGTCGATAGTACTATTGATTACGGATTATGCAAACTTTTTTCAAATCGAAGTTTCGATGATCGAATCAAGCGGTACGAAAGGTTCGAAATATTTCGAATTTTCTCTATCGTAAAATTCGACCGAAGTCGAATTTTCGAACTTACAGCTAAGAAGTTCGACGCTTTTCGAACCGTCAAACTTATTACGCAAAAAAATTCGATCCTTTTCAAACTTATCACGCTGCAAAATTCGATGCTTGTCGAACTTCCAAACTTGATTGACCAAAAAATTCAATGATTTTCGAACATTCGAATTTCTTGCACTAAAAAGTTTGAAGCTTTTTGAACTTTCGAATTTCCTATGCTAAGGGATTCAATAATTTTCGAACTTTCAAACTTATTTATCAAGAGAATTCGAAAAGTTTTGAATCCTGAAAAGTCAGAAGTTCGACGAACTTCGAACTTTTACGGTAAAAGTTCGACATTCGTCGAACTTCGAAGGACCGGCAGACGGTTTCATTTAAATTCAAGTAGTGAGGTACATTCCTAATTTTTTTGTTCTCGAACTTTTACATGCGGTGCTGCGTTCCTTACGAAAGACAATGCCGTTTATTTCAATGCTTACTTTTAAAGAAATAAATTCCCGAAGGGGTGAGGAAGGACGACGGGTTTTTGACGATTATTGTTTACGCCAGATTTGAAGCGCGCTATAGCCGAAGCTATTTATGGTAGAGATGTTAAACTTTTTAAGAATGATCTATGTCTAGCCTAGGGTGACCACCCGTCCCGCGACTCGCGGGACTGTCCCGCATTGAGGGCTCGTGTCCCGCGTCCCGCAAGAAATTTCCAAATCTTCAAAATGTCCCGCATTTTATACTGTCGTAAAATTTACTCTGCAATTTATGGTGCTGCCGAACAACGGGGCACGGGGAAGCACGGAGGTCGCTGGTAATCGCAATAGTACAGCATGTTCTATCCAAGCACTGCGGGAAGTGACAGTCGTTCTCGCAGGAGTACCGATGCGCTTGCTCCTTTGCGCCTCCCCCCTTGGTAGCAAAGTATTGTAAGAAAAATTGCTCGCTAAAAGTTTAAATATAAAATATTGTAATTTTTTTTCAAATCGCTGGGTCAATGCAAAAATGCTGCTGTTTTTTTGTTTTTTTTTGTGTGTGTGTAGGCAGTCACACGAGGCAAAACCCTGCAACTCGCAACGGTCGAAAAAGAACATAATGTTAAAAATTTGAGTAGGACCGTGTTGATAAAAGTAAGCCTTGACAGGAAACAATAACTCGAAAAAGATTTATTGTTTTTTAATTTAATTTGATGAATTGAGTTCTATTGCAGTTGGTTTTTATGCTTTCAACTTCGACACATTTCACTACGAATTTAGCATAAAAAATATATCACTGGGAGTGAAAATTATTTTAGCCCAATTGCTGCAATACAATTTGCAGGTGCATAAACAGCACTGGATATTAATTGTGTAACAGACCCTCGGTTCGTGGTGCGCGTCTTCATAAATTTCCTATCCCCTCCCGCCCCCCCTCCCTTTCCCGCGTGTCCCGCATTTCGCTAGCAGGAAGGTGGTCACCCTAGTATAGCCTAGGTAAGTGTCGTCTTAAGATGTGATTATTGTTATTCAAGGTGAGTTTCGAAGAAATGTCCAAACATGTATCTACGTGCAATTATGCCCTAAACTTGGTATTTATTTTCGTCTAAGTTGTTTGAGGTATCGCATTTGAATTAACACCACAGACAGTACATATAATTGCCATCTGCAGAATACAAAATAATGTATTTATTGTTTTTTTCACGTTAAGGAATAAATTAACTCATGGGAGAAGATTTCTAATATTGTTCAAGTTCAGCATGTCATTAAAAGAAAACATTTTTTTTTGCTTCACGTTCCTGGGACGTGTTTCTTTTAGCCTGTACACACTTTGGTAGGAGAAACTTGTTTCGAAGTTCTGAACCTCTGAATATGCAAGAATACAACACTTCCGGCGAATTCTTGATAGTTTTTTTTTCTCCAGCTGTTTATCCCCACATTTATTAACATTTTTTTTTTTTTTTTTTACTACTATTGGCACAGGTATTTAGGTTGGAAAGACAGCTTTGAACTTCCGAACCACTAAGCATGTAACGAGTAGTGCCTTCTGACAACGAGTTTCTAACAATGACCATCTATGCAATCTTTTAGGCAGTGAAGAGCGACAGTAGCTATTAGCGGCGAGATGTTTTAGTGGCGCCCTCCTATGGTTCCCCCTTGTGACTTCATTACCTTGCAGACAACAAGTTCGATGGTGTTTGTAAATAGCATGGTGGAAGCTTGAAATCATTGCGCTCTCAAAGGAACACTGCCAACACCGTCAAAATTAAAGTTCTTTAATTCCTCTTATTTTCGTCAATGATAAATCCTTTTCTGATGTCATAGTCAGCGTTTGGCCAATCGTGGAAGGCCGACCACAGCGACGCTTTCGATCGCGCACGTCGCCAATGCATATGCAGAAATTCGACCACGGCCTCTTTCCCCGTATTGTTTTCTTTAACAGTTCGAAATATCTGGAAGGGGGGCTGAAGCCTCCCTCCCCTCCCCTCTCCCCCCCTCCCCGTTTTTCCTCTTCCGACGCCACCTGTATGGTAGAACGCTCCTCGACCTCGAGTTGTGTCGGCTTCTGTGCTTTTTGCGAGGCGATTCCTCCATCCCAGAAAATAAACCTCCAGGACAATTGCAAACTTAACTTACTATATGCCAGCGTAACTCGGGCGGCATTCGATTGGATTACTACCAGCGTGCAAGGGGTGGGGAGGTAGTTTGCCAGGTCGCTTCAAGGTTTTTTTGAGCCTCAACCTCCTGCCCGCCCCTGGCCATTTCGAACTGGATGCGTATCGTAAAACAGTGTGTTCGTGTGATCACTGTTGAGTGATGCAAATTAAAGACCCCCCCCTGGGGCTGGCGGTCACAATTCTGATCTATGGTCACACGTCACTCTGTGCTGGCAAACATTCCAGCACATCCGGGACACTCGTCGTCTCATTTAATTGCCTGATCAACTTCGCAGAGTCTAGATATCACACCATAACTTTTCTAAACTTGATTTCGTGAAAATGTTATTTGAAACTGAAACTGTGGAGGAACTTGAAAACCGGACTTCTAACTTTGAAAACTTGGACTTGAAAGGAATTCAAAATCTTCGAAGTTTTTTTTCTCGAATTTAGCGTTAAAAGAGAATCGAAACCTTCGAGCTTTTCTAACTTTATGCAGAAAAATATCTTCGAATTGTTCGAACTTCATGTCTGTAAAAATTTGAAGCGTTCGAAGTTTTCGAATTTCATTTCCACAGAATTTCGAAATCTTCGAATTTTTCAAACTTCAGATCCCAAAAAATTCAAATTTTTCGAATATCTCGAATTTCAAGTTAAAAAAGTTTGAAGTCTTCGAATTTATCGAACCTCAAGTAGAAAAATATTCGAAATATTCGAACCCGAAATTTTAGAACCGTGAAAGCTTTAAACTTTTTCAGTTCGAAACTCCACTGTGATTGAAAGTTGCGAATTTTTCGATTTCGAACCTCGGTCGATACGAAAATATCGAAATTTTTCGAAATCGAAACTCAGTTCGCTTCGCAAATATCGAAACCTTTCGAAATCGAACCTAGGGTGGTTCGCGACATCCCTACTATTGATAGTCGACTATCGATAGTACTATTGATAGCTTTTCAATAGTCAACTATCGATAGTACTGTCGACAGATTTTTTTACTGTTGATAGTCAAATTTCTGGTGACTATCGATACTATCGATAGTACTATCGATAGTTTTGCACCACTATGGTAAGTGCTTGGGCTAGTTGGTGTCTCGTTTGAAAAAATAAAGCAAGAAAAAGAGAAGAGGGATCAACGGAAATTACTAGTTTTGCAAAACTATCGATAGTAAACCGTCGACAGTACTATCAATAGGATTACAATAGTCGACCGTTGAGTTTTCCCATAGCCGATTAACAATAATTTTCCGATAGTCGACTATCGATAGTACTATCGATAGCTTTTCGATAGTCGACTATCGATAGTTTATTCAATAGTCTACTATCGATCATACTATCAATAGTTTTTTTTACTATCGATAGTCAGATTTCTTGGGACTATCGATACTATCAATAGTTTTGCACCACTAATGAGCAGACACAAAAACACAGTGAAGTGTGTTTAGAATTTATCTATAAAAGAAAATGTACAGACATCCTAACCGGCAGAAAAAAGAATGTATAAATGGACTTTTCATATTTCGAGAATTTCAGGACAAATATCAGGGACTTGTGTGTAAAGTGACACAGCCATGTTAACTGTATGTTGTTTTTTTTTGTTTTTTTTTAAAGTTTTGTTCAAATACCTGTTGCCCTTCTTTTCCTTGTATATAAAAAAAAAAAAAAAGAAAAAAAAGGGGGTCTAGGCAAGTTGGTGAGGCTTATTTCTTTCTCGACGAAGTAAGCGCTGCAGGGTTTCTAGTTTCTCAATTCACAAACTGCCACAAGGGTTTTGCACCAAAAGAGTGGTCAGTGCCAGCTACAGGCAAATCTGCATCATGGACATCATGCATCACTCTTTAATGTGGCAAGTAGAACTGCTTCCTACAGCTTGCCCAGAAATTGCTTAAATGTCACTAAGGATAGCTTGTCAGCTTTACTCATTCAGCCGTTGAGGCAGCCGTACAGGAAACAAAAGAATCTGATTATTTTTGTTCGTAATGCTGCAGACAACATAACAGGGCTTGGGAAACGCTGGCTCGCCCGCAGAAACGGAGTGCTGGGAACATACCAATAATTTATCTCTTGACTAGCAGCCGGCGCCACCTTGGGAGTTGGAACAAGTATTTCGGAAACTGCAAACCTCGGAGATGGCGAGGCGTTACGTCCAAGCCTAATCACAGAATGTGGATGTCGGAGGCTTTTCGTTTGGTGAAGCAAAATAGGTGGCTACCTGTGACTCAGCTGACAGCTAATAGATTCAATGCAGATCAAGATACAAGCATTTCTAAGCACACAGTTCATCAAACTTTGTTGGATATTGGGCTCTGCAGCAGGCGACCCTCGCGACTATTATGCATGCTGAGGGTGAATCAGCGGTATTAGGTCGGTGGTCATAATGTTTTTTCTGATCAGCGTATTTATTTTCTACAGAAACCGCACAGCTCCTGCAAATGAGTGGAGTGCACTGAAACATTTTCACAAAGGTGTGTTTAGATGGTGCATTTGTCATACTCAAATATCATAAGTGTGGGTTTTGGGTGGAAAAAAACAAAATGTAAGGCCTCAGATATCCTGTTTTTTTTTGTTTTGTTTTTTGCTTTTTTTTATGCACAGGGAGGAAAACGGAAACAAACTGTTTGGTTGGCGCCACTCACAGACGGTACCACGCACGCTTTGATCTGCTTTCGGGTGTTCATCTCAAAAAGCTTTGCACGTTTTTGCCTTCTGTGTTGCCATGTGCAAAGAACAGCGTCAACCAGACGAGCCGTTTTCCTTCCTGTGCATAGGAAAAAATAATTTTTATGCTCAACTTTTTTTCTGGGATCTGCACTTGTAAAATTTGAGGGATAAATGCACCACCTAAGGACACCCTTGTGAAATGTTTAATTGCACTAAATTCATTGGTTTATTTATACAAATTTTTTTAGGCCCAAATAGTGCTTGGAAAATTTCAGTAGAAGAGCAAACAAGGAGCTGACACTGGAGAATATTGCAAAGGTCCCCATGAACTAATGACTTTAGTAGAGGTCTGCGAATACTACTTCAATCATCCCTAGCACAGATCCCTTGCTTCAACAGTGCAAAGAGAGCCAGTATGTTGAGGATTTCCCTGGCATTGGGAAGGCTTTGAATGATGCAGTGCTAATCGATTCAAACCACTATCTGCACACCCCTAGACATAAAGTTAATGCAGTGGCATACTAACTTGTTTTTGAGTGGGGAGGCAAACCAGACCCCCCCCCCCAGGGCCGGGGGGCGGTGCCCTTGGTATCCCTTAGGCGCACTGGCCAGTGTTTGCCCTGCCCAGTGGCGGCTGTTTCAGGGGGGGCGGGGGCAAAACACATGCCTTGCCCCCCCACTCTGAGAACTGGGGGGGGGGTCAAGCGCCCCCCCTGCTCCCCCGGTTGGTACGCCCATGAGTTAATGACATAAGGTACTTGTTTGACATCATTATGAGGACTCCTTTTTTTTACTTGCCACCGAAGCACTATGTCAGATGGTGCTATTAATTTGGGTAATTTTACAATATTCTTCCTTTATTACCTGCTCATGCTGTTGCCACCTGTTTTCTTTCTGTCATTGACCAACTGACCTATCCAGCATTCTTGTTTGTACTACATTCCAGTTCGCAAGAGAAGCCGGGAGTTTATGCACATGCACAATACCGGGCTCCCTGATTACAGTGACTGGCACCTTCACATCTGTTCCGTGAACAACTTTCCGACAGCCGCTGGACTAGCATCATCTGCTGCCGGCTATGCTTGCCTTGGTAAATGCACCTCATTTACAGATGGGAAATATTGAGCATGGCAAACTGTGTTGTGTTTAGGTCAGTGTTGAGTAAAGTGCATCTAAAAAGTACTTGAAGAAAGTACAAAGTAAATGAGAGGTTATGTACCTCAAGTAAAGTAGTAAGTATACCGGGCACAATGTACTTGAAGGGAAGTACAGTCTAACACTTTTATAATGAAGTCTGCGGAATCAGCGATATTTTTCGTAGTAGAGGTAACTTCGTTGTAGTAGTTGAGCGTGAAAAGTCAATTGCGCAAAACCAAATTTGAGTTATCGCATATTGACGTACCTGTGCATCATTTGAGCTGCTTTAGAAAAAAACTATAGCACCAAATGAGCGACATCAGAAACAAGGTTTTGTATGTTGACAGTTCTTATCAAAAGGCGGAACGGTGGCCAAGACTTTTAGCATATCACAGGTCGGAGCACGTGGGGCAAAAGCTCGTGCTGCAGAATCTGGGCATCTTAAAGAGCAACTCCGCTCAATTCTGAAGATTTCGGGATAGTGAGTGATTTCGCATTAAAAGGCCCTAGTAAAAGACACCACGTCATTTGCTTTGCGAAAAATGGGATATATATTTTTAAATCGAGTTTTATACACGAACAGAAATTAAAACCGAAACTTCGGCTCTGTCCAGCAACATTGGCCTCGGGCCGCCAAGAACATGGCTATCTTGTGGTATGAGATGTCATGTGATCCTCTAACAACGACGGGCGGGATTGGGGCAGGCGTGTGCCAGGCGCAAGTGTCGTCTGCTCTGCACTCTTCACTGCATTATGGTGTCTACAACATTCAATGACGTCTGAACAACTGCGATATAAATCTGCGCACGTTTTTCTGTAGTGTGAAGGAAACTCCGAGAGACAATAATCACAAACGGTGAGACGACGACAGTGGTTGTGATGCGGGAGATGGCGGTAAGGGCGGGACCATGGCAGGGCGGCCAGACAGCTCCCAAGTAGCATGCTGCGCAGGCGCGCCGAGAGGAAACATTGCTGACGTCGCCTGTTAAGCTTACCCGGAGAAATAAAAGCAAAAGGGGGCAATGGCGATGACGTTCAGCTCAATGTTGGCTACGCCCACGCCATAGCCTTGACTGCGTTGTTGGTTGCGCCTCAATTCGCCTGCCCGAGTCAGCCGATTTTGGTAACTTGGCGAGTTGCAAAGTTTGCCGGACCGTTTAAGAAACATTTAGACAGAACTAGGTATGTCGTAATATTTGACAAACAAAAATGAATGGAGTTGCCCTTTAAAGGAATACCTCAACGAAATTTAACCCCCCATTTTTTCGCGATTACATCTAAATATTGAGTGGGCGCTTGCCCGGTATTTTACGGTAGGTCGTACAGCACATATCCTTCAGGCACTGCATTCATATTGGAATCCTGGACGACTGTATATATACAAGCGGTAACTTAGCATTTTGACCTTCTGTGCACAGTTGACAATTGTCCTGTACTGCATTATTTAGGACAAGTCAACAGAGAAGGGCACTTGTTTATGAAGGTGCTTTTTTTCTTTGTTGTGTCTTCATCTTTGTATTTACAATTGTGTCAAATGTGCTTTTTCTCATTGACAGTGAAGTCACTTGGGACCCTGTTCCATGTGAAAGGAGACCTTTCTGCCATTGCAAGGTGACTTGAACTGAATGTTGCCAAGTCAGAGAAGCATGCTAGGGTGGTTTTAAACACAAACGGGCAAAATGGATGTGTACATACTATAGTATGCATGCATCTGTATTATGCTTCTGTGTGTTTTGTTGTTTTACAAATATTTTTGACTGATGAAGCTTTATAATGATAAGATATATATTGAGTCAATCGAAAGTATGGCGCAGAGGTTCGTCACTTACTCCCCACATCCACTGCCAGTTATTTATAATTTGTTAAATTTAATGAAAGAATGAAAGCAAGGCTTCTGGATAAATGCTGTACAGTGACGTCTCTCATAAACTCTATAATACAATACTTATCATTACTTACTGTATTGTATATTCTTGCTTTGACAGTCAAGTGAACCAATATGCTTTGTTCCTCGCTAAGTAAGCAAGAATACATTAATAAAAACATGGTACAAATCTGTGGAAGGTTTATGCACTTATTCGAAGATACAAAGCCGAGAACATTACATTAATAAAAACATGGTACAAATCTGTGGAAGGTTTACGCACTTAGTTGAAGATACGAAGCCGAGGAAATTACGCTCCAAATTCATTCTGCCTATGCTCTGTCACCATCCGCACCGATTGGAGCAAACATTACAAACATAGTCGTTTGCCTTTAACATGCACTTCCGCTTCACAAGCACTTGAGACCATTTTCCAAAGCTAGGAATGTTTGCTGCCCTTGCTTGTATCGGCGAGGAGAATATGTAGAAGTTTTATCTGTCCCGTGCCTCTTGTGCTGCTTCCCACCTCGTGTGGCAAAATGAATCGTTCCAAAAGTGTGATTTCCAGAACTTTCTTTTTGTTACTATTTTTGCCAGTTTAACACCTCTCCATAATAAGAAAAATAGAGTGGGCATATTTCATGCTTTTGAGGCATAAATACAATGTTATGAGGACCTTGCACTATATTCCTTTGTGAAAACTCTAGCATGCAGATTTTTTAATGCAAAAGCATTAAATGTCCATTGGAGCGCCGTCGGCGTTGTTTGTGACCGCAAAAAATGGGTCAACTAATTCAATGCCCATGGAGCGCAGCCAACGTTGTTTGTGACTGCAAAAAACGAGCCACTAAAGACAGGGTGGCGCGCGCTCGGCATCTCTTCTCTCCCCCCGCTTGGGTCATGTGTCAGGCATGGCTGGAGGCCCGGCGGGGAAGTGGGGAAGGGGGGGGGGGCGCTGCCCTGCGGTTGCTTTTGCTTTTCTCGGTGCCGAGGAACATGGCAGCGCTTGAAGCCTCTATATCGTCGGCGGCTGCAGCCTCGGCAGTAGTTAAACGTGGCCGTCCACGCCAGTACACCGCAGACGAACTAAGGGAGCGGAGAAACGACATTCATGCTTTTGCATTCACAACTCGTAAGAAGTGCTTAGGTGTCTCATTTGTTTTTTGGTCACCAATCCCTCGTTCTTTTTTTTTTTTTTTGACACTTGCCTTTTATAGTTTTTTTCGGAAACTATAATAAAGAGCAACATTCTCAGTCTGCGAACACAAAATCCTTAAGAGCATTTAATTGTCTTTTACTACATATGAACTGACATATATGAGCATTCCAGGTAAATGAAACCAGGAAGATTGGATGTTGACTCTTTTATTGCACATTTATCTGCACAATAAAAGAGTCAACATGGTAAGTGCGGGAAAAAATGAACAAAATAAAAATTTAAAATCTTTTCTACAATCATCCGTGTATGTGCTGCCTTGCAGGCGTGGCTCTGGCAGTGCTTGCCGAAGCATGTATGGTGGCTTTGTCGCCTGGCTGAAGGGCCTGAGGCAGGATGGAAAAGACTCCGTGGCCAAACAGATAGCTCCCGAAAACCACTGGCCCGAGATGCGAATAGTCCTATTGGTGGTGAGGTGTTTTGTCTCTGTAACATTGAAGGCACACGACTCTCACGCTTTATATATATTAGTACTCTAAACGCCCATAACTGGAATTCAAGCTCTGGCCTCATCCTGGCCATATGGAAGCCATCCTACTCCGAGCTATTGCTGTTTTATGGTTTCTTGTCACGTCTCACTTACCCAAATGCTTGTTTTTTGCCTACTGGCATCTTAGTGGTATTACAGTAAAAGTGTTGTGCTTGCTTGTTCCTGAGCAAAGCTGTTTGCAAAGGCGGAAATTGGGTCTACTTTCGTAGCCAGTGTGAACAATACATTCAAGAGTGTGGTGCCCCGTTCAGTCAGTGCCATACAGGTATGGTGCCTGGAACGCGTTTCCGACTAGTTTGTTTACGGCGTCCTAAAAAGTGGTCCCTCGATTTCTGCCTGATGATGTCATGAAGAGTCACGCTGTTGCCAGTCGCAACCTTGACAGTGTTGCAGCAGCGGTGGTGGATGTGGCAGATGCCTGTTCTGCTGCAGGTCACCCTCCAGCTTGACAGTCCACGGAAGCCTAGGCAGCCAGGAGTTGGGAAACCATGACGACGACAGCGACACTCGCGTTCGCTCATACTTTTTGTCGGGGCTTCCAGCACCAACTGCCAGAGTCTCGACATTCGACAGTACAACACGCCGGTTTCTGTGACGTCATTTGTTGCCACTTCGGCACCGCTTTTGATACGTGGGTGGGAGAGAACACTAAACATACCAGTCGAAGACATGTTCTAGGCATCGTGGTGTGGGTAATGCTCTATGAATGATAGATGTACCAGTCGTGACCTTGCTGCCCACCTCTTTGCCTTCTGCTACTCTCATTGGCAACTTTTTCTCTCATCTGTCAGGCAGCACTGATAGTGCTTTCCACATTCACTTTCGTATTGGCTGCAATAATTCCATATGTCAGATGAGTGGGACATGACTGGCTCTTTTATAGGGCTTGTATTGCAAATCCATTTATTACTTTTTTTTTTTTTTAGAGTGTAAACTTGCTTGTTTTTGTAATTTACTCTTACTTGGACTAACCTGAACTTATGCAACCTGACTATTTTCCAGAGAATTAAATAAATGTAGAGTCCACTGACTAATCTTACCCTGGTTTGCTCCAGCTCTATCTCCAATCTTTGCGAGGCACCCAAAGCCTCAACTGCATTGTTATCCTGGCATTTGTTTCAGAAATGCTTGTGCAGAGTCATAACACCGACGATTCAGATCCCTGCATCGGGGAACAATTACTGGCTTACCACAACCCGGGCTTTCTCCTTCCCTGTATTATCCACTTTTCCACTCTCCTGGAAGTCTGCCAGCTGTCCTGGAAAACCTGGACAAGACAGATGGATGCCCTTTTCCCATTTCATTTTATCCCATGTAAAGAAAGAGTTCACAATGATGGTGGTGCTGCATTCTCATGTAACTTTCATTTACAGAAAGTCACCATTCTGCTTGAAGGTTTCAATAACACTAGAAAATGCATACATTTTATCTAACCACTTCCCAAAATAATTGTTGCCAGATAAACTAATTGGGATATTAACAAACAGTTTTCATATCGGTCAAGTTCGGTATCTTAGGTCGGTAGCCCTTACAAGTGAACCATTAGGCCCCCTCTCCACTTAGTGTTGATTCTCAGGAAATGCCCACCTGCCGACTCGATTGGCATAACGCTGTAGCACTCGTGGCAGGTCTGAGCACTGCTGCCATTGCTTTTGACAGGTGAGCGACGTGAAGAAAGACACCGGTAGCACACAAGGGATGGAACTCTCCATGCTGACAAGCAGCCTGTTGGAATACAGAGCTACCAAAGTGGTACCACAGCGGATGAAGGATATCACAGAAGCTATTGTCAACAGGAACTTTCACAAGTTTGCGGAGATCACAATGCAGGTTAGTATATCCTGCTCGCCATTTTACCAGTGCAAAAACTGTGCAGTTCAATCAGCCGTATAAATGCAAGATTTATTCTGGGTGGGTTGCACAGTTAGTGTTAATGTCGATCAGCTTGTTTTAGTGGGATCTGTTCATTTATTGCTTGGAGCAACTTTGGAGCAAAGTAGGACATTAGTTGATTTCTACACACTGGCCTGACAAAACAGCTCAAAACAATCACTGCAGACTGATCCTAGTTCATTGCCAATTTATTTGTTTATACTGTCAACTCTAGTGGAGTTTTATGTTGTGGGAGGTGGTACACCAAATTGACTACAGACAAGGCCATTTTAAAAAGCATACATTCCAGAACTTATTAACTGAGTTGTGTAGATAATGTTGTTTAACAGACGGTTCCACTCCGAGATAGTTTGAGGAAAGGAGAAATGTGGCCCAATTACCAAAACTGCAAAAGAGCAGCAGGTGTAGCCATATAACCAGTCCTGCGGGAAGGTGCATAATAGTGGCAGATGTACAGACCAGTTTTTGAAAGTACCGGTTATCTGGTTATTTCAATTACCGAATGTTTCAAAAACCAAATAACTGGGTATTTTAATAACCGGTTACGTTACTCGGTTGAATAATACTCTGGATATTTGAATATTCACATAGTTTCTGGTACCGGAATCGCGATAATTCGGCCGAACAATCTCGATTCTTGCAGCAGAATTGAGATTCTTTGGCCGAATTAAATGTTTATCCCTGCAGACTTTCACCCAGAGGTTTTACCTCTGTCGCCTGCTTGTTTTGAAAATTAAGGGGTATCTTCAGAGATCATTCATCGATCCAACCATCGCACCCCTTGCAGTTAAGTCGAGAACTACATCCATGGGGGCATCAACATTCATTATTTGCTTGCATTTCTTGTGCAGTGCTCGGGTGACATAACCGAACGCCGCGTCAGCGTTCAGCTGAGGCCCGTGTTCAGTCAGTGAAGCACCAATATAACACAAGTCCCCGCTGAACACTGACGCAGCACTCAAGTCAAATGTTTGCCTCCGCCTCCATCGACGCAGAGTCCAGAGGCCTTGTGTTGGGTAAATACAGAACTCTGTGGAAAACAAGCTGGGCAAAGCACACCCTGAATTTCACTCTGTTTGCCATTAATGTATTATTTTATAATTATCAGAGGAACATGATGCATTGTTTGTGATTTTAGGACTATGAAGTAAAAATTAAATAAAAGCATTGTTATTGCTATATGTGAGATAATTCGGAATAACCAGCTTGCCAAACCAGCGATTCATATTCGAAAATTAGAATAACTTGATAACCGGCTTTTGAAGATGGATTCACTTCTCTCCGGTTGAACCGACTATCTGGTTTGATGGATATTTGCATGCTCTATACTCCGTTTCACGATAACTTGGCGAACTGTAAAGGCTGCGGCCCCCGCGACCCAATAAAGGCGCCGGAGCAAGGCACGGGATCCCACTCCATGGTTGAGGCCGCCGGGGCCTTGTTACCGCCACAGCAACAAAGCCCTCTGCAACAAAAAGTAGTTTTATGCTTCTTTTTCTTTTAACAGCAACTGAATTTGCGCGATTCCATCTATAACGAGAAGATATGAAGAATAAATGATCGCAAATTTGTCTCAATTATATTTAAACCAAAAAAGTGATGCCACATCCGTATCCGCTTGATTTGTTTTCTTGTAGCGCCGTGGTCGTTGCGATCGCCAGCGATCGCTGTCGTGTAATTGGCCGTTTCCGCTCAAAACATTGAATTGTGCCCTGGCATTAGCACCTGTCACAGATTTGTGGCTAAATTGAGCACATGGCTGTTTCATGAACTGCTCCCGAAGAGCTCGCTATTCCAGCGGACGGATATGTTGCTGCGGTGGGTGTTCATCCAAAACTGGTTGGTTTTGAAGCAGACGACTCTTGGCTAGCAGACGACAGCTGGTTCCTCCAAGCTTCGCGCCTCTCGTTTGGCGTAGTGACACAAATGCTCCCGTGACGTCGGGTCACGTGCTTCGCTCAGACGCTCTTATTGAGTCGCGGGGCCCTAGCCTCCACAGTTCGCCAAGTTATTGTGAAACGGAGTATAGTGTGCAAGGAGTCCATAATATAGCACTTTCAGTTGAGGCCAGCTCAGCCTTGCTTAGGTCAGCCAGCTTTCAAGTATTGATTTCAAAGTCTTGAAGTATGCTTTGCATTCATTTTTTCTTGACAGGAAAGCAATCAGCTTCACGCAGTGTGCCTGGACACTTACCCTCCTATCCGGTACATGAATCTCGTCTCATGGGACATTGTGCACCTTGTTCACCGCTACAACAGGTACTATGGTACCAACAAAGTAAGCATCATACTTGTGACCTTAGTGGCACATCCATTCTGAGCAGCCTCTTCAGTGTCGGCACTTCTATTGTGCATAAACGATAGTCGTAATATCAACTCTCAGAGGGGTATGGTCAGGGCCTTGTAGTAGGAACCCTACCCTTCTTGAGGCCTGACCCACTACGGTTGCAACCCTTTTTCCTAGCTGGCGTATTCATTTGATGCTGGGCCCAACGCTTGCCTCTTCATGCTGGAAGACTCACTCTCTGAAGTGCTGTCCATAGTGCAACATGCATTTCCCTCGTCTCTCGGGAACTCGGACTTCTTTCGTGGTGCGCCTGCAGTGAGAAGCAAGCCCCCTATGGTGGGTATTGTTTTGTGCTGCAGTTCCCTCTTCAATAGGTGTTGATTGCAAACTTTGCATAGGCTTAGTGAATGATATTAGCAGTGTAGACAGAAAGTTTCAGTGCTGTAGAGCCTTCTATGTCTCCAAACAAATGTACTTTTTGTTATAAAATATGTATAGAAAGTAAAAGACTAAATCCACGAGTGCATTCATCATTTAATCTTATTATAAAAAGATAGTTTGACTAAAATAAAGTTTATACTTAAACATGGAATGATAAAAAATGCATTCCAAGTGTCCTGATCTCTATCATTCATATAGCACCAAGGCACTAAAAAAGTAGTTGATGGCTAGTTAACTATGCAGCAGAAATTAATGAAACTTTGTAAAAATATCCTTCAGATGCTGGTGGACCTAATATAACATCCTTCAAACTCAATGTTTTTGTTCTAAAAAAGAATTTTTCTATGCCATATCTCCCCTTAAAATATTTCACTGATGTCCTCATAAAATGGGCATACCATCCTAAAGAAAAGAATGCTCGATTGTGTTTTCATACTGCTTAAACAAACATCTGCTTGACTCCACGCATGGAACTAGACGACCATTACCGCAAGCGGTTGTGACCTCACCGAATCATTCTACTTGTTCAGCACGTGTGGTCAGCGATGGACTAACCCTATTGTTGGTGACAGGTCAAGAACAAAGTGGAAGCTCCTCCCACCTCTTTCCACTTTAGCAGAGCGAAGGCTGGAGAGGAGGCAGTCTCCTGTCCAGCGTTCACTCTGCTAAAGTGGAAAGAGGTGGGAGAAGCTTCCACTCCATTCTTGACCTGCCACCGACTATAACTGTGCCAGCTATAGTATGAGTGGCGTTTGCAGCATGACTTGATGAACTGGCAGGCCCAAACATCCTATGTATCCTCAACTTGATAAACTACCTTTGTGATTGTCAGTAATTTGCAGATCCCATCGAAATCGAGGCACATACACCAGTATGATCAAAGCTCGGTCATTTCTTTGTTTGCTTGCATGATTCAACGAATGTTTTACTAATGAGAGCCAAGCAGAGGGTTTCAAACAGAGCCAACTGTGGATAGCTTAATTACCAGCTTTTTAGATAAATACCCAGCTGGCACGATGAGGTATCTACAACTAGCGTTATGTATACCCCCAACTCCTTCAGCCTGAGACACAAATGAGGGGATAAATGCAGATTCTTTGTGTTTCGTGTCAGCCCCCTGCACCCGTTTGAGCCACAGTCTCAAACTCCAGGAAATAAATCTCCACCAGCTTGCCTCCGTGCTCAATATTAGTCGCTAACTTAGAGCAGCCCAGTGTCTGTCAAGGGGGCACCAACAACTTGTCTCTAATTGCTGTTTCAGGAGCTCTTGGAGCATTTAAACATCACTCCTCAACCAGATGCAGTCAAGTTTTCTATTGTCACTAATGTGAGTTCACCTTCTTTCGTTTGGTCAGGTCATAAATTACTAGAGCTCATTGCCTCACTATTTTAAGCTTGGAAGGAGCTTGTTTAAAGGGAAGCTGAAGCGGTTGTGTATTTGAGAGAACACATTTAAATTGTCTTCATTTGACCTCCAGGATCTCGAATGTAGAAATTATTTTTCAATTTAGTGCATGGAGGCTGCAGAAATTTATATTCAAAGTACCGCTGAAGGCCCTCCTTCCCGTAGTACGACGTCACAAAAGGAGCTTTGGATTCTCCGCTATCGCGCTCTCCAGCGCCTGTCAAAGCTTTGCACGCATACTCTTGCTATTTTTAAAAAGGGCAGAAAAAGACATCGCGACTGGTGCCAGTGCGGGGGAATACACCTAGCAAGCTTGCTACTGCACGCGCGGCCCTCGAGCGACAAGCGCTTGGCGGTTGAAAGATCCTTTATGATGTCACGTCTGGTCATAGGTTTTTCGCGTTTTCTCGCTTCGAGTTGCATCTTTGGCGAAAACGAATGTGATATTCAGGTTCATGTGATAAAACTACTCGAAAATCAACCTCTAATTTTTTTTTTTTAAATGTTTGAGCTGCCTGTAAAAAAAAAAAAAAATTTAAATAAAGAGGCAAAAAAAATGATTTACCTGACTTTTTTTGGTGTATCTGACTGTCTCCCAGGTGGGCTGTGGACCAGTATCTGTCGATGATCCCGAAGAACATATTTTGGACATTCACGGGTTTCCCCGCTGATTTGTACCCTTCCAACTGGAGCATCCACAGGATGCCTCTTGTTTTATTGAGGAAGTCTTCTTCCAAGCCACAGTGGCAAGAGTATACTTTGTAAGTTGGTTGGAAGGAAAACAAGTATTTTTTTACTTGATATTTTAATGAGGTTTGCTAAGTACTCCCAACTGCTTAGAAATAATTACTACCATCATTAGCAACACCGTGAGAGCAAAGCCATGGCCTGTCCTGTAAGCTGCCAACCAGTGCCTCAAGAACTTTTTGGAATACAAGGATAGGCACAGTGCTCACCAGACTTATACAGAACACGTAAAGTATGTGTTATGTCGAAAAAGCACTAGCTTGGTGGCAGCTGAAAAACAGCTCCGTTAATTAGCGCCGAATGGAACTCTGCCGAGCAGGGGAGGCCTCTCGCTCGAAATTGCGGCTTTGCAACTGGGGTAGTGTAGATCACTGGTAGGCAAGTTTGTTGCGTTGTCTCCTGTACCGCCGCTATTTCACCATTGAGCAAACCATCTCCCCTGCTCGGGCAGGTCCATCGAGCGCTACATAGCGTGCCTTCGAGATAAGGCAAAGTTTGCATGTTCCGTATAAGTTTGGCGAGCACTGTACATTGCTTCTTCTTACGTACACCTCTGTTACGTGCAGTATCAGAGTGCAACATGTAATATGCTTCTATTGTGGCTGGTGCCATGTTGTAATCTCGAGCCACTAACAGGATTGACCGTGGAGTATCGTGGGGTGTAACAAACCAGGGTGCGTATGAAATTAAATGAGTTATTTTTTGTCTACAAGCGTATTATTGAACGAGCCATTCGACTGACCAACCATTTTTTGTTTTTTCTTGCACGCCTGCATTTGCGATGACACGGAATGTGAAAATCCTCTTTACTTGTCATCTAGGTACTTCTCATTAGTGCTCATAGACAATTGCATTTACCAAATTCACTGGTGCTTTCTCTAAAACTACATCTGAAAATATATATATGCATCTAGAGGGATACACACATACAGCATAGAAGGGATTCTGCGCAAGTTTATTCATTTGCACCAATCGGCTTTTGGTTTACACTCTGCAAGGTTTTATTGAGTCATGTAGCAACAGGCTCAATTTTAAATGTGTACTGCACAGAACCACTTTGCTGATCCAATTCAAACGTCCACTTGAGGATGGTTCCACTGTCTTTGCAATGTTGCAGACTTCTTTTGTCGAATAGGTAGACCCCCTGCCTTGAGAAGCGATCCCAGGTGACCTTTTTTCCCAGGACAACTTTCTTGGTTGGTCCAGTGGTTACCGTGTTGTCTTCGTCAAAAACAAAGTCCATCCACAGGGCAACACCATTGCAGTTCCCAGTACTGAAAAAAGGGGCAAGAGGTGATCAGGCATTTTGCACCTTCCTGCTTGCGGGGAAAGTAGGATTGCCAATTTGCTACCAAAACAGTAACCTCTATTTTGTTTTATTATTATTATTATTTTTTTTGGTAGGGGGGGGGGGGGGGGGCGGGGCGCGGTTACTGTTTAGTATTGCCATAGAATCCCTGAACAAACAGACTGGTCGACGCCAGAAACTATACTTTTGTTTGAAACCCTACATCCCCTGTCGACCCGGTTCCTGATTACCCAACGATAAGACATCATTTTCTTCCCGACGGTGGGGCAACAATACGTTGGAGGAGGGAGAAGGTATTTGAAGCTCGGAGCAACAATTTGATAACCATTGCTATTTATCAAAAAATAAACCATCTTTTCATAGTAACAATATTAATATCCCACATGAAGGATCTTGTTACATGCATAACATTTTTTGGAGCAATCTTTGAGACACTCGTTAAATGGTAGTATGTTTGCTTTCAACACAATAACAATGCACCACCTGTGATCACTTCATTGCCAGATATTCAGGATGTAAATTGACAATTCCCAAGACAGCTTTCCATGGGCAATGTTCATTAGGCCAATAAGGCATACCCACCTCTCAAAGCAAACATGGCCCGATGTTGCAGCAGATTTTAGATTCGATGCCAGGTTGACTGTTGCAATGTGGAACGGATGCGTCATGGCAGTGCAGGGGTATTCCCAGAGAGGCTGTGGTTCCACCATCTCATCGCTCACGGCCTGTGCATTCTGTGAAGCACGCAAGAACACAACAAGTATCTCATTATATCTACTCACAAAAAAAAAAAAAAAAGAGAGTGTGCTGGTGAAAAAAGGGACACTCCAGACTTGACAAAGTTTGACTTGCTGAACCTACTATTTATGGCAAACATGACAAAGGCACACTTGGCAGATTCACAACTATTTCCAAGGTATGTGCCCAACCTGGTAAAGGCAGCTGAAGCAAGGTACCTGTATGAGCTCATCAAATGCAGAGAGGTCAAAGCCTTCTGCCTCTCTGACAGGTGCTCTGATCTTCCAGAGGTGTTCGAATTCCACAGCCAGTCCATAGAAGACTGCAGTGCCCGGCAGAGTGATGGCTCCAGGGGTCAGTAAATGCTCAATCTCAGGCCGCAGGAACCAGAACTGCAGGTTGTGCCAGGGCAGGAGGCTTGTGCTGAAGAAAGGCTCGCTCAGAAGCAAGTTGGCCTGGCACAGGGACATACATCAACTTTGAACTCTCTCCTTGTTGTAGCACTTCTTCCAGCGTACATATGCAATTATGTGGAAAAGGTGGCTGAAAGGATTTTGCGCCATACAGCTGAATGCAAATTATTTTCACATTTTCATTTCCTCAATTCTGACAAACAGATGCCAATCACAGCCATCAATCAAATGGCAGGGAAACCAGCCCCACCCTTTACAGAGACGTATATTGTGCCTCCATTAGATCATTAGCTCACTAAATTCCTGGAGCTGAATGTATAAAAAAAATTCTGAATTACTCGAGTGGGTACTCATAACAACTCTGTAACCAAATCCCACACTGTTGCTAGCATATAATATGCTCCGAAAGAGAGAAATGCATTCATTGCAAAATGCACGAGTCTTACCCGTTCATCCAAGTCATCCTCTGCGAGATGGAGAGGCTCCTTTTCCAAGACGCTAACTCCTTGTAATTGGTTGCAGGTCATGTACTCGGTCACCAGTGCATGCAAAATGGTATCCCCTTCAATCACGTAAACCTGGATTAAGAATGTTTTTATTGTTTTGGAGTTGAAAGTTTTGGAAGGTTTCGAGACAAAGTGCCGGCCTATGTATTCCCAGTTTCTGAGCTGGTATCCCAGCCAAAGTGCCCACAATTTGACAGAGGCTTACTGCAGTACAAGTGCCATGCAACAGAAATTTGGTGTGCGATAAAGGTCTCCAGTGGTCTAAATTAGTTTCTCACTGGGGTGTGCCAGATGTCCTTCATTGGTTTGGCATGTAGGTCTCCCCCAATGCTGCATTTTTTATTTCTGGTACTAGTATACACTGGGACCGTTTGCTCGAAGCCGGTCAACTGTAAAAAGTTAACCACATTTCCCTACGAGGGGGCATTTTAGATCACGTCAGCGGCAGAGTAGGGACGGTGGGGAAACATGGCGGTGCCCCTGCGAGCGAGCGCCGCTCGCATTGTAACTAATATGTCGTAGTAGCTGCAATATCAAGCGCATTAGTCGGCAATGAATGGTGCAGGAGGCTTTCGCTTTGTCTTAACTCACTTAAATCACAAAAGCACGAGCCATGACCTCACCGCATTTTTTAGCTATCGCTCATCCAGCGCTCGTCAATTGTGGCTAGGTACTTGCAGGTACTTATTGTGAAGCACCGATCAAGCGCCCACTCAAAATTTGGAGATAATCGTAATGAAGTGGGGGATGGGCGCTTGTTAGGTCACAAATTTTATCTATATTTGTACTGCACATATTTTTTCAGATGTTGCAACATTTAGGGATGGACGCTTAGTGTGGAATGGGCGAATGCTCGGTACTTTACGATAGTAGGGAAGGGCGTTTAACTTTTTACTGCGGTTAATGTTAACCGGCTTCCAGCAAACCGGCCCTGGTAGCTATGTATAATGCATTGACATTTGCTCTGCAATCTGAGACAACCACATCCAGTGTTTGGGAATTATTTCACCAGCATGTAGTTGCTCTTTGCAAAAACAAAACAGCTGCACTTAGTCAACAAAACCTTGCACAAGTTATAACCGAGTATCATCATGAGTGAGAGAAAATCAGGTGGAACAGTCTGTGCATCTTACTTTCTTTGCACCTAACTTTGCAGCCATGAAAGGGATGAGGCTTCCAGTGCCCAAACAGAGGCAGACAGACTCTTTAGTCACAACCTGGAACAAGGATAAGAAATTGCACATGGCCGCTTCCACGCATGCAATCCAGCGCGTCCTACCTTTTGGAGTACTGAAGCATAAGCCCTGTTTCTGGTGTCGTCGTTGAGCATCCCGATTCTGGTGCGACTGAGCGACATGTGCAGGCCACAGTTGCACAAGGGACTCTCCGCAGGCTCGGGGGCTTTCCTGCTAAAGGAAGATTGATTGCTCTACTCCACCGCCATAGGGGTGAACAAGATACTACAAGATTGTTTCTTTAGGCCCATATTGAAACCTTCCAAGAAAAAATTTTTATATGTAGTTCAAAAAAACACTAACTTGTCAAATCATTTTTTTTTTTTTTTTTTATTTGAAACAATTGAAAACGATGCCTGGACATTAGCCTCGAAATTCTAGACTCGGGAACTCGGTATTTGTGAAGCATAAAAAGCAAATTCCAAAAGCCGAATTTGAAGTTCCCACGTGATTTGCCCCAGTGCAGTGACGTCAAAGATTGAGTCGTACTGCAACTCCAGTTTCTCTCACGCCTCCGAACCGCCGCGACCCGAAGTGTCATGTTCGTTTGCGTCCCGCGAATAACCAGTTTCCTTTGTGCGTGCTACCTATCATTGCGAGCAGTCGCTTGATTTTCGAGTTTGGAGGTTTTTTTTAGCGCCCTTTCAGCTATCTCAAATTCTTTGAAACAGTGCGAGGTCGAAGAGAATGTGCAGTAGACTTCTGTGAGCGACGTGAGAGGCCACGTTGCGCCGGTTCTGTGTGAAAGGCTACCTTGGCGGAGTCACAATCGAAACTATGGTACACAGGCACCAAACACAGTTATTTTCACCATTTGACGATTTCCTTTTCGAAGTCCGAGAGGTCATCTGGCACCTAAAAAAGAGAATTTCGTCCGATTCCCCGACTCACCGATCATCCTCAGTGCTATCGACCAACACACTGTTTACAAACAAACCCGCGTTTGCCCACCGGGTGAGGGCATTGCGCGCGCGCAGAAACCAGATTCGCCCGAGGCGAAGCATCTGATCATGCGCAGTGCCGACAGCAGCACCACCGCATCGGCGTGACGTCGGAGAGTTGAGTTGGTCTATACTTTGCCGCTACTAGTTTTGTGCAGTGCCGGCAAAGGCAATGCCAGGCGAAGAGAGGGTGAGCACTGGGAAGGTGGAACGGGAGAGAAGGGCAATAAAGGGCGAGGGGGCAAGGGAGAGAACTAGGAACGCTAGGGAGGAGAGGAGGCTTTTCTCCTCCCTAGTGCTTCCCCTTTCTCCCCTCGCCTGACGTTGTGTTCCCATGTACTGCACGCAACTAGCGACACGGAGTATGCATGTGCCGTGCGCCGCCACTATGTTTTCCGAGGGAGGATAAGAAGCAAGGAGGTGACATCACTCTGAACTCCAATTTTCGGTATTTCAGCAAGAAGGGCCGTAGTGTGTTCGCAATAGCGTTGAAAAACATGTAATCTCGTTATTAAATATTATAGAAATGTCACTGACAAAGCTTTAAAGTTCATAATTATTGACGTCACAAATAAAAATAAGCGAGGAGGTGAGAAGGGGAGGAGAAAGGCGCCAAAAATAAAAAGGTCCGCGAGCGTGTGGGGAAAGTTTTTACGTTGGTGGTATTTGTTGTTTAAAACAAATACCACCAATAAAATAATACCATTGTTTAAAAAAATAAAAACAACCTTTGGCATGTCAGTGCCAAAGGTGACATGTCAGTAAAGTTGAAATGGAATGGATGCCTATATTTTCTAACTCTCGGTAGCTTTAAATTGCCTACGTTTCGTGGAACTACAGAGGGTCTGAATTACAAAATGCCCATAAACGTTTATAGAGATTTCTTGCATCCCTCCAGTTGATCATCATGAGTATTATGGCTTGTACAGTCATTTAGCTTTTAGTCCAATGGGATTAAATCGCCATATTTTCACTTGTTTCAGGCAATATTAGTGTGCATGGCATGTTGTGTACGCTACAACATATATTTGTGAATGGCGATAGGTTTAGCGGATTCATTTTTTAATATGAAACTATGCAACAGGTCGCTGATTAGGTGAACTGTTCATACAAAATGATCTGTACAGGTGCTGCAAGAGTCAGAATAATGTCATTTACGAAGAATGTCCAGAAAGTAAGTTCTGTTTTGAAATTAAAAGGTTATGGTATTGTTAATGAAATGCTTTATTTTCCATAAATTCTGAATAGCATAATCTATCCTTCGATGCAACACCCTCCTTATGGGGGTCCCTATCATTTTGTCGAAACTCGTTTCGTGGATAACTTTTCATGGACACGCAATTCATTGACGCAATCGTTTCATCGACACTTGTTATTCGCATTGCACGCTGTAGGGACATTTCCTCATGCGTGTATCGCTGGGGTGCGCGTTAACCCCCCCCCCTTACCCCCGCCTGTGTTCACGCCGCTGTTAACCTACCTGGCCGACCCATACACCATTTCGTGGCGACTGTCTCATGCAGTTTATTACAGAAAAAAAGGCTAATCTGAGCTGCTGATCAAACAATTTGTTGATGAAACAATCTGTCGATGAAACATTGTTCAATGAACTGATTGCCACCGTCCTTATGGTAGTCTGCTGCCGCCCGAGTCTTGAGCAGACATCTTTGCACAAGATTTCATAGACAAAGATCCATCGAAATTTCTCGATGTAGCGGTCATGATCTGCATGGTTCGACATTTACCGAATTCAAAAATTTTATCGTAAATGCAGAATTAATGCATAGCACAAACCACAAAAATAGTCAGTCTCATGAAATTGTGTCAGGATGACACAGAAGTGAAGACTCTTGCAGGACTTGAATGCAAACAGTACTTACTTTGTGGAAATGCCTTGTGTATAGGTTCAATGGCATGAATTACATTTTGTGTGATAAAACAAAAGAGGCAGCAAAGTAAGAAATTGGAAAACAAACGGGAAAGTTTTGGGGGAAAATTACCCCCAAAACTCTGTACTGTCAACAAAAACCAGGAACAGGTGTACGTACTGTAAACTATTCTATTTTTGCAGGCTCGGTATTTTGCAAATGTTGCGAAGTGTGTGTTTTGGGAATATGTCGCAGGCATAAAATTTCGCGATTGGGAGTGGTATGCATGCATCATTCATTACTGAGGGGTAATATATTTGCAAAAATTAGGTCATTTACAATATTCCAATATACATTTCTCTGGTTAACAATAAAAAATATCAACACTACACACACACACACACAAAAGAACTGTATTTTGAAACTCTCTTTGATCAAATGCATAAAGGAGTAGCTATAGTCAACTCTTCCTTGTATAGGCATAGCTGTTCACGCCGCAATCCATTTTCCTCAAGCCCAATTGGAATTTGCTTGTGAAAATATAGTTCTTTTCAATGTTGGCATTACCATGTTCTTACCAATGAGACACAGAGAACCACAGGCTGTACTGGTCCCTACATGCCAGGAGCTGAAACTGCTGTCCAGTTTCAACTTGTATCGTTTTGGGTGGATAGTAGACTCCTTGCATCCAATGGTCTCTCCACTGAGGGAAATGAACGAGCATGCACAATCATTCACAATATAGCCTTCATTGGACGTGCTCATGTTAGCATGCAGCAATGTAGCAGGCACAAGGCTAAATGAATGAAAGAAAGCTGTTAATTTTATCAAGGTAACCAGTAATAATATGGCCACACATGGTACTGACATGAAAACTTCCCCTAACAAAAACTTGGGGCCATACTCCGTTCACCCCTAAGCTGACAATGCAGTGGAAGCTACATAATTGTTGGACCAGCCATACACCTGTCTTTCGCCAAATGATCACGCTCCCACCCATATCCACGCTCGGAGAGCAGAATCAGCTGATGAAATGGAGGCGGTTGATTAATTCGGCAAGCCCGTAGCTCCCACTGTACTGTCAGCTTGGGGATGACCAGAGTATAGACTATGCAACAAACTATACTCGGTGACAGGTGAAGAGCTCAGGGTAGAGTGACCAGACGTCATGTTTTGGCAGAAACCAGCTTCGCATCAAGTGGAGCGTCTGCCTACGCGCCCTGCCAATAGCAGTGCCACCATAGCGGCGTGACGTCAGGGCCGCGTGTGGGCGTATAGCATGTTGTTGGATGTTTATTTATTTAAACTGAGCATGCTGTTTTATTCTATTGATTGTGTGGCGTAAGCGAACCTCCAGTTCCAGCGACCTCGCCTAGGGTCAAGGGCAGATTTATGGGCCAGGCCCTTGGGAGGGGGAGTGCAAAGATGTAATGTCATGAACAGAATTAATGTCTCAGACAAATGTGACTTTACAGACGAAAATAATTGCCAATTCAACAAGAACGAGGCATTTCTATGCCATTTCTTCTATTAACAAAAAAAAAAAAAAAAAAAAACAAATCTGGGGCTTGAGGAGGGTGGTCGCCTTTTCTCCTTAAAGGGAAACTCCGGTCAATATTTTTTTTAATTTGGGATTATAACAGTTTTCAGCTAGGGCAGTGTCTAAATTACAAAGTATAATTTTTTTTTTTTTTCGTATTGCGTGTTATTTTATAAATATCACGGCTCAAAGTTTGGTTTCGAGCATCTCTGGCAAAACCAAAACTATCTTCTTGAGGGATGGCAACACTGATTATTAGCTATGTGACGTCATTGTGGAGCTGCGGTATGCAATACAACCAATCAACTGCAGCTACGTGACGTGACGTCACAAGGGTGCTTCGCCAATGTTTACTAAAAGCTAACCCACTGGCCGCCCGCTAAAGAGCAGCTGGTTGCATCTTTAAAATCAGTTTTAGTAAAGAATACGGCTAGACTTCGGCATAATATTTCGGCTGTGATCATATTTCGTGCCACTAAAGCGATACCAGTCATTTATTTTGGTTTAGTTTTCGACCGGAGTTGCGCTTTACATTCGCCACTGCCTAGGGTGCCGCCCCTCGGCACACTCTGTCTTTCCCTACATCATTGCAGTATGCCTAACTTTAGGGCAATCTTTGGTTCCAAATAAGATGTATTATTAATTCTGATTCTACAAGAAACATACCATATTGATTTACTTCTTTTTTTTTTTTTTTTTTGCTGCGGATACCAGTTATTTAAAACTTTGTACGTATGTCCACCATCTCTACAGCTTACCCCTGTAGCCAAATGCCCTTGCACCACCTGTGTGGCAGCCTCTCCATCGCCTGCTGACACCACTTTTTGGGAGTGCCTAACTTCCATGCCTCGACAGCTGCTTCCAACTTATTAATGACCGCAAATGGTGTCTTCGCAGGGGTTTTTCACGACACTCAACAGGGGATAACCACTGGGGGCCTGACAAGGCCCATGCGCTATCGAACTGGTCGTACAATGCATCAGAAAGACGGCCGAACCCGATAAGGTGCCAGTCAATCACAGAGTAGTGTGCATTCACATCAGGCTGTGATTGGCTGGCATCTGCTCAGGTTTAGCTTTTTGGCTCCCGTACAATCACTCGGATGTTTGGTCGCACACGGGTATGGCCTGACCAAGCCCCCAATGGTTATCACTCGTTAAGTGTCATGAAAGAACCCCTGCAAGGACGTCATTTCGTGGTCCTTAATAAGCTGAAAGCAGCTGTGCAGGTGTGGGTGAGGCACTCCCAGAAAGTGGTACAAGCAGGGCATGGAGATGCTGCCACACAGGTGGTGCAAAGGCATTCAACTACAGGGGAAGTCTGTCGAGAAGGTGAACATATGTGCAGACCTATAAGTGACCGGTATCTGCAGCAAAAAAAAATAAATTGTAAATCAATGTGTTACACCCCTCACACCTTAGTTTTGGGATTTAATGTTGTCTCAACCGATACGATAGTTCAACTAGCAGGTAGATAACTGCAATCAATTTAGATAGAGTTGACTTTCAACACCCATTGCCACTGCTAAGTTTTCTTTTTACGGCATAGGGGACATGATCAACACATGTCATGGCGTCTTAAAAGAATTTCCATATTTTCCCGACTTTAGTCTGCACCTGGTATATAGTCTGCAGGGGAAAATTTGGGTCGAAAATAGAATATTTTGCTTAGATAGTTTGCACGTAGTGCCTAATCCGAATGTAAAAATTATCATACACAGCACACATTGAGAAATGCCTGCTGTATTAGCTAACAAAGAAGCGTGTATCATACATAAATCACCATTCATATATTCTGTTGTTCATAAAATCCTTTCACATCTTGTCACAAAAAACAATCTAGAGAAAGAAAAAAAAAATGCTTGTTTCCGAGACGTGTCTGCGTGGCCTAGTCGGTAGCGTGTCTGGCTCTTAACCGTAGGGCCGTGGGTTAGAATCCCACCTCTGCCTAAAATTCAAATTTTTTCTTTAAGGCCAATGAATTATTTATAAAGTAAAATCATTTGAGACGTGCAACGACCTTTAATTCGCATTACATGTCATGTTTTAATCACTTTCATTCCATGCGCAACGTCACGTTTCACGTAAGCGTTGTGGGTTGTTTGAAATTTCCACGCGAGGTCATGTGACGTCATGACACTATCGACCAATCAAGATTTTCCCGTCCCACCGACACCGATGCTGGATTTTTTGCAACACAAGCTCTTAAAAACAAATGCTCGTATAGTCTGCACCTGTAGATAGTTAGCACTAGGTAAAGTTTCAACTTTTAGACATGTATACCCTGTGGATGTATACCTGAAAAATTCGAGTACACCATATCTGTATCACTTCTATGGATGAGTCCTGTTCATCTGAACAGCTTCGTGAACCAACTGAATTGTTCGGCTATCATAATATCTGCACAACTGAAGCAGAACCCAGCCCTGCCTCAACCGAACTTTGTAAGGGGACAAGCGGAGTAATTAAACAGACTAAATGAACGCTGGCGTGTCGGCCAAGATCATTTGAATAAGACCCTAGTAAGCTTGGGATTTCATTATGAGCCTTTCACTAACTCAAGTTTGGCTCATTTTGTCTGACTTTGCACGGCCAACAAAACTGTATAAAAGTAATCAATAATACTTTCAGGGGCGCTTTTTCCAGACGAATGGGCCCAGTAAGGTGCACAACTGAGCTCAATTTTGGCTCCTGGGTCCATGTCTAGTTTCCACCACATTAGTATGGCATGGCAGGTGCCACTTTCCGCTGCTGTAGTTTCAACAACGGTATGTGCTTTTGGTGCCAGCGTCAAAGGGTCTGTGAAGTTGAACCTGCAGCAGAGAAGACCAAATTTTAAGACCCACACACAAATAGCACACTCAAACAAATTCTGGTTTGTCTTTGGAAGGTGGATAATAAAAAGAACACACCACTCTTCAATGTGAACTTCTATTTCTGCACATCTACCAAATATCCAACTGTTTACTTATAATTTTCAGCCAAATTTGAGCCCTCCTGAAGCACCATTTAAAAAAAAAGAAACTAACAGCTTGGTACGTGGTTCACATCAAGTTGGCTCGAGTTGTCACTTTTAAAAAGAAGTCCACAAAACTTGGGTAATTCCAAGCTTGCTGCACTACACCTGAACACTGGCAGGGGTGGTGTGAGTGGGATGAAGTCCGATTCTTCCAGCTGGCTGAGCTGTAGGTCATGCACTGCGGGCACTCCAGCACAGTCCTGGACTCCTTTTGGTACTAAGACAGTCTGCTCTCCGGTCACCGAGACGGCACCGACTGTGTGGAAACTTCTCAGAAAAGGCGAATGGACAGCTTGGGCATAAATCGTGGCAGCATGAGGGACCACAAGGGCATCTGGCTGCAATGGGCACGGGTGTAGGCATTAGAATGGACCGTCTGCAGTAGAGAAATGAGCACAGATGCTTAAAAAGAATAAACACAAAAACGGGATGAAAACTGATGCATACAACTCTCTCAACTCTCAACGACATTCATTTCGGCTGCGTTCAAATGACGGCCTTCCAGCAGGTTAAAGGGGCCCTGCAATAATATTTAAGCGTCTACCTTTTTTGCGGTTTCTACGTCTCTCGGGGTTCGGGCAAGCCAGCGGGCACAGAGAGAGTAACTAAATATCAGTTCGTCATATTTTAACCGGACGACGCGGAAACCTCCTCCACCGACGAGGGCGACCCGCGGTACCGAAAGCGCGCAAAATGTGACGTCTTTGGTCCTGGGCTTACTACTGGTCAGAGCTGCTAAAAGCTTCTTTTTAGTCGAAATACAAAATATAAGTAGCGCGAACCGTTTCAATTATTTATAAAAGTAGTTTTTGTTATGCATTTTAGATAAAAAAAGAAACGAATGCAGTTCATAAAGTTCATGAAACAAGAAATGACCCGTCGACATACCCGCCACCAAGCGGTGGAAAAGGCGGCGCATACTAGAAAGGAGTAGTGGGATCAGTCGCCGACACGCAAAGGTCCCGGATGTACGCGGCGGCGCTGCGGTGGTATGGGCAGGAGGATCCGACCGGCTCCGAGCGTTCCGAAGGCCTTCGGCAAGAAGCTTCGTCTTGCAGTTTGGCCGTTTCGCGGTATGGCAGCGCAAAGTAGCTCCCATTCTGAACTGATCTTTACCCCGTGTTTGCTGTCGTTTGTGGCCAATAAAGTGTCGTGCCGAATTAGTATTTAATCGCGCAAAAAAATGCAATGAGAGCCGCTCTGGCTGCCCGCTGCATACAGCCTATCCAGGACACGGAGCTCTCTTGCGCCGTCGACACGGAGTGCGGCAGCCGTGAGCGCTCGATGAGCTCACTACTTCTCCTCTAGTTCAGAGCCACTCTCAAGCAACCAAGGACGTCATAAGGGAGGTTATTTTTTGCTTGTTTTTGTCATTTTAATTTGCCTATAACTTTTAAAATAAAGGGAATTTCGAGAAAAAAAAAAAAGTTTCACTAAGTTATTACGTTCAGTGCGCTCAGGTTCGGCGCAAATTAAAAATTAGTAAAAAGAAGTCATTGCAGGGCCCCTTTAAGGGGAAGGAGCAGAGGAGGAAAAGGGGGGAGGGTTGAAAGAAGAGGAGGGGAAAAAACGGGTTATTCGCGGCCTTTCCTCAAGGCCTCTAATCCCTACCACCCAGTTCAGGACAAAGGAAAGATATCTCCCTGTCAGAAAGGGTTGGAGAAGTCTAAGCAAGGTTACTCACTGAGCTCTTAATGGCATACGACTTGGCTACTTCCCTGCCAAATCTCTGCCGGTGTACTCCCAATACGCGCATACCTTCGTATCTGGGAGAATAACCACCGCACGTGTTACGGTGTACGACTATTGGGTGCATGGAGTCGTCGGGGGGTTCGTTCACCTCCCGCGAGTGTTCCCTCAGGCGGTCATTCAGGCACCTACTGGTCTGCCCTATATAACCCCCCCCCCTCCACACACACAAAAAATGGATGGAATACACTACTACCTCCTTGCTACAGATGACAAATTGCTGACCGTGCTTTTTGTTGCATTGGGTCGCGGTGGGTGGGGTAGTGGGGTATTGACCATTGTGCACACCTGTTGAAGTTTCAGTTTGCAGCTAAACACTACCCCCATCTAACCTAACCTAATAGAACCCACCACAACCCAACGCAACAAAAAGCACGGTCAGCAGTTCGTCAACTGTAGGAAGGAGGTAGTGCATTCCATCCCTTTTTCGTGTGGGGGGGGAATATATAGACCTTTTCACCCTCCTCGGCATGGGCGCTGCCATATTGAAATCACGTGACGCGGCAGCCATTAGGTTGCTTCAACTTGCTGCTCCGCTCTCCCTCCACGCCTTGGCGGATGCGTTGTATTCGTGTTTTTCGTTGCGTTTCACCGCGCTTTGTTGCGTTACCTCAGAAACTGTAGTCCGATACGTCTACTCGACGACTAAGACATCTCGGGGACTCAGATGTCCTTATGACAACTGAGGTTTGTTCACTAATAGTGGCGGAACATTCTCAGTAAGAAGCGCGTGTATTTATATCGCGCATTTAAGATCGGAAGGACTCAAGAATAGTCATCGCAAGAAAACTATCTGTATTTCCTGAAAGTATCGTTCTTTGCAACGTTTCCTTTGATTATGTGAGGAAACTCGCAGAGGAGATAGACAACGAACGTTCAACTTGTATTTTATCTGAGGCTAGACGTAATTGTACGTCAACATCAGGCGATTTATTTGTTCATAATATCACACCTACATGTGTAGTAGGCTCTCAATCTTTTTTTTTTTTTTTTTTTCACTTATGAAGTTTAAGAAATAGTATACCGTGGTTGCTCCCATTTCGACACTCATTTAAGTGATTTATTGATTATATTTAAATAACCAGTTCAATCCACTTAATTTATTTTAACACAAAGGTTGGGACTGCCCGCGTAAGAAACTGGTACAGACACTTTACAGTAGCGAGTTTTAGAAAAAAAAGTGCACTAAGAGATAACGTCGTTTGTTTCTATTTGCAAATCCAAACGCGGTTTGGGTTCGACGCATAAACAATATTGACGCTTTTTTTTTGCGTACATTGTTTTGTTTTTGTTAGTATCTAAAATCCGCAATCATTGGCGCCGAAAAAAAAAAAAAAAAAGCCGTCTGCACAGCAATTACTCGAATTTAGGATTGTCGATGGCGAATATAGGTTTACGTTTGGTGGCTGGCGACGCCGAAATTTACAAAGCGAATCTGTTCAAGCAAATAAATAATTGTTCACACAGGTCTGAGAAGTTTTGTCCTAGCGCTAGAATTCAGCAAAACTTTCCGAGGGATTTCTCCTCCTGCACCCTTTAATTTTATTTGGCCAATTTTTGGGAAGACAAATGCCAGATTTAGTTTGACGGGCCCGTTACGTATATCATATCTTGAGTAAGCAAATGTTCATATAACAATAATTTATTTCATTGGGCCAATATCGCGAAATGCTGCTTATGAGTACTTTAGGAGGGTTGATAATTTAAGAAATTTCCTACTCGGCCCGTCAAAACATGCTCGAGTACTCAATTAAATAAAAAGAGGCCTAGATGATACTACTTGTTTATATCACGATACATTTTTAGTCAGCGAAGTTCACTAAAGTTTGGGTGCCCTCGAAAACCAAACAGTGAGTAGTAAACTCGTGAGTTCATCTGTTCTGACCGAATCAGCACATTGCTAATCAAGCTGTCGATATGCTTCTTTACATTCCCATGTTAGTCTCGTCATCAGTTTGTTTTTCTTGAAACTAGTTTTATCAGGTACGGCCGTAGATGATATATATAGTAATCTTCCCTGTTCATCAGTCAGGCGTTTCGCAACCGACCATAATCAGGTACATCAAAGGAGTTGGTAAACCATATCCCGCAATTTAGGCTAAAATACACCATGTAGTCCTCAAAGTGGCTCAATACCACTGTTTCATTGGTTGTGTGGTACAAGAAAAATGACTGTATCGCAAAATTAAGCAAGAACAACGTAAAACAGCAACATAGCCGCGTTCATGTTGAAACCGAAATTAACCAAATTGAAGCAACCCAATGGCGCCGAGTGCGTCAGCGCCCTCTATCCGCCGGTGAGGCAACTACTAAAATGAAAAGGTCTATAGGACAGACCGGCAAGTGCCTAAATGACCACCTGAGGGAACACTTGCAGGAGGTGAATGAACCCAACCCCCCCCCCCCCCCCCCGACGACTCCATGCACCCAATAAACGTACACCGTAAGTTCGACCCAGATACGAAGGTATGTGCGTGTGGGTTCTTATGAAAGCGAGGAGTTGCGAGCGCCACAATATATTATATTTACATATCTACAAAAAAAAAAAAAAGGAAATAAACGTGAAGGTTGTTCGTTGGTAGGTAGTGAGGGAAGGCTGGGAATAACCTGTTTTTTTTACCCTCCTCCTCTTCCAACCCTCCCCCCTTTTGCTTCTCTGCTCCTTCCCCTTGACCTGCTGGAAGGCCGTCATTTGAACGCAGCTGAAATAAATGCCGTTGAGAGTTGAAAGAGTTGTATGCGTCAGTTTTCGTCCCATTTTTGTGTTCATTCTTTCTGATTGTTTAGTTATATTTACCAACACGCTTGTTTGTAATGTTAGCACAGATGTTTCATGCTTTTTACTAACATCTACGACATGAACTAAATATGGATTAGAGTATCCTTTCACATTCTAGGTTTTGTAGGAAAATCTAAGAGAACTCAGTGATTTTAAGTTGTCTACTATGTCCCAAAGAGGGAGGTTGCATGTGTCTATTGAAAAAGGGTTGCTCTTGACGTGAAAAAAAATAAATACATACAAGGCACGTCCTCCGATTCAGAAATTACCATCTCCCTGTGTCCATACCATATTGAAAGTATAAATGATTAAGCTTCCTCCAAGATTGGGGAGATCCATATGTTGCTCAGATGTCTCTTTTTAGTTGGCACCATTCCAATCTCGAAATGGCCCCTTGCATACACCCCATGGAGGCTACAGGTACAAGATAAGCATTCCACTATATAAGGGTGCCTAGAAGGAAACTGCAAGTGTTGAACTGTGTTTGTAAACAAGTAACAAATACCTCTAAAAGTTCTCGAAGCGCGTGAGTGAATGTTTCAATGGCTCCTTCCCCTATCAGCTCGGTGTCAAAAACTTCGGTCACCAGGATGTTTGCTTTCTCAGGCATGTCTTTTCCTATTTCAAATGAAAGTGCACAGAGCAAGGAATGTAATTCAACTTCATATGGGCACTTAGACTTCAGTTACACACTTGCATCAACTTGAGTGGGTAAGAGCTACAAAGCAGACACACATCTTGCATGCCCTTGTAAACATGTCCCATGTGCAGGATGCATTTATGCGCCATTTGTTCAGTCATAGGGCCCACCTTTGTCTGCAAAGACGAGTTTGACTATAGATTAGGTCAACACACCACCAGTGGCAGGCAAACATGCTGACAAATATGTCAACAAATATATTGTTCAGTTTGCAAATGAGCATGTTTTGGAGTTTTGAATAAGCATATTTATCATAGCTTTGGGCAGTACTAGAACTCAGGGACATATATGTACAAACTTGACACCATGACCAGCGCCAATTTAAAACTTCCAACTTCACTATTCATGCCTGCTTGCGCCGCGAACGTTGACCATGAGCTATGGCCAAAGCCGCCAGATCCGCAGAAGGTAAAGGTCATGCGAACTCCCCATTAGCAAATATTCAGCATACCTGGGCCAACCTCGATGTCGGTTGATCGTTTCGAGATGAGGCATATTTTGTCACCGAAACCGTTGTCCTTGATCACCTGCCTGGCTCGTTGCGCCACCGGGGCAAAAGCCTTGCGAGATTGTCAGACGGTGTTGTCAAGATACCTAATCGGAAATCGGCTCCGTGTATGGGATGCGTCCTACCTCGCAAGCGTGCACGCTGTAAGCCCCGTAATTTGCTGCCATCATAGCGAGGAGACCGGATCCGGTGCCGATGTCCAACACTTTCACGCGTTCGCCACGGTTCCTTACGTTGTCCATCGCCTCTCGCAAGGCCGAGTGGTACTTGGAGTTCTGGACATTTACAAGTCGTGTTTGTTAGGACAGTGCAGCCCGCGGGTGTCCGAGTGCCAAAATACAAGAAAAGAAAAACGTACTCTTTCCCAGTCGTGCAACATATCAGCAAAGGAGCTCCTGAAATAATGGGAGCCGTTGATTTATACCCTCTTCGGAAGGCCGAACCTGTCGGAGAAAGGCGTGCTCCTACCTCGCGATTTCTTGGTGGTAATCGTACTCCTCTGGACGGAGTTCCCACTCGTTTCTTCCCGTGATCGGGTTGAAGTGCGACGTAAACACGTTCATCGTCGCAGGATTCAAAGGAGAAGCTGAAAACTTAGTCATTGTATGCAGTACCTACTGTACCCCCTCCTAAACGTTGCCCCTGCACCTGCCTCATTTACCTCGTGCTCACGCCGCTCACGCTGCGCCTGCGCTGCGCTTCATTAGATGCTAGAGACTGCTAGAGATCATAGGCTTCATTTTCAGGATAGATAAATCGTTGGATGTTACCTTTGTAGTGGGTGGTAGCTTGCGTCACCTAGCCGTAGTCTAAAAAAACATTTGATTCCTATCATTAGGTAGTGTGCAGGGGGGTAAAGGTGGGTGAGGAGGAGTGGCAAATCCCGTGCGCCGACACCCGGGGTCCCGAGTGAACGATCGCAAAAGAGAGCGACAGAACACGAGAGAAAGAAAGCAACGTTGCCATGGTAAACGCGGTAAACGCGAAGAGTGTAAACTCTCAGCAATATAAACAGTGATAATTTGACGTTGTAAACTAAATTCTGAGCTGTTCTAACGCTTATAAAAAGCAATAAAGTCATTACGCTGCATTAACTTCCCTTCTGTCGAAATCTCGGAAATCTGGTGGTTACGCAGTTTCTATTCCTCAACCGCGCCCAGGCGCGCCCCACCGGCGCTATGCAAAAAGAAACCTTCGAAAGGAACGCGAATATCTTTCCACCGGTAAGTTCGTGGATTGTTGAAGTTCACGAAACTGCTCCGATGATGTAACCGTGTTTGGGACCCCGAGGGTCTGCCTGCATGATCCGCCGCTCCCGGCAGCTAGAATGTATGGGAAAATGGCGGACCTTTTCCTCTAGAGTTAGTATATGATCTCTATGGTAGTGTGGGATATCACCAAAATAACCTTTAAAAAATCGGGCAAAAAAAAAAAAAAAAAAAAAAAATCATCTTTTTTCCGTTTCTTCTTCACGGCGAGGAACCTTGGTATTGGTATTTATTCGCGCTCGTGAGCGCAGGCGTCACAGAAAGCCGTGTAGCCCACAGTGGTGTAGCCCGTACTGCCTGTGAGGCCCGTCTAGAGGGGGTGATTATGTTGGATTAATGAACAGTGCACTGTGAGGGATGGGGCAGGGTTATGCGTGTGATCGTAGGTGTGCTCCAGCCAACTCCAGCCTCGCGACAAAGTTCCAGTATTTCCGGTTTGTCACTCATGGGCATGCTAACAATTCTTGGTGGCAATGACAGCAATGAACGCCATAGTTGTACAGCGCGGACGAGGCATGAGCCCGCGTGGCGCTCAGTTCTTGCGAGCAGGGGCTCCAGATGACCGGTACGGTGGTTCCTGCGTGGGACTGTGATCAGGTAATCATCTTGGGGTATCCCTGGCCCAATGATGGTTGCTAAAAGTCTCAGGGTGGCCATGTCTCTCCTATCGCGTACCTATCGCGGTACCGCCGGTACCGCGATAGGTACGCCGGTACCGCGGTAAAGCAGCGGTAGGGCACGGCGAAGGGGCTGCGCCATGTTGGATTTTGAGCGGCTTCGTCTTCGCAAACGGCCAGGAAGCCGCTCAAGCTAGCTCGACGGCGTCAAAAGTAATTATTAAAACGTTAGCGCTTCATTTTATGAATATAATTCTCGCTGCTTATTTTAGTTTCGCAATCTATTAATAGAGCAATAAGGCTTCGATTCATTGCAGTAATGAGCGCCTCCGACCACGGAAGCGCTGCTGAGCGCCCAGTTTGTCCAGAAATCGACTCCATTGGGTCTATGGCAGTGACCGGGCACTGGCTTCGTCCTCGGATGGATGGATGGATGGATGAATGCGGCTGAGCCCTTTGGATCAGGCGGTAGCTTATGCCACCTAGCCATTTTGTTTTACCATTTAAAGGGGCGGTGCAACAATTTTCGGACTTCGGTCAAAGATTTCTGGAAGTTGCCCCCTGACACTTCTGAAGTAAAGAACAGAAAACCGATTTCGTCTGCGTGTCCTAGTTGTTGCGTAACAAAAAGATAAAGATTGGCATTTCGGGCACCCCTCAACTCACTCCCAGTCTTCAGGGTCACACCTGGTCGCACTCCCAGTGACGTCATTCGGAGTGCCGTGTAGCTTCCCGTGTGCTATCTCGGAGGACGCTTCCCCTCCCTCTCTCTGCGTACATTAGCGGGCGCTATGCTGCAGCTTAGAGCCGAGCGAGGTCACGTAATCTTTCCGCCGTAGTTCCTTCGGCTGCCACTTGGGGCTGCAGGTGGGAGGAAAAGCTCGACTTTTGCTTTGCGATTATGCAGCGGAATCGCGACATTTTTAATAAAGGAAGTGTTTTCTCTATCCTCTGGGATACGATAAACAACGTAAAAATGACGAGATGCAAATTGTTTTAATCATAAAATCGTTGCACCGCCCCTTTAAGCTTACAATATTTAAATGTGAAATCTATATTTACTTTGCACTCCAAAGAAAGTGGGGCTATAAAACCCCCTTGCCATCAGTTAATAAGGAAATACCTAGTTTTCCCTCGCTTTCTGCCGCCATTCACTTAATCTTTGCTTGGTAATCTCTAGTCTTGAAATCCACTCTCCCTTCACTGTCTCTAAAACCCAATGACTTTATTAAATCTATGTTGTCTTCGGTCGGCATAGGGTGAAGCCCTTTACAGTAGAGTATCAAGTGCTCAGCCGTCTCGTCCTCCTCTCCACAAGCAGTGCACACTGTATCCATTTCCTGGTACTTCGCTCTGTACGTTCTGGTTCGCAGAACACCCGTCCTCGCCTCAAACAACAATGAGCTTCCCCTAGAATTGTCATAAATGCTTTCTTTGGCAATAACTGTTTTGTTTAATCTATAGCTTTCCAGAGCCGTCTTTGTCTGCATTCCCTCTAGCCATCGATCTCTTTCTGTGGCCTTAACTTTCTTCTTAACTGAGGTTAAAAATTTTCCCCTTAATTTCCTAGTGCGCTGTCTCCACTTTGTGTCTATGCTCCTCATATATAAATAGCTGAAAACCTTTCGTGCCCATTGGTCCCCATCCATTTGCCTCCACCGATCCTCAAATTCTATCTTGCTCACCGCTTGCCCGCTCTCAAAAGACGCCCATCCTAGAGCACTATATAGCTCCTACGGAGCAGAGTAGCGCAATCCTTTGAACCCCGTGTTTTGCCGACAACATGGCCGACAGAGCGGCTCGGCGCGAGTCACGTGGTACTCAGGGTTCCAGAAGGCGGCCCGCCCTATGGGAGAATACATGGAGATCGACATAACACGGCTGATTAAAAAACTAACGGCGAGTTCACACTTTTCAAAACTAGTCTGTCGTGAAGTTAGTAAAGCGCTAAACACTTTATCAAAGTTTTAACAATATCGGATGCGTGTGCAAATTTTGAGAAGGCAATTTCCAAGGCAATGGCGTTTGAAGCAGACGATTTTTGCTCGCAGCGGAGATGGGCTTTTCGGGTTGGCCGGAGCGGGTCACGTGAATGGTGTGACGTCGCCGTGTCGTCTGCTGCATGATGCCGCTCAGGCAATTTTTTAAAAAAAGTCAGGTCCTTGCGGGGCACAAAACTCAGCGCAAATTATTCTAAAGTGTTCCATTATTATGTCAAAAATGATTGCGATTTCGTACATTCCCACAATACTGGAGAAACAACGATTTTCTCACGTTCTCCATGCATTTCTGACCGCAGTTGGAACCTCCGGGCGTTCGCCGCTAGTCGCCGAGAGGCGGCGTTCTAGATTGCGCTACTCTGCTCCGAAGGAGCTATATAGTGCTCTAGCCCATCCCTCGGTCCCCAGAGGGTCCCGGCTATACAGTTTGCCCCATAGAGTTATTATAATGTACGCTAGAGGTTCAACTGGCGCTAGTGTCTATGCGACTTCCGTGACGCAAATTGAAGCAGACAGCAACCAGTCTACTTTTCCAGTCTTCCCGTGTATTCCTATGGGAAAGCGCGCGTGCATTTTGTCTCTTCGCCGGAAAATAACACGGAACACTTTGGTTATTTGGGTCGTACCGAATAGTATGTACCTTGATTAACACTGTAAAAGTGTAATTCCTTTAGTTAGCGCATTTTTCTTCATCAGTGACCGATGTTTCACTTCGCTACATTTCAGTCCCAAACGTGTGTTCCGCAGCAGGTGTGTAAAAACAAGCGACGATTCGAAGCAAAATTACAATCGAAAGGAATGTAGAGTGTGTTCAAGGCTCGCCAGCAATCCGGTGACGCTTATATACTGATAATATGCCAGTCCTGTCACTATATAAAAATGACCCCGTCGTACATGAGCGGATAAAAACGTTCAAAACGTAAAGAATAAAGTCCGTGGACTATAAAAGTTGTCTCTTCGTATTGTTTTCTCTGCCGGGCAGCTTTTATCGGGCAATTGTTCTCCAAGATTTCGAGCGTGCGAGTGATATTTCGAACGTAGAACAAGCAGCTTCGCTCAGAGCAGAAAGAAGAAAACGGTACTTACTTATTTAAAATAGGAATAGATTACGTGGCCTTCAATTAATTTTGATCGTATATGCACGTGTAGTTACTGATCCGGTGTTACTGCGTAGTTCTTGCCGTCTTTCTTAATTTCCAGATGTTCTTCGTTCGTTTGGCACGTATATCCCCCACGCTGAAAAGCGCCGACGTCGTGTTCGCGCTAACAGTGTCCGACAGTGCACATAAATACACGTACGAAGCTGTTTTAGCACCATTTTTAATGCGATGAATTTGAAAGAAAAACACCGTAACTGACCAATTATTTCGTCGGCCTGACTGAGAAATGTTCCAAGCTACCTAGTACGTACGAATTATTCGGGATATTTGCTCTTATGATCGAGCGCAGAGAGAAAACCCACTCGCTTTTTCCCATAGAAATGCATTACCGGAAGTCAATTTTAGACTGGTTGCTGTCTGCTTCAATTTGCGTCAGCACACTAGCGCCACTTGAACCTCTAGCGTACATTATAATAACTCTATGGTTTGCCCACTGTAGAATAAGCCTGTGGTAATCGCAAACCACGTGATCGAGGGCCTTGTGTGAATAAAAGTACAATGTATAACTTAACTGATTACATATTATTCACACAATATAAATTATATTGACAACCAATTAATTGAAAAAGAGCGAAAGTCCCTTAAACAATTATTCAAACTCGTAAAAGCGCCCTCTCACCACGGATGGGGTAACTAACCACATTTTATGCTTCGTTTTTATTGTTTTGCTTTTCAAGATGGCGGCCCCCATGGCATTTTGTGTACCCGGTTCTCGCGTCCGCTTGCGTTGCGCTTTCGCTTTATTGTGACGTGCGCCCCACTGGACGACCATCACAGGTAATTTATTCACACAAGAGTTATTTCAAGCAGGCAAATGTTTATTTTCGCTCTACATAGTACAATTTATAAGAAAATGTTACAAACAGCACATGCAATGATGCGGTTGCTGACGGGTATTATCGAACATACACGGTAGTACAAACAGTTTGAATGTTAGCCTTCGAGCTATGTGCATAAACAATGATAAACCTAAGATCAACAAACATAGTCTAAACACGTAGAAGTAAAGTCGCGGTAAAGGTATTTCAAAAAAGCTATTCATAAACCATGCAAAAAAAAAAAAAAAAAAAAAAAAACTGCACAGACGCGACAGTTTTACATAACGAGTGCGATTACAAACCAGTTGCTTTAACAGTAACTACAGGCTAATGTGGTAAAGAATAAAGCTGTGCTTGAAGGTGCATTTGACCTGCCTGTCCTTTCCCCCCCCCCCCCCCCCCCCCCCCCCCCCCCCCCCCCCAAGATGAATGTTCAACACACCTGGGGGCTATGTTCGACGACAAATGTTTCGTTTCTCCTAAAAAGAAACGGAAGTGATGGAAGTGAAGATATTGCGTCTGATTGGTTTGGGGCTCAAATGATGAAAGTTCCCGCTTTCGTCATTTGAGCCCCTAACTAATCAGACGCGATATCGCCACTTCCATTACTTCCCTTTCTTCTTAGGAGAAACAAGACATTTGTCGAACATTGCCCCCCTGGTCAGTTTTCTATGAGATATGTTGGATCTAGCCAGTCAATTTTTTCAGCACAATGTTTAGCTGTTAGGTTCGATGACAGCGCGCTTTTACAACTCTCAGTCTCCTAATCTGCGTAACGGGGCTACTGGCCCTTCGACAAAAATATCACCTATCATCGACAAACCGTAAGAACTTAGAATGCCACTTTCTGACTGCAGCATCACCATTGCACAATGTCGTCCATGGAAGCAACCTCCTGGCTCAGCATTCTTCACTCATCGCCCTCGCCAACAACCTCACCTAATCTCGTTATTGCTGATCACTGGTGAAGCACACCCGCCAGCAATATAAAAGTGAACACCT